TCACCATCATCACTCACACCACCATCAACCACCACCCATCATCACCACCATCATCACCACCCACCATCATCACCATCCCACCCACCACACGATCATCACCACCATCATCACCATCGCCACCACCACGATCATCACCACCACCATCATCACCACCACCATCACCACCACCATAACCACACCATCTCAACCACCATCATCATCACCACCATCATCATCACCACCATCATCACCATCGCCACCACCACGATCATCACCACCACCATCATCACCACCACCTTCACCACCATCACCACCACCATCATCACCACCATCATCATCATCATCACCACCATCATCATCATCACCACCATCACCACCACCATCATCACGATCATCACCACCACCATCATCACCACCACCACGATCATCATCACCACCATCATCACCACCATCATCATCACCACCACCATCATCACCACCACCACGATCATCATCACCACCACCACCATCATCACCACCACCACCATCATCACCACCACCACCATCATCACCATCACCACCATCATCACCACCATCACCACCACCATCATCATCACCACCACCATCATCATCACCACCACGGTCATCATCACCACCATCATCACCACCACCATCATCATCACCACCATCATCACCACCACCACGATCATCACCACGATCATCATCACCACCACCACCACTATCATCACCACCACCATCATCACCACCATCACGATCATCATCACGATCATCATCACCACCATCATCACCACCATCATCATCACCACCACCATCATCACCACCACCACGATCATCAATCACCACCACCACCATCATCACCACCACCATCATCACCATCACCACCATCATCACCACCATCATCACCACCATCATCATCACCACCACCATCATCATCACCACCACCATAACCACCACCATCGTCACCACCACTATCATCATCACCACCATCATCACCACCACCACGATCATCACCACGACCATCATCATCACCACCATCATCATCACCACGACCATCATCATCACCACCATCATCATCACCACCATCATCACCACCACCACGATCATCACCACGACCATCATCATCACCACCACGGTCATCACCACCATCATCATCATCACCATCATCATCACCATCATCATCATCACCACCATCATCATCACCATCATCATCATCATCACCATCATCATCACCATGATCATCACCACCATCATCATCACCACCATCATCATCACCATCATCATCATCATCACCACCATCATCATCACCATCATCATCATCACCATCATCATCACCACCACCATCATCATCACCACCATCATCATCATCATCACCACCACCATCATCACCATCATCATCATCACCACCATCATCATCACCACCATCATCACCATCATCATCATCATCACCACCATCATCATCACCACAACGATCATCACCACCACGGTCATCATCACCACCATCATCATCACCATCATCATCATCACCACCATCATCACCACCATCATCATCACCACCACCATCATCATCACCACCATCATCATCACCACCACCACCACGATCATCACCACGATCATCATCACCACCACCACGATCATCACCACGACCATCATCACCACCATCATCATCACCACCATCACCACCATCACCACCACCATCATCATCATCACCACCATCACCACCACCATCATCACCACCACAATCATCACAACAACGCTGCCGTGTTGTGTTCAAGATCCAAATGCGGTCAGCACCCCCCCCCCCCCCCCAGACGTAATAAAACGTCGCTGTTAATCAACTTTGTGGATGCACGATTTTGCAGGAATACATTTACCCGAGCCAACTTCCATCGCAGGAAATTAATTTGTTTAAGTATTGATTTTTGTTTGGGCAGCAATTTAGGATTTCTACTGCAGTGTGGTTATTTTGGATCTGATTTCTATCTGCTTATGTTCGATCTGATTTAAATCTGGTTATTTTGGATCTGATTTATATCTGAATATTTTGGATTTGATTTCTATCTGGTTATTTTTAATTTGATTTCTATCTGGTTATTTTTAATCTGATTTCTACCTGCTTATGTTCGATCCGATTTAAATCTGGTTATTTTGGATCTGATTTATATCTGAATATTTTGGATTTGATTTCTATCTGGTTATTTTAAATTTGATTTCTATCTGGTTTTTTTAAATCTGATTTCTATCTGTTTTTTTTAATCTGATTTCTATCTGGTTATTTTGGATCTGATATATGTCTGGCTATTTTTGATTTCTATCTGAATATTTTGGATCTGATTTGTATCTGGTTATTGTGGATATCATTTCTATCTGGATATTTTCTATCTTGATTTCTATCTGGCTATTTTGGATCTGAAATTATAGCTGGTTATTTTCGATCTGATTTCTATCTGTCTACTTTGGATCTGATTTCTAGCTGGCTAATTTTTTATCTGATTTTATCTGGTTATTTTCGATCTGAATTCTATCTGGCTATTTTGTATATGATTTCTATCTCATTGGACCCCCCTTGCCAGTATAAAAATATAAGAATAGATCTTACCCTTTCTGGCAATTAAACAGGATTTGAAGCTTTCATGACTGCAGGAATCTATACTCTTTGGTTCTTTCGGTAAAGTCACGTAGGTAGAAAATAAAACAATTCATGCTTGTGTTGCGCCAGAAACATTGTGATTTATTTTGTTTGATTTTATACCTACGTGACTTTATCGAAAGAACCACAGAGTATTGAAACAGGAGTTAAGATGTTAAAACACCAAACTGTTTTATTGCCAGAAATGGTAAAACCTATTCTTATATGATTTCTATCTGGTTATTTTGGATCTAATTTCCATCTGGTTATTTTGGATCAAATTTTTATCTGGTTATTTTGTATCTGACGTCTATCTGGTTATTTTATTAACAATTCTGGCAAATCGTCCGACGGAGCTGGTTGTTGTAATCCCCGGCGAAACGTCGCGGTAACTCGAATTGTAAACGTCATGGGTTTACTCTCCCAACATGCCCGTGTGTTGAAGTCGTCACTAATTGTGGCACTTTTTGTTGAAGTGACAAACCTTACCGATTTACGGGTTAACGACACATTCACATTTAAGCGATCTACCCCCAAAATCTCTATTGTGAATAGAAAAAATTAACCCGTAAAAACAAAGTTTTTCACTATAAATCCTTTATATGCGTGGCGGCTAGAGTCCTCTCGTCCTCTGGCTTGAGATGGCTGCCACCTATGGGTTAGATGATTGCATTGCACCATTAAGCAATTGGTAATTAAATATAGATTTAAAAAAATTTCCTAAAAAGTGTAAAATTTTTGAATTTGTTTTAACGAAAATAAATTGTCACGCACAACGAGTCTGTGTGCAAAATTTCAGCTCGATTGGATCACGGGAAGTGGGTTACAAAACGACCGAAAGATTTGCACGGTCGTAAGCGCGCAAGCAAGTGAACTTAATATAAAGGATTTAAAAATACCGTCCACGTGTTTTGCTGTTGCCTTTCTGTTCACGTGCTGCCCAGGAATTCACGATGCCTGGCTCCTAATCACCGCTGCAAGCACCGGTAGAGTGCCCAGGGTTCAGCCCAGGGATCAACCCCTGGACAGTCACGCACGCGAGATTAAACCAGCTCAAAGTGTCTACAGAGTTTAAGTAAGTCACTCAAACACATTCATGTACAGGGTGTTTGAAAAAGATGGACCCGGTTTGAAATCGCTATATCTCTGCAACCACGAATCGCTCATGAATGAAACTGTTACCACTTGAAAGGGCGGGGCATAGAGAGGACAGGGCATGGAGTTTCAAATAATTACAGTGATCCCTTGTTTATCGCGGTTAATGGGGCCCGGAAACCCTCGCGATAGGTGAAAATCCGCTATGTAGGATTGGCCCCCTAGGAATTTCCGTCTATGTGTGTGTGGGTACCAGAATGTTTAAAATATGTCTATTTATACTTTATATATATATATATTTTACTTAAATCTATTTAATTATAAAACCTTAATATTATACATTCACTCTCTCTCTCTCTCATACGATACGTATTATGGTGTTCTACACTCACCAATGACAGTAGTATCTTGAGATTTGACTCCAGTAATGACGACGACGACGATGACAATGACGACGATGACAGACCTGTGCAGTTCGATGAATGTGATGATGAATGATAATGATGATGGTGTTACTGCACAGGTATAATGAGGCCTTTAAATCAGTTCGAAAAATCCGCGATGCACTGAGGCCGCGAAACTTGAACCGCGAAGTGGCGAGGGATTACTGTACCGCTAGATGCCTCTCCCAGCGCACAAACAGCGCCTAGCCTCAGTCATTCGCTAGACCCACTGCCTCAACGTTGGATAGGTCGCACGGGACCCCAAGACTTGGCGCTACACTCTTGGCCCCCAAGATCACCCCCAGACGTCACCGCACCCTGCGACTTTTTCTTGTGGGGATACGTCAAAGGCCGTGATGTTTTTGTGCCACCGTTAGCGACTGATCTGGATGACCTCAAAAACAGAATCACGGCAGCGGTGACTTCAGTGGAAGAGGACACTTTGAGAGGCGTTTGGGACGAATTCAACCATCGCCTCGATGTTGTCCGTACAGCAGGTGGAGGGTTCGGAAAACTAAACTCATCGTGAAATATACTGCTTTGAAATTGGGTCCATCTTTTTGAAACACCTTCATGTATAACACACATACACGCTGGTTTAGCGTCGCTGTCCGCAAACAGTGGGAGTGTGTATTCTATACACTGTGTGAGTCTATGGGTCTCTGTGTGAGTCTATGGGTCTCTGTGTGAGTCTATGGGTCTCTGTGTGAGTCTACGGGTCTCTGTGTGAGTCTATGGGTCTCTTGTGCGAGTCTACGGGTCTCTGTGTAAGTCTACGGGTCTCTGTGTGAGTCTACGGGTCTCTGTGTGAGTCTACGGGTCTCTGTGTGAGTCTACGGGTCTCTGTGTGATTCTATGGGTCTCTGTGTGAGTCTACGGGTCTCTGTGTGAGTCTACGGGTCTCTGTGTGATTCTATGGGTCTCTGTGTGAGTCTATGGGTCTCTGTGTGAGTCTATGGGTCTCTTGTGCGAGTCTACGGGTCTCTGTGTGAGTCTACGGGTCTCTGTGCGAGTCTACGGGTCTCTGTGTGAGTCTACGGGTCACTGTGTGAGTCTATGGGTCTCTGTGTGAGTCTACGGGTCTCTGTGTGAGTCTATGGGTCTCTGTGTGCATCTATGGGTCTCTATGTGAGTCTATGTGTCTCTATGTGAGTCTATGGGTCTCTGTGTGAGTCTACGGGTCTTTATTTGAGTCTACGAGTCTCTGTGCAAGTCTACGGTTCTCTGTGTGAGTCTATGGGACTCTGTGTGAGTCTATGGGTCTCTGTGTGAGTCTATGGGTCTCTTGTGCGAGTCTACGGGTCTCTGTGTAAGTCTATGGATCTCTGTGTGAGTCTACGGGTCTCTGTGTGAGTCTACGGGTCTCTCCGTGAGTTTATGGGACTCTGAGTGAGTCTATGGGTCTCTGTGTGAGTCTATGGGTCTCTGTGTGAGTCTACGGGTCACTGTGTGAGTCTATGGGTCTCTGTGTGAGTCTATGGATCTCTGCGTGAGTCTATGGGTCTCTGTGTGAGTCTACGGGTCTCTGTGAGCCTGAGTGCGTGTATGTTTGTTGAGTGTGTGTGTGTTGAGTGTGTGTGTGTGTTGAGTGCGTGTGTGTGTTGAGTGCGTGTGTGTGTTGAGTGTGTGTTGAGTGCGTGTGTGTGTTGAACGTGTCTGTGTTGAGTGCGTGTGAGTGAGTGTGTGTGTGTTGAACGTGTGTGTGTTGAGTGTGTGTGTGTGTTGAACGTGTGTGTGTTGAGTGCGTGAGTGGGTGTGTTGAGTGTGTGTGTGTTGAGTGTGTGTTGAACGTGTGTGTGTTGAGTGTGTGGTGAGTGTGTGTTGAGTGTGTGTGTTGAGTGCGTGTGTGTGTTGAGTGTGTGTTGAGTGTGTTGAGTGAGTGTGTGTGTGTTGAGTGTGTTGAGTGAGTGTGTGTGTGTTGAGTGCGTGTATGTGTTGAGTGCGTGTGTTGAGTGAGTGTGTGTGTGTTGAGTGTGTTGAGTGAGTGTGTGTGTGTTGAGTGTGTTGAGTGAGTGTGTGTGTGTTGAGTGCGTGTATGTGTTGAGTGCGTGTGTGTGTTGAGTGAGTGTGTGTGTGCGTGTGGTGTGTTGAGTGAGTGTGTGTTGAGTGTGTATGTGTTGAGTGCGTGTGTGTGTTGAGTGCGTGTGTGTGTGCGTGTGTGTTGAGTGTGTGTGTGTTGAGTGCGTGTGTGTTGAGTGTGTGTGTGTTGAGTGTGTGTTGAGTGTGTGTGTTGAGTGTGTGTGTGTTGAGCGTGTGTTGAGTGCGTGAGTGGGTGTGTTGAACGTGTGTGTGTTGAGTGTGTGTGTGCGTGTGTGTTAAGTGCGTGTGTGTTGAACGTGTGTATTGAGTGTGTGTTGAGTGTGTGTGTGTTGAGTGTGTGTTGTGCGCGTGTGTGTGTGTTGAGTATAGTGCGTGAGTGAGTGTGTGTGTGTTGCGTGCGTGTGTGTTGAGTGTGTGTGTGTTGAGTGTAGTGCGTGTGTGTGTTGCACGTGTGTGTTGAGTGTGTGTATGTTGAGTGTGTGTGTGTTGAGTGTGTGTGTGTTGAGTGTGTTGAGTGTGTGTGTGTTGTGTGTGTGTGTTGAGTGTTGTGCGTGCGTGTGTGTGTTGCGCGTGTGTGTTGAGTGTGTGTGTGTGTTGAGTGTGTGTGTGTTGAGTGTAGTGCGTGTGTGTGTTGCACGTGTGTGTGTTGAGTGTGTTGAGTGTGTGTATGTTGAGTGTGTGTGTTGAGTGTATTGAGTGTGTGTGTGTTGAGTGTGTTGAGTGTGTGTGTGTTGTGTTTGTGTGTTGAGTGTTGTGCGTGCGTGTGTGTGTTGCGCGGGTGTGTTGAGTGTGTGTGTGTGTTGAGTGTGTGTTGAGTGCGTGAGTGGGTTGAACGTGTGTGTGTTGAGTGTGTGTGTGTTGAGTGTGTGTGTGTGTTGAGTGCGTGTGTGTTGCATGTGTGTGTTGAGTGCGTGTGTGTGTGGTGAGTGTGTGTGTGTTGAGTGCGTGAGTGTGTGTGTGTTGAGTGTGTGTTGCGTGTGTGTGTGTTTAACGCTGCGTGCATTGTGGGGCTCCCCGAAGGCTGCGCTCCCTGGGCCCACGTGCGGCCTCGGCTCGCACGGCGGAGGCGACGCTCGGGGGGAGGGGGGGCGGTGTGGGGAGGGGGGGCATGAGCGCGCTCCCCAAGGCCATGAGTCCGCTGAGCCCCGAGGAGCGGCTCCACGCCGACGATTTTGCGATGCGGCCGCCCTCCTTGATCCCCTCCATCTACTCAGGGGCGCCGCCAACGCCGCCGCCGCCCTCCGTCAACATGGCCCTCCGCAGCGACCTGGGCTCCAACATCAGCCTGCTCAAGGCGAGGCCTCCCTCTCTGCCTCCTCTTCCCTCCCTCCCTGCCTCCCCTCCTTGCCTCCCCCTCCCTCCCCTCCCTCCTCTTCCTCCCTCCCTCCTCTTCCTCCCTCCCACCCCTCGCTCCCTCCATCCCCTCCCTCCCTCTCCCACTCTCCCACCCTCCTCTCCCTCCCTTCCTCCCTCCCTCCCCCCTCCCTCCCTCTCCCACTCTCCCACCCTCCTCTCCCTCCCTTCCTCCCTCCTCCCTCCCCTCTCCCTCTTCCCACCCTCCTCTCCCTCCTTCCCTCCCCCCCTCCCTCCCTCCCCCCTCCCTCTCCTCCCCCCTCCCTCCTCCTCTCTCTCCTCTCCCTCCATCCCCCTCCCTCCCTCCCATCCCCTCCTCCCACCCTACCTCCCATCCCTCCCCTTCTCCTCCCTCTGTCTCCTCGACTCTCTCGTCAACAGCAGCTACGAGCCCCGGGGGGGGGGGGGGGCTACCCTCGGCAGCACCACGGGGTCCCCCCAGGGTCCCCGCTCGTCTGACTCCCTCCCCGTGCCCCCCCGCCCCCCTCCCACCCTCCGCAGACGCTGAACCTGCGCTTCCGCTGCTTCCTGGCCAAGGTGCACGAGCTGGAACGACGGAACCGGCTGCTGGAGCAGCAGCTGCAGGCGGCGCGGAGGCACTCGGCAAAGCAGCGCAACGTCTCCACGCAGACGGACGCCTGCTTCCCGGTCAGCGACCCCCGGATATATTTCAACGCCCAGCACACCACGTCCAGTATCTCTCCGTTTAATTTAGCCGTGGCTAGGAGATGTTAACTACCTCGCCTGGTGTACAGGAGGTCGTGGGTTCGATCCAGACCCTGACGCCTGCTGCTGTATATTTGGAGTTTGCGTATCTCTCTCTCTCTCATCATCAACACGGTGGCTAGGAGATGTTAACTACCTCGCCTGGTGTACAGGAGGTCGTGGGTTCGATCCCGACCCTGAAGCCTGCTGCTGTATATTTGGAGTTTGCGTCTCTCTCTCATCATCACGGTGGCTAGGAGATGTTAACTACCTCGCCTGGTGTACAGGAGGTCGTGGGTTCGATCCCGACCCTGACGCCTGCTGCTGTATATTTGGAGTTTGCGTGTCTCTCTCTCATCATCATCACGGTGGCTAGGAGATGTTAACTACCTCGCCTGGTGTGCAGGAGGTCGTGGGTTCGATCCCGACCCTGACGCCTGCTGCTGTGTATTTGGAGTTTGCGTGTCTCTCTCTCTCCCTGTGGTCGTGTGGATTTTTCTCCGGTTCCTCCGGTTTTTCCTTGCCCATTCAGAAGCAACATCACGCGTTGAGAGCATTCGGCTACTGCTATACATTCACACGTGGTGATGATGATGATGACGAGAAGCCACTTCATTGGTCTATCGTTTGTGATAGGCAGGTTGCTTCTCAAAGAAGAGCTGTATAGTCACGTATAAGGGAAATAATAAAATAATTAAAATAAAACATAATAAAATACAATTGTCACGACGTTTCCCTTCTACGTGACTTTACCGAAAGAACAAAGAAGATGAATCCCTGCAGTCACGAAAGCTTTAAGTCGAAATTTAAGACCTGGTAAATAAAAAAAAACATTTATAGTTGAATTTCAGTGTGAGCCGTGTCCTTACTCACAGGCGTTGGCGATCAGTGGACCTCTTCCATTCAGCTCTGTCCATGGCATTTTATGAACACAACTCTGCATTGGGTTCACATCCAGTAGTAGAGAGAGAGAGAGACAGGGGAGGGTCAGAGAGATCGAGAGAGACAGGGAGTTAGGCAGACGCAGAGAGAGAGAGATGCAGAGTTAGACAAAGACACACACACAGAGACACGCAGACAGAGACACGCAGACAGAGACACGCACGCAGAGACACGCAGACAGAGACACGCAGACAGAGACACGCACGCAGAGACACGCAGACAGAGACACGCAGGCAGAGACACGCACACAGAGACACGCACGCAGAGACACGCACACAGAGACACGCAGACAGAGATACGCACACAGAGACACGCACGCAGAGACACGCAGACAGAGACACGCAGACACAGACACGCAGACAGACACGCAGACAGAGACACTCAGGCAGAGACACGCACGCAGAGACACGCACACAGAGACACGCACACAGAGACACGCGGACAGAGACACGCGGACAGAGACACGCGGACAGAGACACGCGGACAGAGACACGCGGACAGAGACACGCGGACAGAGACACGCGGACAGAGACACAGACAGAGACACAGACAGAGACAGAGGACACGGGGAGAGTCACAGAGGATTAAGAGTCACGAAGAAAAAGACAAAGATCCCCCGTATAGCCTTAACAGACTGTTGGGGCAAGTGCTGTTCGCGAACAGCACCTATGAAGGTCGGCACGGCACACGAAGGGGTGGGTGGCCAACACCACGCCCGGCCGCCTTTGTCTTCCCTAATGGCAATGTAATAATTGCACCAGGTACTCATTTGAGGCCGAGTCGACCTAGGGGAGGCCCAGGACCAGTTCAGATAATCTTTGCCTGGTGTTGATGGCCGATTTAGCAAGATTCTAGATTTGAAGCTTTCGTGACTGCAAGGATTCATACTCGTAGTTTTTTCGGTAAAGTCACCGTGTAGGTAAAAAATGAAATTAAAATTAATAAAAAGAAAATAATAAAAATCACGACGTTGCCTCCGAAGCGTCGTGATTTTTTATTATTTTATTTTTATTAATTTTTATTTCATTCTTTACCTACACGGTGACTTTACCGAAAAAACTACGAGTACGATTTAGCAAGGTTGGCCACGCACGGTAAGAAATAAGTTCAACAACGCGCGTGCAGCGCAACGGAACTCGGGTCGCCGGGTTCGTAGCGCGGCGTAGCGCTAACCACTACACCCCCCCCCCCCCCCCCAGTCGCTGGCGTCAGGCTCGGCGTGGAGCTACGCTCGGCGCGTGGGGGGGGGCGGTGCCGCCGCCGCCGCCGTGGTTGAGGCGCGCCGTGTGTCGGGGTTGGGCCTCCCCACGACGCACGACGTCGGCGTGCAGATCGACACGATCACGCCCGAGATGCGCGCCCTCTACAACGTGCTCTCCAAGGTCAAGCGCGAGCGGGACCACTTCAAGCGCAAGTACGCGGACCCGCCCGCCCGCTCGCTCGCCGACCCGCTCATTCGCTCGCTCGCCGACCCGCTCGCTCGCTCGCCGACCCGCTCGCTCGCCGACTCGCTCACTTTCTCGCCGACTCGCTCACTTAAAAGCTTGCTAACTCACTCGCTCACTCACCGACTCACTCACTCACTGAAAACCTCGCTCACTATAAAGCTCACTCACCGACTCGCTCATTAATTCGCTCACTCACCATCAGAGGTCGCAACCGGGTACCCGATACCCGTACCCTACCCGATACCCGGCTACCCGTACCCGGCTACCCGTACCCGGCCGGGTACGGGTAGCCGTTTGCGACCCTGGTGCGGCCGGGTACTGGTACGGGTAAGGAATCAAAACCCGTTTGCGACCTCTGCTCACAATATCACTCGCTCACTCACCATATTGCTCGCTCATTCATCGTTCGCTTGCTCAACCACTCGCTCACTCACGTATTCGCTCACTCAATTCGATCGCTCACTCGATTGCTCACTCAATCGCCCCGCTCGCTCGCACGCTCACTCACTCTCTCATTCGCTCACTCAATTGCACGGTCACTTAATTTCTCGCCCGCTCGCTCGCTGCTTTACTCACTCAAACGCTCACTCATTGGCTCACTAACGCAATCATTCACGAACTCGCCAACTCGCCAACGGTGCAGTGCTCGCGCTACACGTAAGCGCGCGCGCCCCGCCACTCGCGGAGGTCACCGTGTCGCGATGGTCGGTGACCCTCCCGTGTCGCGCTGCCGCCCACGCAGGTGGGAGGAGGAGCTGGCGCTGCGCCTGGCGCTGCAGGACACCGTGGTCGTCCTGCAGGAGGTGCGCGCGCGCGACGTCGGGCATTCGCGTCGGAGTAGGCGGCGCGTGAGCCGTGCGTGGCAGCCGCGGCAAATGGCACGAGGTGCACCGGGCACAGGGATGGAGTGATGCCCCGAGTGGCGTCTTCTCCCCCGTCGTCTCGACCCCCACGCTCATGACATCGTCCGGCCTTTCCCGTTATCCGCCGCCTCTCAGCCTTCTTACTCTTAGGTTTTTTCGGTAAAGTCACGTAGGTAAAAAATAAAAAATAATCGAAATAATAATAGAAATAAAATTATAAATCACTCAGCCTTCGCCTCCACCACCACCACCATATTTGCCAACTTTCACGAGCGTACGGAGAAGCAAGATTTTGATTTTACCCCCCTCCCTACCCCCCCCTGTACGAGCGTCTAACCTGCGTCGTGCCATGGAGTTGGAGCATTTCCACGGGAAATTGTCGTGGTGAGAAACCAACCCCTAAGTTGGTGATTCTTCTTAACCCGGGGGTGCGAGATGCCCTTTCTGGGGGGTAGCGAGACACGGCCAGATTTTTTAAAATAAGAAGTTAATAATCATCGACGATACAAATGAAGCACGGGCACGTACCTCACGACTTAATTTGCCTCATCAAACCCCTATGTATTTATGAACATTGTAAATGTTTTTAATGATTGAGAACCAAAGGGGTGCTGCAAGGCTATGAACCACTGCCCTCGGTTGGCGTTTAATTTATTTAACCGGGCGGGGGGTGGTTGGGTGAGAACTTGAGAGAGACGCCACGAAATCAGAGTCCCAATTCGCAAGCGTGACCCTGGCTGGGTGCAATCGGCTGCCAGTAGGCGGGGGTTGCGATGGCGATGATCGCTGCCCCGTGCGCACGTAGAATCCCGGTTGCGAGTCCCTTCCAGCGGTCATTTTAAAACTCGGCATAAATTTGGACGACCCCTCACACCGGCACACGACGGCCTCCACTTTTGGGAAATGATGTCACGGGATTACTCGCGACGTCCACCGTGAATGAACGCAGATGACAACCTAGCGTCGTCACGGTGACAACGTCACGTCGTCACGGTGACAACCTAGCGTCTTCTTGGTTCTTTCGGTAAAGTCACATAGAATGGAAATAATAAAATAATAAAAATAAAACATAATAAAATAATTCTCACGACGTTTCGGCCACAACGCAAGCAGTCGTTCTCAGGTGAAGACCAGGTCTGTCGTCGTCGTCACGGTGACAACGTCGCGTCGTCACCGTGACAACGTCGCGTCGTCACGGTGACAACGTAGCGTCGTCACGACTACAACGGCTAATACTGCGTGCACCACTTGAGAATTAACCGGGGCGGTCGCTAATTTTCGAACCGCAAACCTCCGCAGCGGCAAGGCGGCGGCAATACTGCCACCGCCCACGGCCACCGACACCGGCCTCGATGAGTACTTGTGTGCGACGTGTAGTTCACATCGCCACTAGGGGGATGAAGGCGGCCGGTCGGGCGTGGTGCTGGCCACTCGCCGCCTCGTGTGCCGTGCCGGCCTTCATAGGTGCTGCTCGCTTGCACCAACAGCCTGGTGTAGGATATATGAGGATCTTTGTTGTTTTTGCGTGCGTCTGCACGCGCGTCACCCCGCCTTAATTTCCCGTGTCCAGGAGGCGAAGGAGGCCGAGTTCATCCAGGACGACCTCACTCAGAAGATGGAGCGGCTCAAGGCCGAGCTGGTCGTCTTCAAGACCCTGCTGAACGACGTCAGCCCCCGCGTCTCTCCCCTCCCCCCCACACTTGTGGAACTCGCTGTAGAGAGGGGGTGGTTGGGGGGGGGGTGGAGGTGCTCTGATGGGTGGAGGAGGAGGACTGTGATTGGTTAAGGGGTTAAAGAAGGGCAGCTCCAGGTCGGACAAGTTGGCCAATGGGGGCACAGCCAAAGCGGTTGGTACTGGAGCAGCCGCTGATAGGAGGGACACAAGATGGCTGATAGGAGGAACACAAGATGGCCGATAGGAGGGACACAAGATGGCCGATAGGGACACAAGATGGCTGATAGGAGGGACACAAGATGGCTGATAGGAGGAACACAAGATGGCCGATAGGAGGGACACAAGATGGCCGATAGGGACACAAGATGGCTGATAGGGACACAAGATGGCTGATAGGAGGGACACAAGATGGCTGATAGGGACACAAGATGGCTGATAGGGAGACAAGATGGCCGATAGGGACACAAGATGGCCGATAGGGACACAAGATGGCCGATAGGGACACAAGATGGCTGATAGGAGGGACACAAGATGGCTGATAGGGACACAAGATGGCTGATAGGAGGGACACAAGATGGCTGATAGGAGGGACACAAGATGGCTGATAGGAGGGACACAAGATGGCTGATAGGAGGGATACAAGATGGCTGATAGGAGGGACACAAGATGGCTGATAGGAGGGATACAAGATGGCCGATAGGAGGGACACAAGATGGCCGATAGGAGGGTCACAAGATGGCTGATAGGAGGGACACAAGATGGCTGATAAGAGGGACACAAGATGGCTGATAGGAGGGACACAAGATTGCTGATAGGAGGGACACAAGTTGGCTGATAGGAGGGACACAAGATGGCTGATAGGAGGGACACAAGATGGCTGATAGGAGGGACACAAGATGGCTGATAAGAGGGACACAAGATGGCTGATAAGAGGGACACAAGATGGCTGACAGGAGGGACACAAGATGGCTGATAGGAGGGACACAAGATGGCCGATAGGAGGGACACAAGATGGCCGATAGGAGGGACACAAGATGATGAGTGAGCGAGTGAGTTTGAGTGGTAGCGGGTGAGTGAGGTGAGCGGTGAGCGAGTGAGTTTGAGTAGTAGCGGGTGAGTGAGGTGAGCGGTGAGCGAGTGAGTTTGAGTGGTAGCGGGTGAGTGAGGTGAGCGGTGAGCGAGTGAGTTTGAGTAGTAGCGGGTGAGTGAGGTGAGCGGTGAGCGAGTGAGTTTGAGTGGTAGCGGGTGAGTGAGGTGAGCGGTGAGCGAGTGAGTTTGAGTAGTAGCGGGTGAGTGAGGTGAGCGGTGAGCGAGTGAGGGGGTTAGTGAGGAGTATAGTGAGGGGAGTGTGGAGTGAGCAGAATAATGAGGGTGAGTGGGAGAGTAGAATAGTGAAAGGAGAATAGTGAGCGAGTGAGCAGAGTAGTAAGTGAGGGGGTTTGTGAGGAGAATAGTGAGGGGAGTGAGGGGTTAGTGAGAATAGTGAGCGAGTCAGCAGAGTAGTGAGTGACCAAGCGAGTGAGGTGAGCAGTGAATGTGAAGGGGTTAGTGAGGAGGATAGTGATTGAGGGGAATAGTGAGTCGGTGAGTGGAGCAGTGAGCGAGTGAGGGTGGTGAGTAAGCGAGGCTGGTGGTGAGTGAGTGAGGCTGGTGGTGAGTGAGTGAGTGTGGTGGTGGGTGAGTGAGTGTGGTGGTGAGTGAGTGAGTGAGGGTAGTGGTGAGTGAGTGAGTGAGGGTGGTGGTGGTGAGTGAGTCAGCGAGGCTGGTGGTGAGTGAGGCTGGTGGTGAGTGAGTGAGGCTGGTGGTGAGTGAGTGAGTGTGGTGGTGGGTGAGTGAGTGTGGTGGTGAGTGAGTGAGTGAGGGTAGTGGTGAGTGAGTGAGTGAGGGTGGTGGTGGTGAGTGAGTCAGCGAGGCTGGTGGTGAGTGAGGCTGGTGGTGAGTGAGTGAGGCTGGTGGTGAGTGAGTGAGTGTGGTGGTGGGTGAGTGAGTGTGGTGGTGAGTGAGTGAGTGAGGGTAGTGGTGAGTGAGTGAGTGAGGGTGGTGGTGGTGAGTGAGTCAGCGAGGCTGGTGGTGAGTGAGGCTGGTGGTGAGTGAGTGAGGGTGGTGGTGAGTGAGTGAGTGTGGTGGTGGGTGTGGTGGTGGGTGAGTGAGTGAGTGAGGGTAGTGGTGAGTGAGTGAGTGAGGGTGGTGGTGGTGAGTGAGTCAGCGAGGCTGGTGGTGAGTGAGGCTGGTGGTGAGTGAGTGAGGGTGGTGGTGAGTGAGTGAGTGTGGTGGTGGGTGTGGTGGTGGGTGAGTGAGTGAGTGTGGTGGTGAGTGAGTGAGTGAGGGTAGTGGTGAGCGAGCGAGGTGAGCGGTGAGCGAATGCTGGAGCCCCACCGTGCTCCGCGTCACGCCCCTCTCTTTGCCGCGGCCCTCTAGCAAATGACGGACCTGGACAGCCGCATCCAGGAGAAGGCCATGAAGGTGGACATGGACATCTGCCGCCGCATCGACATCACGGCGCGGCTGTGCGACATCGCGCAGCAGCGCAACTCGCATGACATGAGCCGCATGTTCACGGTGAGCCTCCTCCTGCTGCAGGCCAACGCCTCCAGAGGGACGCCACGTGACTCTCCCTGTGACTCACCACGTGACTCACCACGTGACTCTCCCTGTGACTCTCCACGTGGCCCTCCACTTGACTCTCCACGTGACTCTCCACGTGACTCTCCACGTGGCCCTCCACTTGACTCTCCCTGTGACTCTCCACGTGACTCTCCACGTGACTCTCCCTGTGACTCACCACGTGACTCTCCACGTGACTCTCCACGTGACTCTCCACGTGACTCTCCACGTGACTCACCACGTGACTCTCCACGTGACTCTCCCTGTGACTCTCCACGTGACCCTCCACGTGACTCTCCACGTGACTCTCCCTGTGACTCTCCACGTGACCCTCCACGTGACTCTCCACGTGACTCTCCACGTGACCCTCCACGTGACTCTCCCTGTGACTCACCACGTGACTCTCCACGTGACTCTCCCTGTGACTCTCCACGTGACTCTCCACGTGACCCTCCACGTGACTCTCCACGTGACTCTCCCTGTGACTCTCCCTGTGACTCTCCACGTGACTCTCCACGTGACCCTCCACGTGACTCTCCACGTGACTCTCCCTGTGACTCTCCCTGTGACTCTCCACGTGACCCTCCACGTGACTCTCCACGTGACTCTCCCTGTGACTCTCCACGTGACCCTCCACGTGACTCTCCACGTGACTCTCCACGTGACCCTCCACGTGACTCTCCCTGTGACTCACCACGTGACTCTCCACGTGACTCTCCCTGTGACTCACCACGTGACTCTCCACGTGACCCTCCACGTGACTCTCCACGTGACTCTCCACGTGACCCTCCACGTGACTCTCCCTGTGACTCACCACGTGACTCTCCACGTGACTCTCCCTGTGACTCACCACGTGACTCACCACGTGACTCTCCCTGTGACTCTCCACGTGACCCTCCACGTGCCTCTCCACGTGACTCTCCCTGTGACTCTCCCTGTGACTCACCACGTGACTCTCCACGTGACCCTCCACGTGACTCTCCCTGTAACTCTCCACGTGACTCTCCCTGTGACTCTCCACGTGACTCTCCACGTGACCCTCCACGTGACTCTCCACGTGACTCTCCACGTGACTCTCCCTGTGACTCTCCCTGTGACTCTCCACGTGACCCTCCACGTGACTCACCACGTGACTCTCCCTGTGACTCACCACGTGACTCTCCACGTGACTCTCCACGTGACTCTCCCTGTGACTCTCCACGTGACTCTCCACGTGACCCTCCACGTGACTCACCACGTGACTCTCCACGTGACTCTCCACGTGACTCTCCCTGTGACTCTCCACGTGACCCTCCACGTGACTCACCACGTGACTCTCCCTGTGACTCACCACGTGACTCTCCACGTGGCCCTCCACGTGACTCTCCACGTGACTCTCCACGTGACTCTCCACGTGACTCTCCCTGTGACTCTCCACGTGACTCACCACGTGACTCTCCACGTGACTCTCCACGTGACCCTCCACGTGACTCTCCACGTGGCCCTCCACTTGACTCTCCACGTGACCCTCCACGTGACTCTCCACGTGACTCTCCACGTGACTCTCCACGTGACTCTCCACGTGACCCTCCACTTGACTCTCCACGTGACCCTCCACGTGACTCTCCACGTGACCCTCCACTTGACTCTCCACGTGACTCTCCACTTGACTCTCCACGTGACTCTCCACGTGACCCTCCACGTGACTCACCACGTGACTCTCCACGTGACTCTCCACGTGACTCTCCACGTGACTCTCCCTGTGACTCTCCACGTGACTCTCCACGTGACTCTCCACGTGACTCTCCACGTGACTCTCCACGTGACTCTCCACGTGACTCTCCACGTGACCCTCCACGTGACTCTCCACGTGACTCTCCACGTGACTCTCCACGTGACTCTCCACGTGACTTTCCACTTGACTCTCCACGTGACTCTCCACGTGACTCTCCACGTGACCCTCCACGTGACCCTCCACGTGACTCTCCACGTGACCCTCCACGTGACCCTCCACGTGACTCTCCACGTGACCCTCCACGTGACCCTCCACGTGACTCTCCACGTGACTCTCCACGTGACTCTCCACTTGACTCTCCACGTGACTCTCCCTGTGACTCTCCACGTGACTCTCCACGTGACCCTCCACGTGACTCTCCACGTGACTCTCCCTGTGACTCTCCACGTGACTCTCCACGTGACCCTCCACGTGACTCTCCACGTGACTCTCCCTGTGACTCTCCACGTGACTCTCCACGTGACTCTCCACGTGACCCTCCACTTGACTCTCCACGTGACTCTCCACGTGACTCACCACGTGACTCTCCACGTGACTCTCCACGTGACTCTCCACGTGACTCTCCACGTGACTCTCCACGTGACTCTCCACGTGACCCTCCACTTGACTCTCCACGTGACTCTCCACGTGACTCACCACGTGACTCTCCACGTGACTCTCCACGTGACTCTCCACGTGACTCTAACCGTGACTCTCCACGTGACTCTCCACGTGACTCTCCCTGCGACTCTCCCTCTGCCCGCTGCAGTCCCTGCAGTTCTCGCCCATCAAGGCGGTGGGGACGTCGGCCGGAGCGGGGGGCCCCGGGGGGGGGGCTGCGGGGACCCCCGGGTCGCGCAAGAAGGAGGCTCATGGGCAGCAAGTGGGGGGCCCCGCGGGGGAGCAGCTCGAGGGAGGGGACGAAGATCGCTCCGCCCTGACGCTTCCCGGTGCTCGCACACACACGTACACGTACACACATACACATACACACGCACACACACACGCGTACACACGTACACACGTACACCTACGCACGTACACGCGTACACGTACACACACACGTATACACGCACACACATACACACACATAGACGTGCACACACATGCACACACATACACACGTACACACACACGTACACACACACACGTATACACACACACGCACACACACACACGTACACACACACACGCACACACACGTACACACATACACACGTACACACGTGCACACACACACACGTACACACATACACACACACGTACACACGTACACACACACACACGTACACACACACACGCACACACACGTATACACACACACGCACACGTACACACGTACACACACACGCACACACGTGCACACACGTACACACACGCACACACACACGCACACACGTACACACATACACACGTACACACACACGTACACACACGTACACACACGTATACACACGTATACACGTACACACGTACACACGTACACGTACACATACACGTACACACACGTACACAGGTGCACACACGTGCACACTCGCACACGTACACACACGTATACACACATACCCACACAAAGATCCCCCGTATAGCCTTAATAGACTGTAGGGGCAAGTGCTGTAGCGAGCACCTATGAAGGCCAGAACGGTACACGAGGGGGTGGGTGGGTAGCACCACGTGAGTGGGAATCGAACTCGAATCGCCGGGTTTGTAGCGCAGTGCGCTACACTACCGCTCCCCTATGGTGCTGGCCACCCATTCCCTACCCGGTCTCCTGGAGCCGAGTCCCAACCGAGACTCCGACCCTGAGACCCGGTCTCCTGGAGCCTCAACCGAGACTCCGAGCCCGAGACCCGGTCTCCTTGAGCCGAGTCTCAACTGAGACTCCGACCCTGAGACCCGGTCTCCTGGAGACGAGTCTTAACCGAGACTCCGACCCCGAGACCCGGTCTCCTGGAGCCGAGTCTCAACTGAGACTCCGACCCTGAGACCCGGTCTCCTTGAGCCGAGTCTCAACTGAGACTCCGACCCTGAGACCCGGTCTCCTGGAGACGAGTCTTAACCGAGACTCCGACCCCGAGACCCGGTCTCCTGGAGCCGAGTCTCAACTGAGACTCCGACCCTGAGACCCGGTCTCCTTGAGCCGAGTTTCAACTGAGACTCCGACCCTGAGACCCGGTCTCCTGGAGCCGAGTCTCAACCGAGACTCCGACCCCGAGACCCGGTCTCCTTGAGCCGAGTCTTAACCGAGACTCCGACCCTGAGACCCGGTCTCAGTGGAGACGCGGTCTCACGGAGCGTGCTTGCCGGTGTTCCGTGTGGCATCTGCTCAGAGGGGACCGCATCGATGGAGGTTGTCCCGCTGGGGGTGGTGACCCCGTCCGTAGCAACGGCGCCGTTACCGGGGGCGATCATCAACGACGACGACGAGAACTCCACGTCCGGGAACATCACGGACGAGATGAAGCGCATCATCAACACGCTGTGAGGACGTGCGCACACACGCACGTACACACACGCATACGCACACACAAACACACACACACACAAACACACGCGCACACACACACACGCATCCACACGCATCCACACACAGACGCACGCATACACACATACACGCACGCATACACACGCACACACGCATACACACGCATACACACACAGACACACACACGCACACACATGCACGCACACACATGCACGCACACGCACACACGTGCGTACACACACACACACGCACGCTCATGTACACACGCAAAGATAAAGATCCCCCGAATAGCCTTTACAGGCTGTTGCGGCAAGTGCTGTTAGCGAGCAGCTACGAAGGCCGGCACGGCACACGAGGGGGGTGGGTGGCCGACACCACGCCCGGCCGCCTTTGTCTCCCCAGTGGCGATGTTTACTACACACTGCACCAGGCGCTCGATCCAGGGGAGGGCCCAGGACCGGTTCAGACGATCGTCGCCGGCGCTGGCCGCGAGCGGGAATCCATCTCGGGTCGCCGGGTTCGTGGCCGAGCGCGCTGACCGCCGCGCCGCCGCTCCCCACGCGAACAAAAGACAAAGATCCCCCGTACAGCCTCGCCGGACTGTCGGGGCAAGTGTTGTTAGCGAGCACACGGGCACTCAAGCCTCTCCCGCCTGTCCTTCCGCCCCCCCTACCCGCGCGCAGGCGAGAGACGATGGACTTTGAGGACGACTGCGACAGCCTCGCGTGGGAGGAGACGGAGGAGACGCTGCTGCTGTGGGAGGACTTCTCCGCGTCCCCTCCCAGCGGCGCCGAGGCCTCCCCCGGCGAGAACGTGAGCAGCGGTGGGGGGGCAGCAACAGGGGCAGCAGCGGTAGAGGTAACAGGGGCAGCAGCAGCAGGGGCAGCTGTAGCAGCAGCAGCAGCAGCTGTAGTAGCAGCAGCGGGGGCAGCAGCTGTAGCAGCAGCAGCAGGGGCAGCAGCAGGGGCAGCAGCAGCAGCAGTGGTAGGGGCGGCAGGGGCAGCAGCAGCAGCTGTAGCAGCAGCAGCAGCAGTGGCGTTAGCAGCGGCAGTAGCGGCAGCGCTGTGATAGAGCGATAAAATTGGACACCCGATGAATGAAATCACCGATCGCAGATTGCTGCCTGTATATGTGGAGGAAGAGAGCGGGCGGGGCGCTGCCCCAGAAGGGGGCGGGGCGTTGCCCACAAGCGGTTCATGTGCATCGTGAATCGAGGTTAATTTCGCGTGTCGATTCTCGCTCAGTCGAACCGGCAAAGGCGCCTCAAGGCCGATGGTGATCGTCGTGTCGATTCATTGCCAATCAACGCGTGGATCGAGACATCCCGCCGAATTGGTATCGCGTCATCCGACACGGGCCCCCGCCACCCCCCATTTTTATTTTTGATTGGCTGAATATCTGCATGGTCGGTGACTCCGTCGCAGTCCGCTTTTATCGTTACCACGGCGCTGGTGGGAACAATAACATCGGACTTGCCGAGACTCCGACCCTGAGACCCGGTTTCCTGGAGCCGAGTCTCAACCGAGACTCTGATCCCGCAGTGGCGCGCGGGTGCGAGAATTTATCTTTTTTTGCCCGGATGCTTTTTTGTCGTTATATTTCAGTCGGAGCCCAGGAACGTTAACACACTGCATCTAAGCTGAGCCCAAAAGAGTGGGCAACGTACCCACACACATGTGTGTGCGTGTGCGTACCTTGAACTTCTTTCGCGCCGTACGTAGCCAACCGTGCGAATCGGAGGTGCAGGGGGGGGAGGGACATCAACACTAAACAACAACACAAAGCGGCTCAAAAGAAATTAGTTTTGTCGCTCTTGAAAGTAAGAAAAAGGGTTGCGCGTAGGGCAACGGCAGGAAAATGAAAAGCGTTGTTGTTTGTTGTTGTTTGTTGTTGTTGTGTGTTGTTGTGTGTTGTTGTTGTTCGGCAAAAAATGTAAGGGCCAGGAAAGAGAGGAAGACCACACAGAGAATGGTGGCTTGACGAAGATGGTAGCGATTGGCTGCCCGAGAGGCGTGGCCACTACTTGAGCAGATCGGCACCACGAGACAGAGAGGAAAGTGGAAACAACAAATGACGCAACGTGCAGTGGGACACGTCCACTACGGGCTGTCCGCCCATGGGTCGCGATGATGATGATCCCGGTAGAGAAACAGAGGGGGGTACAGAAACTCCATGGACATAAGTCCCGACCGTGCATAGCGAGATGTTAACTACCTTGCCTGGTGTGCAGGAGGTCGTGGGTTCGATCCCGACCCTGATGCCTGCTGCTGTGTATTTGTAGTTTGCGTGTCTCTCTCTCTCATCATCATCATCACGGTGGCTAGGAGATGTTAACTACCTCGCCTGGTGTGCAGGAGGTTGTGGGCTCGATCCTGACCCTGATGCCTGCTGCTGTGTATTTCGAGTTTGCGTGTCTCTCTCTCTCACCATCATCACGGTGGCTAGGAGATGTTAACTACCTCGCCTGATCTTTTCCCAGCACGTATGTTTTCCCCTCCACATTTACAATCGACTTGCGTTTAGAGTATTTGGCTGATATAAATTTCACATGATGATGAGGATGTAATTGAAGTTGATGATGAGGTTGTAATTTCTAATGATGTTGGTGATTTTGATGTAATTGATGTTGGTGATGATGTTGGTGATGATGATGATTTTGATGTAATTGATGATGATGTTGGTGATGATGATTTGGATGTAATTGATGATGACGATGATGATGTTGGTGATGTTGGTGACGATGTTGATCATGATGGTGATGTTGTAGATGTGGGGGGAGCGGTAGTGGTTAGTGCGCTGCGCTATGAACCCGATGATCCGAGTTCAATTCCCGCTCATGCCCAACACCAGTGTCGAACCGGTCCTGGGCCTCCCCTAGGTCGACTCAGCCTCAAATGAGTACCTGGTGCGGTGTGTAAAAACGTCGCCACTGGGGAGACAAAGGCGGCCAGGCGTGGTGCTGGCCACCCACCCCCTCGTGTGCCACAGTGCCGGCCTTCATAGGCGCTACTTGCCAACAGCACTTGCTCCAACGGTCTGTTAAGGCTGTACGGGTGATCTTTGTGTCGTCGTTGTTGTTGATGTGGATGCTGCCAGGACGACACGGTGGAGCGGGTCATCCTGGAGACGGAGTCGCTGCTCAAGACGCGCGAGCGTGAATACCAGGAGACGATCGGACAAATTGAGGTAGGCCCTCCGCCTACCCGTCAGCTCCGTTCAGCCGTGGACTAAAAGTCCAAGTGATTCGCCGCTCAGATGGGCACCGGGGAAGGACCATTCTCCGTGCGTGTTCCCCGCATGTCCCCACGTGCCCCGTGTTTTCTATGCGTCTGAATGCATCCACGTGTGTCCCATGCTGTCAATGCGTTCCCATGTGCCCCGTGTTTTCTATGCTTGTGAGTGCAACTCCACGTGTCCCAGTGTGTCCCCGTGCGTCTCCGTGTATCTGCCTTGTGTCCCATGTTATCTGCGTGTCCCCGTGCGTCTCCGTGTGTCTCCCGTGTGTCCCATGTTATCTGCGTGTCCCTGCGTGTCTCCGTGCGTCTCCGTGTGTCCCATGTTATCTGCGTGTCCCTGCGTGTCTCCGCGTGTCTCCGTGTGTCCCATGTTATCTGCGTGTCCCCGCATGTCCCCGTGTCTCCGTGTGTCTCCGTGTGTCCCATGTTATCTGCGTGTCCCCGCGTGTCCCCGTGTCTCCGTGTGTCTCCGTGTGTCCCATGTTATCTGCGTGTCCCCACGTGTCCCCGCGTGTGCGCACGTACCCGCAGCTGGAGCTGGCGAGCGCCAAGAGCGACATGAGCCGCCACCTGCACGAGTACATGGAGATGTGCAGCATGAAGCGCGGCCTCGACGTGCAGATGGAGACGTGCCGCCGCATGATCGGCCACTCGCACACCGAGGATGGGTGAGGGCAGAGGGCGCACGGGGCGAAGGAAATACGGGGAAACAGGGCGATGGGTCAGGGTTTACAGGTCAGGGGTCGGGATACAGGATGACGGGTCAGGGTTAGACTCACTGCTAGAGCCTGGGTCAGGGTTAGACTCACTGCTAGAGTCTGGGTCAGGGTTAGACTCACTGCTGGAGTCTGGGTCAGGGTTAGACTCACTGTGAGGGTCTGGGTCAGGGTTAGACTCACTGCTAGGGTCTGGGTCAGGGTTAGACTCATTGTGAGAGTCTGGGTCAGGGTTAGACTCACTGCTGGGGTCTGGGTCAGGGTTAGACTCACTGCCAGGGTCTGGGTCAGGGTTAGACTCACTGCTAGAGTCTGGGTCAGGGTTAGACTCACTGCTAGGTTCTGGGTCAGGGTTAGACTCACTGCTAGAGTCTGGGTCAGGGTTAGACTCACTGTGAGAGTCTGGGTCAGGGTTAGACTCATTGTGAGAGTCTGGGTCAGGGTTAGACTCACTGCTAGAGTCTGGGTCAGGGTTAGACTCACTGCTGGAGTTTGGGTCAGGGTTAGACTCACTGTGAGAGTCTGGGTCAGGGTTAGACTCACTGCTGGAGTCTGGGTCAGGGTTAGACTCACTGCCAGGGTCTGGGTCAGGGTTAGACTCACTGCTAGAGTCTGGGTCAGGGTTAGACTCACTGCTAGAGTCTGGGTCAGGGTTAGACTCACTGCTAGAGTCTGGGTCAGGGTTAGACTCACTACTAGGGTCTGTGTCAGGGTTAGACTCACTGCTAGAGTCTGGGTCAGGGTTAGACTCACTGCTAGGGTCTGGGTCAGGGTTAGACTCACTGCTAGAGTCTGGGTCAGGGTTAGACTCACTGCTAGAGTCTGGGTCAGGGTTAGACTCACTGCTAGAGTCTGGGTCAGGGTTAGACTCATTGTGAGAGTCTGGGTCAGGGTTAGACTCACTGCTGGAGTCTGGGTCAGGGTTAGACTCACTGTGAGAGTCTGGGTCAGGGTTAGACTCACTGCTAGAGTCTGGGTCAGGGTTAGACTCACTGCTGGAGTCTGGGTCAGGGTTAGACTCACTGATAGAGTCTGGGTCAGGGTTAGACTCACTGCTAGAGTCTGGGTCAGGGTTAGACTCACTGCTAGAGTCTGGGTCAGGGTTAGACTCACTGTGAGGGTCTGGGTCAGGGTTAGACTCACTGCTAGAGTCTGGGTCAGGGTTAGACTCACTACTAGGGTCTGGGTCAGGGTTAGACTCACTGCTAGAGTCTGGGTCAGGGTTAGACTCACTGCTAGAGTCTGGGTCAGGGTTAGACTCACTGCTAGAGTCTGGGTCAGGGTTAGACTCATTGTGAGAGTCTGGGTCAGGGTTAGACTCACTGCTAGAGTCTGGGTCAGGGTTAGACTCACTGCTGGAGTCTGGGTCAGGGTTAGACTCACTGCTGGAGTCTGGGTCAGGGTTAGACTCACTGCTGGGGTCTGGGTCAGGGTTAGACTCACTGCTGGGGTCTGGGTCAGGGTTAGACTCACGGATAGAGTCTGGGTCAGGGTTAGACTCACTGCTAGAGTCTGGGTCAGGGTTAGACTCACTGCTAGAGTCTGGGTCAGGGTTAGACTCATTGTGAGAGTCTGGGTCAGGGTTAGACTCACTGCTAGAGTCTGGGTCAGGGTTAGACTCATTGTGAGAGTCTGGGTCAGGGTTAGACTCATTGTGAGAGTCTGGGTCAGGGTTAGACTCACTGCTAGAGTCTGGGTCAGGGTTAGACTCATTGTGAGAGTCTGGGTCAGGGTTAGACTCACTGCTAGAGTCTGGGTCAGGGTTAGACTCACTGCTGGAGTCTGGGTCAGGGTTAGACTCACTGCTGGAGTCTGGGTCAGGGTTAGACTCACTGCTGGAGTCTGGGTCAGGGTTAGACTCACTGCTGGGGTCTGGGTCAGGGTTAGACTCACTGATAGAGTCTGGGTCAGGGTTAGACTCACTGCTAGAGTCTGGGTCAGGGTTAGACTCACTACTAGGGTCTGGGTCAGGGTTAGACTCACTACTAGGGTCTGGGTCAGGGTTAGACTCACTACTAGGGTCTGGGTCAGGGTTAGACTCACTGCTAGAGTCTGGGTCAGGGTTAGACTCACTGCTAGAGTCTGGGTCAGGGTTAGACTCACTGCTAGAGTCTGGGTCAGGGTTAGACTCACTGCTGGGGTCTGGGTCAGGGTTAGACTCACTGCTAGAGTCTGGGTCAGGGTTAGACTCACTGCTAGAGTCTGGGTCAGGGTTAGACTCACTGCTAGAGTCTGGGTCAGGGTTAGACTCACTGCTAGGGTCTGGGTCAGGGTTAGACTCACTGCTAGAGTCTGGGTCAGGGTTAGACTCACTGCTAGAGTCTGGGTCAGGGTTAGACTCAATGCTAGGGTCTGGGTCAGGGTTAGACTCACTGCTAGAGTCTGGGTCAGGGTTAGACTCATTGCTAGAGTCTGGGTCAGGGTTAGACTCACTGCTAGAGTCTGGGTCAGGGTTAGACTCACTGCTAGGGTCTGGGTCAGGGTTAGACTCACTGCTAGAGTCTGGGTCAGGGTTAGACTCACTGCTAGAGTCTGGGTCAGGGTTAGACTCACTGCTAGGGTCTGGGTCAGGGTTAGACTCACTGCTGGGGTCTGGGTCAGGGTTAGACTCATTGCTGGGGTCTGGGTCAGGGTTAGACTCACTGCTAGAGTCTGGGTCAGGGTTAGACTCACTGCTGGGGTCTGGGTCAGGGTTAGACTCACTGCTGGGGTCTGGGTCAGGGTTAGACTCATTGCTAGAGTCTGGGTCAGGGTTAGACTCATTGCTTGGGTCTGGGTCAGGGTTAGACTCACTGCTAGAGTCTGGGTCAGGGTTAGACTCATTGCTTGGGTCTGGGTCAGGGTTAGACTCACTGCTAGAGTCTGGGTCAGGGTTAGACTCATTGCTGGGACCTAGTAGCGGGAACGATGATGGCCGCGGGGCTGAGCAACCCGGAGTTGAGGGGTCGCTGCCCCCTCTCCGTGCCCGCAGGTCGACCCCCGAGACTCCGTCCGGGGAGCACGACTCTGAGGGGTCGGAGGACAGCGATTCTGCGGAGCCTGAAGATGCCCCGGCCTCCTGAGCACGGGTTCAACTCCTGAGCGAGGCCATCGGAATGCCCCGGCCTCCTGAACCCCATTCACAGAGCACTACCCCTGACCCCAAACCTTGAACCCTGAACCCCTAAACTGAAACTCTGAACCCTCAACATCGAATCCATGAATCCTGAACCCCATTCATAGAGCACTACCCCTGACCCCCAAACCTTGAACCCTGAACCCCTAAACTGAAACTCTGAACCCTCAACGTCCAATCCCTAACGCTGAACCCTGAACCCCATTCATGGAGCACTACCCCTGACCCCTAACCCTGAACGCCTAACCCCTCAGCCCGAATCCCCAACCCTGAACCCCATTCGCAAAACACTACCCTGAACCCCTAAGCCTGAACCCCATACCCTGAACCCCACACACATAACCCTGAACCTCTCAGCCTGAACCCCATTCACAGATCACTCCCCATAACCCCAACACTGACCCCTAAACCCTGAACCATAAACCTTAATCTTGATCATGAAGCCCCCTTGAAGCCTGAACCGTGAATGTAACGTTATTATAATATGTCACTAAGCCTTGGCCTAACGCTGACCTAATCCTAACCCTTACCAAATCTCTAACCCTAGGTATATTATCCTTAACTGTTCATAAAACTAACGCCCAAACCCGACCCCTACATTAATATCTAAACCTACCCCCTCGTCCGACCCGTATCCTAATGTTGAACTCCAATCCTGATCCTGCCCGAATCTCGAGCCCAAATCCCAACACGTAATCAGGTCACCTATCCAGAGAGGCAGTGCTGTGGCGTGAATCTCAATGGGTTGACCTCATCTCCTGGTTGAGTAGGGACACGACAACAATCCTACGCCGATCCTGATCCAAAACCCCAATTCTACCCTTATCCTGATCTCTAACCCCAATCCTACACCCATCCTGATCACTAACCCTATCCCCTACCCCCCCCCTAATAATTTTCCTGTCCCAATACCTAACCCGAAAACTGCTCCTAACCCTACCCAAATATCTTACGCAAATCCCTAACCCTATATCCTAGCCCTACCCGTATCCTCTCACTTTGCCGCCTATCCTGCCCTCAAACCCTTCCCCTAATCCTACACCTACCCAAATCTCCAACCCTCACCCTTACCCCAATGTTCCGACCCGATCCGTATCCTATCACTCGACCTGACCTCTAACCCTGACCCCCCAACCCAAAACCCCCCACTCTGACCCTCGGGCTTCCGACACTTGCGCCTAGCCCCATTCGTAGCAGCGGCTCTCATTGTGACTCTCACGGCCTAACCCCCCCCCCCCCACCATCTCACCTGCGTAACCCCCATCAACAAACGGGACCTCGCCTGGTAGTGAAATGAAATCGGCGACGCGCACCGCCACCAGCGGCCCTTCTCTTTGTAGCTGCTGCCCCCCCCTGCCCCTCCGGTCAAAGGCTCCGGAGGGAGGTGTTGGTGGGCAGCCCCTTCCGTTAGACGCGGGTGGGTGGGTGGGGGAACGGGGAAAATCTACACGAGAGCGAGAGCATGGATTCCGTAACGCTACGAGGCTTGGGGAAACGTTTCGGTCGCGTTTCATCCGCATCTGGGTGTCGGATTCTTGCGACGAGGACGGCGCCGTCGGTACTCGCTGCGGACGGGGCACTGGAGGAGTCCCGTCCGGTGTTGGCCGTCGTCTCCTCTGGCAAGCGCGGTGGCTCAGGCCCCAGGGGGCACACGGCTCGACGTCGGTGGTGCTGCATGGTATCCCTCCCCGCCCCCCCCACCTCTTCGGCAGCCCACACTGACTGGTTAGGTTAGTGTTAGGCGCTGGTTAGGTTAGTGTTAGGCTAGGGTTAGATTAGTGTTAGGCTAGGGTTAGTGTTAGGCTAGGGTTAGGTTAGTGTTAGGCTAGGGTTAGTGTTAGGCTAGGGTTAGGTTAGTGTTAGGCTAGGGTTAGGTTAGTGTTAGGCTAGGGTTAGGTTAGTGTTAGGCTAAGGTTAGGTTAGTGTTAGGCGAGGGTTAGGTTAGTTTAGGGTTAGGTTTTGTGCAGGTGGTGGTGGGGGGGGGGGTGGTGGCGCAGCGGTTAGCGCACTGCGCCATGAACTCGGCAACCTGAGTTCGATTCCCACTCACGTCCCAGCCAGCATCAGTGGTGGGTGACATCATCCACCAGTCGTCTTCACAACACCGCGCAAGCCGGCGTGGTGACGTATAGTCAAATGACCGACATGGCATGTGGAGGTAGATCTTCATCCAGCAGCAGATCGACAGAGGAACGTTCGTTTTACGATTGCTTACACGGAGTTGCAGCGGTCAGTGTGTCATTGGCACGGTTGGCTCCGTCCGGTGCGAAAGAAGTTCAACGTGTACATGCGTACAATGTGGGCGAGATGTTAACTACCTCGCCTGGTATACAGGAGGTTGTGGCTTCGATCCAGACCCGGACGCCGGAGTTTGCATGTTCTCTCCGTGGTTGCGTGGATTTATCCCCAGTTTTCCCCTCCACACGCGTTTAGAGTATTTGGCCGCTGCTATACATTTCCAGATGACAATTCACTTTCGTTGAGCCGTCATTTGTGACGGCCTGGTTGCTTCTGATAAAGATCAACGTAGCTCAGTTGGGGCTTCACCTGGTGTAATGCGCTTCGCGTGCGGGCACTTTCACACAGGGGCTGAGTGGCGGGTTCAGTGACTCTGACACGGCCATTCTGAGTCCACCAAGAGAGAGACACCCAGACCCAGGACTCAAACCCAGGTCCTCAGCAATGCTGGTTCAGTGTCTCTGACATGGCCATTCTGAGTCCACCAAGAGAGAGACACCCAGACCCAGGACTCAAACCCAGGTCCTCAGCAATGCTGGTTCAGTGTCTCTGACATGGCCATTCTGAGTCCACCAAGAGAGAGACACCCAGACCCAGGACTCAAACCCAGGTCCTCAGCAATGCTGGCTCAGTGTCTCTGACATGGCCATTCTGAGTCCACCGAGAGAGAGACACCCAGACCCAGGAGTCAAACCCAGGTCCTCAACACTGCTGGCCCATCATCGTGCTGCTGCCAAACCCCCAACAATAGTTTCAAACGGTGTGGCAGTCCTCACTCACTCACTGATGATGTCTGATCGGTGGAAGTGTCCCCACCCGCCCTCTAAAAATGAATGTACACCACTGGGTTCAGAAGCTCGAACAGATGCAGACGTTCAGTCACTGGCACAGAGGAGACGAGGAAACATCCTAGTCCAGACTTGAAAGCAGGTTCGGGGGTGGTGGTGGTGGCAATGGCCAGAGGGGAGGGAATTCCAGAGCCCCCTCCCCCCGCGGGCAGGTAGCAGTGGAGAAGGAGGGACCTCGGGCAAATTAGACGGCTCGAGTGAGCGCGACGCTGGGGGTTTAACCGTCTGCTGCTGCAGATTTAAACTTAAACTTGGGTTTTTTTGGTAAAGTCACATCGGTAAAAAATAAAATAAAAATCACGACGTTTCGGAGGCAACAGAAGCCTCCGTCTTCAGGTGGAACCGTCACAGCACGCTTGCTGTATGCAGTCACGAAAGATTCAAATCTAGAATTAAACTATAAACTAAACTATTTTTTAATTACCAGGGAATGCCCCACTGAGTTATGCAGCTCCTTTTTGTTTCTGTCTATAAGCGACCTGGAATCACAAGTGATAGCTTGGCCAGGTGGCTTATCGACATTACGTGGAAATGTCTGGCAGCGGCCAAATATTCTGAACGCATGTCGACGTCGATTCGAAATGTGGAGGGGGAAAAGAACGCGGGACCCGGAGAAAAATCCACGTGACCACGGAGAGAGAGAGATACGCAAACTACAAATATAAAGCAGGCATCGGGGTCGGGATCGAACCCGTGACCACCTGCATATCAGGCAAGGCAGTTAACATCTCCTAGCCACAATCATGAGTCAAAGCTCATGGTTGTCAAACTGAGAAGTGGGATTTGTGCTGGTGATGGCTTGGACATGAGCCGAGACGGCGAAGCTAGCGAGGGTGGTGGCTCGTGCATGTGGAGCGTCGCTTGGGAAAATCGTTGCGTTAATTATGAAGGCAGAGGAAGTCGGGTTTGATGTCTCAGCTTAGTTGCGAGCGGTCACGTGGGAGTTAATCGTTCGTCGGGCCACGTGTGCCGGCGACATGGTTTCGTCTCGCATGAGGGTAGTGATTCCACAACGATCCGATAGATGCGGGAACGGATCACTTGTTTACCATCGGTGTTGCCTTGAGACTCGAGTTGACCGGGGATTCTGGACCGGAGTCTCGGTCGAGACTCAACTCCAGGAGAGCGGGTCTTAGGATCGGAGTCTCAGTTCAGACTCGGCTCCAGGAGACCGGATCTCAGGATCGAGAATCTTGAAACTTAACATCAAGAGACCGTGTCTCAGGATCGGAGTCTCAGTTGAGACTCGGCTCCAGGAGACCGGATCTCAGGATCAAGAATCTTGAAACTTAACATCAGGAGACCGTGTCTCAGGATCGGAGCCGGTCTCGGGATCAGAGTCTTGAGACTCGGCTCCATGAGTCCAGATCTTGGGTTCGAAAATCTTAAGACTTAACTTCAGGAAACCAGGATCCAGAGTCTCAGTTGAGACAACTCCAGGAGACCGGGTCTCAAGATCGTAGTCTTAATTGGAACTGATATTTAAGCCGTAGTGAACCCATGTTCCCATGACTTTGTTCTAGGCTGTGTATTGTCCTGCAAGTGAAACTAGACCGACTGCTGAGGATGATTGTTCAGTTGTGGTCATTGCATGTGCTGGTCCATTCATTAGATAGCACGGCCGTGCTCCATCGCGATACCACGAAACACGCAGGGAAGGCTGCTCGCTTCACCATGGACAGGTTACCCGAATCACGAAAAGATGCAATAAACTCAAAAGCTGCTCAGAAACCGACTCGCCTCGTTGTATTGCGTGTCTGTGTGTAGTGACATGGAATGGGTCGTTACGTAGCAAGGCGCGTGTTGCTGGCAAAGAAGGGGAATCTGCGGTCGCAGCAGCCCTGTCTGTCAGGTCACGTGACAAGCCAGAGAGGGATGTAGGGGAAAGGTGATAGAGGGGGGCACGTGAGGTGAGCCTGGGAACCCGCGAGAAGGTTCGAGAAGGGGGGCGTGGCCGGGGCGGAGCGAGGCCACGCCGGGAGGATAAAAGGGTAGCCCGAGCGAAGGCTCGGGGCTGTTGCTGTGAGTGGGGATCCAGTCGTGCTGCTGGAGTCTGCGTCTTCACCATCTCGGCGTCGTCAGTCAGGCAGTCTGCCAGCTGTCCTGACTGGGAGCTGTAGTGATCCCTTGTCACCTGTGAAGGCTGTTAATAAATAGAGTGCCTCCTACTGCACGTGTAAACTGATTCATCAGCAGTGAGCGGGAGCTGCCTCTTGAGCGCAGGTGGCCTTGAGCTGTGGGTTAAGGGCAGCGGTTGTTCTTAACCTGGGGTGCACGCAGGGGAGGGGAGGTGCGAGATGCCCTTTCTGGGGGTGCGAGACACGGAAAGATTTTCTTTAGAAGGTAAATCATCGACAACACAAATTAAGGATGGGCACGTTAAGTTACAACTTACTTTGTTTCATCAAACTCTCTATGCATTAACATTGAAAACATTTTTTCACGATTGATACCCAAATGGGTGCAAGGTTGCAGTCAAGGTTAAGAACCACTGGTTTCGGGAGATAGGGGTTGGTGTTTGAAATAGAAAACAATGGTCTGGGTTTAGGAGATGGGAGTAAAGTTGAATGTTGAACTTCTTTCGCACCGTACGTAAGCCCACCGTGCTAATCGGAGGCCAGGCGAGGCACGACGACAAACCAGACAACAAAAAACAATTATAAAAGAAATGAGTTTGTCAATCTCGACGATGTATCGGTGCATAGCTCCAGCGGCTTCCGAATATCGCAAGAACGTTCCAGACGGCCGCGGAGTTTGGCGAGAGAGCCAGTGGACTTGCTGCCAGGGCGGACATCCGAAACGCTGCCAGTGGCGAATGATCGAAGCGGCGAATGATCGAAGTGGCGAATGATCGAAGCGGCGAATGATCGAAGCGGCGAATGATCGAAGTGGCGAATGATCGAAGTGGTGAATGATCGAAGTGGCGAATGATCGAAGTGGCGAATGATCGAAGTGGCGAATGATCGAAGTGGCGAATGATCGAAGTGGCGAATGATCGAAGCGGCGAATGATCGAAGCGGCGAATGATCGAAGTGGCGAATGATCGAAGTGGCGAATGATCGAAGTGGCGAATGATCGAAGTGGCGAATGATCGAAGCGGCGAATGATCGAAGCGGCGAATGATCGAAGTGGCGAATGATCGAAGCGGCGAATGATCGAAGCGGCGAATGATCGAAGCGGCGAATGATCGAAGTGGCGAATGATCGAAGCGGCGAATGATCGAAGTGGCGAATGATCGAAGCGGCGAATGATCGAAGTGGCGAATGATCGAAGCGGCGAATGATCGAAGCGGCGAATGATCGAAGTGGCGAATGATCGAAGCGGCGAATGATCGAAGTGGCGAATGATCGAAGTGGCGAATGATCGAAGCGGCGAATGATCGAAGTGGCGAATGATCGAGCGGCGAATGATCGAAGTGGCGAATGATCGAAGTCGGCGAATGATCGAAGCGGCGAATGATCGAAGCGGCGAATGATCGAAGTGGCGAATGATCGAAGTGGCGAATGATCGAAGTGGCGAATGATCGAAGTGGCGAATGATCGAAGTGGCGAATGATCGAAGTGGCGAATGATCGAAGCGGCGAATGATCGAATGGCGAATGATCGAAGTGGCGAATGATCGAAGTGGCGAATGATCGAAGTGGCGAATGATCGAAGTGGCGAATGATCGAAGTGGCGAATGATCGAAGTGGCGAATGATCGAAGCGGCGAATGATCGAAGTGGCGAATGATCGAAGTGGCGAATGATCGAAGTGGCGAATGATCGAAGTGGCGAATGATCGAAGTGGCGAATGATCGAAGTGGCGAATGATCGAAGTGGCGAATGATCGAAGCGGCGAATGATCGAAGTGGCGGGCAGTGCAGGTGGTGGGTGCCAATCCGTCGCTCGCGCAGCATGTCGGTGTCAGGGGCAGAGGTCGCAAACGGGTTTTGATTCCTTACCCGTACCCGACCGGGTATGGGTACCCGTACGCTACCCGTACCCTACCCGAAATGAGTGACAAACGGTTACTCACCGGTGACTCACGGCCTACCCGTACCCGTACCCGGCCGCACCAGGGTCGCAAACGGGTACCCGTACCCGTACCCGGCCGGGTACGGGTACCCGTACACTACCCGTACCCGTACCCTACCCGAAATGAGTGACAAACGGTTACTCACCGGTGACTCACGGCCTACCCGTACCCGGCCGCACCAGGGTCGTAAACGGGTACCCGTACCTAGCTGGGTACGGGTAGCCGGGTATCGGGTAGGGTATAGGTATCAGGTACCCGGTTGCGACCTCTGGTCAGGGGTAAGGTGGTCAGTGATTGGCTACAGCGGCGGTCCCCAATCTTTTTGGCACCAGGGACCGGTTTCGTGGAAGACAATTTTTTCACGGACCGGGGGGGGGGGGGGGGGCTTACCAAAACTGTGACAAGTGCGCAGTGCGGGAAAGGGAAAGAGGCGCGGATGGAATTGGTCAATAATAAAATAATAGGCGGGTCACGCGCGGACTCACCACTCACCTGCTGCAGTGCGGCCATGGACCGATACCGGTTAAAGCGACACGGGGGATCTTTGTCTTGTGCGGCATGGTAACGAGCCCCCATGCGTTTACCGCACACGGCTCCCGGATGGTGCGGTTCGCTCAGTACGGCGCGAAAGAAGTTCAACTGACATGCAGTGGTCTTCTTTGGTGGTGGCCTTTTAGTACGGCCCCTTGATGTGCGGCCACACCGACAATACAGAGTGACAAAACCCCCCATCGTCGTCATCGTCGCACTGCTGTCAAACCCCCAATGGTTTCAAATGTGTGGCGGCCCTCACACGGATGATGTCTCGTCTGATGCGATGCCTTATTGTGACGATGCCTTATCGTGATCATGTCTTATTTGAAGTCTTATCGTAATGATCTCTTATTGTGACGATGCCTTATCGTGATCATGTCTCATATCTGATGTCTCATCGTGGCCAACGCCCACGCCGAAACGTCGCGAAGAACGCCGACATCCATCGTCGCCGAGGTGAAAGTGCACTTTTATTGAGCGGAGAGCTCGCGCGCACGTGCGCGGTTCACCGCTACAATTCCCGCGACGTCAACACAGGCAGACACGAGCGGCTCACGTGAAACGAGACCGAGTGCCAAGTCGTCAAGACTCTCCATCGCCCTTTTCCCGCACACAACAGCGCATCACGAGCCCCTCTCCTTCCCGGCGGTCAAGCCCCGCGGGGTGATTGCACTCTGCACGTGTGCGGTCGCGGTACGAAGCCGAGATCGAATCCCACTCACGGCCAACGCCGGTGACGATTATCCGAACCGGTCTCGGGCCTCCGACTGGGTCATCTCGACCCTCAAATGAGTAGCTGGTGCGTCAACATCAGCATTGGAGATGAAGGCCGTCGGGCGTGGTGCTGGCCACCCACCCCCTCGTGTTCTGTGCCGGCCTTCATAGGTGCTCGCCAACAGGTAAGGCCCGCTGAGCTGTATAGCTCTTAATCAGAAGCGACCTGGCCACAAAGTGGCTTATCGCGTGGAAATTTACAGCAGCAAAATACTCCCGAACGCGTGTTTCTAAGTGCGGAGGGAAAAACCGGAGGACCCGGAGAAAAATCCACGCGGCCACTGGGAAGGAACACGCAGAGTCCAAATATACAACAGGTGTTGGTGTCGGGATCGAACCCACGACCTACTGCGTACCAGGCGAGGGAGTTAACATCTCCTAGCCACCGCGGCGCCCCCGATTAGAAAGCTTCGGAGGGCAGCCACTGTGGACATGGAGCAATCCGATGAGTTTGTGTGCAGAAGTGAAGATGGACCGAGGAATTGCAAAGACCAGAGGAGACGGCGATGGCATGATGAGGTCTTCACCGGGCAGTGGAGAGACGGACCGTGGCTGAACACTTTGCAATTCCTGGGTGGCCAACACCACGCCTGGCCGCCTTCGTCTCCCCAGTGGCGATATTTGAGGCCGAGTCGACCTAGGAGAGGCCCATGACCGGTTGAGATAATCGTCACTGGTGTTGGCCGTGAGCGGGAATCGAACCCGGGTCGCCGGGTTCGTAGCGCAGCGCGCTCACCACTACACTACCGCTCCCCACAAGTTATACACACACACACATGTACACACACACACACACGTGTGCAAGAATCCCCCGTATAGCCTTTAAAAAATTGGGGGCCAATTGCTGTTAGCGAGCATCTATTAAGGGGTCAGCTCACCCCCGCAATAGGGGGTTGTGTGACAAGCAACCACTCTCAACCACTCCCAACCACGGCCGTCTACCCCAGCACCGATGTTCACAGACCGCAAGTACTCAAGGCCGGACAGATATCGCTTGCTCCTGTTAGCCGTGCCTGGTCGATGTTTTTGTAGCACAGTGGGTTCATAGCGATGCCTGCGCATGCCGTTTACACAAACACACGGATATATACCGTATATATAACACATTCCTGCGGAGGGAGCTGGTAGGAACGTTGGGTTGCTCGGTCAATGGCCTGCAGGGTCAACGGCGGCGTGGTGTATTCCGCAAATATGGCCGACTGTGAGGGCGGGCACAAGCCGACGTGAGTAGGTTAAACGTTGAGTTTTATAAGGGCACCACGGGGTGACCAGCCCCTCCCCACCCAGCCCCACCCAGCCCCACCCTCCCCACCCAGTACTTGAAAATTACTCAACTGGGATCACACACACAGCACCAGCATCGCCCCCCCCCACCACCACCACCTCCTGGCAAACATTTGGAAAAACCCTTCTGAAAGAGAGTCTTGAGGCTCAGCGAGGCTTTCCTGGGTAAACAAACATCCGAGTAATAGCGATGAATAAATAACTCAAGTCCTGTAGCCAGGAGCTGCGGGTTTTTGAGGCGGATCGGCAAGATGCGTTGAGGATTGGGTCGTCTTTTACACGCAAGACGCTACCGAAATATAAACGGCTCATCTTGTAGACGCGGCGTATCTCGGGGCCTGCGTCCCGGGCTGTCCGACACGAGTGAATGGTGAATACTTGCACGTGACAATCGAGTGCGCCGTCATATGCACAGCAGACACATCGCGATACGACTCTTCGCGCTCCTCAAGCCCCTGACCACGTAGAAGCGCAGTGGCTCTTCGGAGCGCATCCCAAGATTCGTCGATCGTCCCCACGACCGGGACTGGCCCTGGCCAAGCGGCGATTCTTCGTGACCACTCCCCTCAATCGTCGCAGTGGCTAGATGTTAACTACCTCGCCTGGTGTAGAGGAGGTCGTGGGTTCGATCCCGACCCTGACGCCTGCTGTATATTTGGAGTTTGCGTGTCTCTCCCTCATCATCACCATCATGGTGGTGAGATGTTAACTACCTCGCCTGGTGTACAGGAAGTTGTGGGTTCGATCCCGATCCTGACGACTTCTGCTGTATATTTGGAGTTTGCGTGTCTCTCCCTCATCATCACCATCATGGTGGTGAGATGTTAACTACCTCGCCTGGTGTACAGGAAGTTGTGGGTTCGATCCCGGTCCTGACGACTTCTGCTGTATATTTGGAGTTTGCGTGTCTCTCCCTCATCATCACCATCATGGTGGTGAGATGTTAACTACCTCGCCTGGTGTACAGGAAGTTGTGGGTTCGATCCCGGTCCTGACGACTTCTGCTGTATATTTGGAGTTTGCGTGTCTCTCCCTCATCATCACCATCATGGTGGTGAGATGTTAACTACCTCGCCTGGTGTACAGGAAGTTGTGGGTTCGATCCCGACCCTGACGCCTGCTGTATATTTGGAGTTTGCGTGTCTCTCCCTCATCATCACCATCATAGTGGTGAGATGTTAACTACCTCGCCTGGTGTACAGGAAGTTGTGGGTTCGATCCCAGTCCTGACGACTTCTGCTGTATATTTGGAGTTTGCGTGTCTCTCCCTCCCCGTGGACGTGTAGATTTCTTCTCTGGGTTGTCCGGTTTTTCCCCTCCACATTAAGAATCATTTGCCTGCTGCTTTAAGTTTTCACATATGCCACTTCGTTGTGCTATCATTTGTGGCCAGGCCGCTTCTAAAATAAGAATTTAACAGCTCAGTGGGCCTTACCTGGTAAAATAAATAAGAGCTTAGTTTATAGTTTATCAGGAGTCAGCTGAAGGCGCCGCACCTGTTATTGTACGTATTTATTTCTCGTGATTTGCTTTTCTTTCCTATACCTTGCACTCGTTTTTGTATATTGTTTATTGTTGCGAAAACTCTGACCCGCCCCCGACTGGAACATCGGTGAAAACGAGCTTCTTAGCCCATCGGATTCCTCCAGGATAAATAAAAGAATCCGATTCGAGGAAACGCGGAGGCTGCGTTCCCACGCCTTCCGAGTTTCACGACCTCGCGATGGACTCGTCCATTCCGCGAAGATCGCTACGTTGCCGTCACGGATTGTCGGTGCTATATCGTGACGTCAAAATGTGAGCGTCGTCGCAGCGAAGCAACCTGCGACGTCGCTCGGGTGCTGGAACGGTTTCACGACGCCGCTGGAACGAGACTCGACGGCAATATCCCCCCTTCATCTTCTTGGTTCTTTCGGTAAAGTCACGTAGAATGGAAATAATAAAAAATAATAAAAATAAAATAATTCTCACGACGTTTCGGCCACAACGCAAGCAGCCGTCCTCAGGTGGAGAACAGGTCTGTCGAGAAGACAGCGTCTGAATCCTCCCGTCAGCGGCGGGCAGTGGGCAGCAGGTTACATCGTTGTCACGCACGGCGCTTCTGTGCTTCCGCGCCGATGCTTTCGCCAGCCTGAACGGATTGATGTGGTGCGGTGTAGCTGTGGTGGGGGGGGGGGGTGGGACGTCCTCGGGTAGCGATCGATTGACACAAGCGGCCACGCGTGCGCGCCTGTGAACGACGCATTGAAACCCCCATTGGAACCTCATTTGCCAGTAAAAATATAATTGTTTTTTTACCCTTCTATCTGGCAACAAAACTGACACCTTTTTTTTACAAGGAGTCATGTTTACATAGACCACAATACCTGCAGTCATAACGCAAACAAAAGACATAACTCTGATAATGTATGCACTGTCCTTGAAGTTGATTGGTCCACACCCGAGACAGCTTTCCTTTGAAACTCGCGGGCGGGGCGACGCGTCCACCAGGGTCGCGTTGCCGTCTGGCCCTTTCCATCTTCAAACGCAACATCATCAGTTGGGGTCGAAGGGCAGGTACGGGAGTCGCACCTGCGGCTGCCTCCCCTTCCTCCTCGTGCTGCTCCCGTTGGTGGCGAGCGACGCGGGCTCCAGCCGCTCCGTGAACATCCTGTAAGCCGGGGGAGCGTTGCCTTGCGCCTGAAAGCCAGCCGCAATCATCGCCATCGCTACCTCTTCCTCCACCTCCTCTTCATCATCATCATCGTTCTCTTCCTCCTCCAACTCCTGTTCCTCCTCGCCTGCCCCGAGCCTTTCTGCCCACGCTCCTGTGGGGAACGCCTCTGCCCCGACGCCGTCGGTACCGCCCTCGGCCCAGACTCCGACCGGACCGTGCCGAGGAGCGGGTCCCGACTCCGTGGGGAAGCCCGGCCGTGCTCCTCCTCCCAGCTGGAGCCGAGCCGAGCCTCCCGCGACTGATCCTCCCGGCCACGTCGCCACGGCCGCCACAGCCGCTGGCGTCGCGACGACGTCCGTGGGACGTCTGCTGGCGTGCGTGCGCGCGTGCTGGGGGAGCAACGGCACCAACGTCGTCATCATCGTCGTCGTCGTCGTCGTTATCAACATCTTCTTGGTTCTTTCGGTAAAGTCACGTAGAATGGAAATAATAAAAAATAAAATATTTTTAATTTTTATTTCCATTCTACGTGACTTTACCGAAAGAACCAAGAAGATGAATCCCTGCAGTCACGAAAGCTTTAAATCGAAAGTTATCAACATCGTCAACATCTCTATCGGTGGCAGCAGAATCGTCGCCGTTATCCTCAACATCATCATCAACAGCAGCTTCAATACCATCGACATCAACAAGAACAGCATCGTAGCTATCATGACGATCACCAACAGAAGCACTATTGCCATCATCCTCAACAGGAGTATTAATGCCGTCAGGATCATCACCAAATTGTCTAAGTGCATCGGTGTACTTATACAATTTGAACTTAAATACTTTATCTATTTCGTGCATTTATTTTTAGTGATTTGCTTTCCTTCCCTACACTTTGCACTGCTGTCGTGTTTTAAAATCATTAATTCTTGTAACTTTCTCACCCCATGCCCCGACTGGGCATCTGTGAAAAAAAAAAAAAAAGCTTCACATCTCATCAGGATTTCACCCCAATGAAGATTCTTCCGACGGATTCCGACCGTTACCACCGTCGTCACCCTCCCCGCCCCCTCCACCCCGCGCACACAGGCACCTGCAGCAGGTGCTTGCGCTGCTTGAACCGTTTCCCGCATGCGACGCACACGTGCGGCTTGTCCTCGGCGTGCGTGCGCCGGTGCGCCGCCAGGTTGCCCGACTGCGCGAAGCGCTTGCCGCAGTCGCCGCAGCCGAAGGGCCGCTCGCCGCTGTGCGTGCGCCGATGGTTCAGCAGGTTGGTCTGCTGCGAGAACTCCTTTCCGCACTCGACGCACACGTACGGACGCTCGCCCGAGTGCGACAGCCGGTGCGCCGCCAGGTTGCTCGACTGCGTGAACGCCTTCCCGCACTCGGCGCACGGGTAGCGCCGCTCGCCAGAGTGCACCTTGCGGTGGTGCGACAGGTTGGAGGAGCGCAGGAAGCGGCGGCCGCACACCTGGCCGGGTAGGGTCCCGGCAGACGGCGGAGGAGGCAGAGTTGGTGGGTGTGGGGGGGAGGAGGAGGAGGCCGTGCACGGACGAGGGAGGGAAAGGAGAGGTAATGTGCGGGCGAGGAGATAAGAGGGGAGGAAGCTTGCATCGTTTTTGTCTAACCTACCTACTTGCTTGCTTGCTTTCTCGCTTGTTGACTTCATCCACCAACTCTCTCTCACCAGCCTGCCCAACCCACATCCCCACCAACTCACCTACGCACCCAGCCACCAACCAACCTGACCCACAAACCCGCCCATATATACACACACCCTCCCCAACTATTTATCCACTTGCTCACCCATTCACCGATCTATCCACTCAGCGACTCGCTCAACTACGTATCCACTCGGCGACTCGCCCGCCTGTCCACCTATCCACTCACGCGACCGCCCCGCAACGCTCACCTCGCAGGCGAACGGCCTCTCGCACGTGTGCGTCGTCTGATGCGTCAGGAGGCCGTCGCGCGTCGCGAACCTCCGCTCGCACTCGCGGCACGGGTAGAGTTTGTCGCGGGCGTGCGACGCGGCGTGCACCCCCAGCTCCTCGGCGCCTCGGAACGCTCGCCCGCACGCCTCGCAGACGTGCCCGCCGCCCCGCGCCAGCCAGGCTGCGCGTCGCACAACCACAACCGCCGTTCGCCACTAAGCCGCGGTGACGTCACCGCGGCGCCTGTGCCAGGATGGGTGCACTTTAAGGCCACGTAAATTATTTTTGGTTCTTTCGGTAAAGTCACTTAGAAGGGAAGTAATTAAGTAATACAAATAAAACATAACGAAATAATTATTTTATTTTATTATATTATGTTTTATTTTTATTATTTTATTACTTCCCTTCTACGTGACTTTACCGAACGAACCAAGAAGATGAATCCCTGCAGTCACGAAAGTTTTAAATCGAAAGCCACGTAAAGTGTCGAACACCCTGCTGGCAGGAGGTCACGGGGCAGGCCAGGCTGCCGTGGGTGGACCGAGATGGCTGCCCGATGCACCAGCTGTGTGTGCACGTCTCACGCACACACGCGCGCTCACACCGGCGGCTGACCAGAGAACCTCACGAATTGTGCGTTCTCCTCGCTTGTTACGAATGGCTTGCCTCCACTGTGCTGAAGTACAGGCGTGCAGAGCCACCATTCACGCATTAACCCGGCTCAGCTTCCGAGATCTGACATCAGGCACATTTTAGTGATGGGGGGTATATGTCAGTGTAAATTCAGATGATCAGATTTTTATTTAGACTGCAGGAGAAATCCGATGAGCTATTAAGCTCTTTCCCACAGATATTCGGTGGGGGCACGGGGTGGGAAGATTATAACAACGAACAATACAAAAAACACGATAGGAGAGAAAAGTCTAGGAAATCACTTTTAACAAAAACATTTGTTTATCTTACCAGGTAAAGCCCCGCTGAGCTATTAACTTATTTTTTTTTAAGCGACCTGGACACAAATGATCGCTCAACAAAGTGACTAATCACGTGAAAATGTACAGCAGCAAAATAATCTCAAGTTACAACAATACAAAAACGACGGCAACAACAAAATGAAAAAAGGTGAAACTAAAATATGCAACGCGACTGATATTGCTAAAAAAAAACGGTACGTGACAATTACTCAATTGCAATAACACAGCAGCAAAACTTGGCCCCAGCTACTGCTAAAAACGCCACAGGACCTTCCTTGAAGAAGAGAATCGAGACTTGGCGAGGGCTTTCCTGGGTGAACAAGCGTCCGAGTAATAATGGTGAATAACAACTCAGCTCCTGCAGCCAGCAGCTGGGGTTTTCGAGGTGAATCAGGAGTTTTATCATTTTATTTACAAAGGCAGATTTACCGCAGATGACTGTTTTGATTAACAAAACAGCATTACAATATCGTGCGTCCTTCAACGCAGGAAACAATCGAAATATAAACAGCTCATCGCGTACCTAGGAGCCCGTGCCCCGAGCTGTCCGTTACAAGTGAATGGGAATATAGTGATAGGTTTTTACCCTTTCAACTGGTACAAAAACTGACACCTTTATACAAGGCATCATGTTTGCAATAACCACAACACAAGCAGTCAAAATGCAAACATTTTGTGTTGTGGTTATTGCAAACATGATGCCTTGTATAAAGGTGTCAGTTTTTGTACCAGTTCAAAGGGTAAAAACCTATCACTATATTTTGCCACTGGTAAAGGAGATGTCTCATAGTGAATGGGAATACTTTGAGTTTTCATTACAAAGTGCCCTGGAGTTGCTCTACACGATGGCAATAGGATGAATGCACCCATATCGTACCTTTGTACCGTTCGTCGTGGTAACGTTCTTACCCCGTGCCCCGGCTGGACGTCTGCGATAAAAAACCCCCGCCCACCTCCTACACATTTCACAAGTAGCACGAGTCGCATTCCTGCATTTCCCATAAATATGCTAAATTCCTCTTGATATGCAGATTCTTTTGTCAAGGCGCATTTCCCCTCCCCCCCCTTCCAAACCAGCTTAAATATACGCTCCAAGCATGGTGGTGTTTCATTTAGACGCTGTCTCCCCGACAGACCTGGTCTTCACCTGAGGATGGCTACTTGCGTTGTGGCCGAAACGTCGTGAGAATTATTTAATTGTTTTATTTATTATTTATTATTTCCATTCTACGTGACTTTATCGAAAGAACCAAGAAGATGAATCCCTGCAGTCACGAAAGCTTTAAATCGAAAACCCTTTCTGATTCTGATTCTCTGTGCGCACCTTGGGAGTCGCTTTCCGTCTTCAGGACGAGTTCGCCGACGGACGTCCACACGCCGACGCCGTCTTCTCCGGAGAAGCCTGGCCCTGCCGCGTCACCCGACATCGTAGCACCACCTGCACCACTCTGAAGAAAGAAAAAGAGAAAAAAAAAAGATCAACGCGGACCTTAACGATGGGACACATTTCAAGGAACGGGCGCGCCGTTGTGCGTACGTGTACAGCGTAGCCCTCTTCTCGACGCGCCGTGCAGGTCGTGGGCGGGGTGGGTGTTATTTGATTTGATATTTCACGCTTGGTCAGTGCGGATTTCTGAAAACATAGCTGTGGGAGCACAGAAGTACAGTCCGACAATGGATTTCGCTTCGCTCTCCTATGCTGCCCACGACGTCCTTCCCCCCGCACCTCCGACTAGCGAGGTTGACTACGTGCAGCGCGAAAGAAGTTCAACGTACATGCGACGTAGCTCATCCGCAGCCGAGAACACCCGATGAATGATAATAATTTTAAGCCATAACGATCCACGCTGCATTCGCTCACTCCCAGGTTCAAGCTCAAGTTCATGTATTACGTATAGCCCTGTGAGCCATTCGGCTCTTGAATCGGGTGCAACCGCAACAAACAAACAAGTATAACCTGTAAAAACAAAGTTTTTCACTATAAATCCTCTATATGCGTGGCGGCTAGAGTCCTCTCGTCCTCTGGCTTGAGATGGCTGCCACCTATGGGTCAGATGATTGCATTGCACCATTAAGCAATTGGTAATTAAATATAATATTTATGTCCCAAAAAGTGTAAAATTTTGGAAAAAAATTTTCACGAACATTAGTTGTCACGCACAACGAGTCTGTGTGGAAAATGTCAGCTCCATTGGATCACGGGAAGTGGGTTAAAAAACGACCGAAAGATTTGCACGGTCGTAAGCAAGCAAGCAAACTTAATATAAAGGATTTAAAAAAACAAAAAACATGAACAAAAAAACATCTTAAAGTGAATATGTGACTGAGTGCAAACAGAAAATCCAAGAAAAGACAGCAAAATATTGCAGACAACGACTCAGAGGTGCGATGACCCACAGACAAGCGGGAGGGCAGCAGCGAATGCAGTTAGAGGGCAGTTTAACACATGGGCTTTCAACTTTGCACCTCCGATCAGCACAATCAGCAACGAGCAGGTGTGAAAGAAGTTCAATGTACAGCCCATAGACACATGCTGCACGTTTCAGCTTGTTGATGTACGTCAATGCTGTTTTTATACAGTTAAAATGTCTTCTTGGTTCTTTCGGTAAAGTCACGTAGAAGGGAAAAAATAAAATAATAAAAATTAAACATAATAAAATCATTCTCACGACGTTTCGGCCACAACGCAAGCAGCCGTCCTCAGGTGAAGAACAGGGCTGTCGTAAAGACAGCGTCTGTCTGTCGGAATCTTTCCGACAGCCCTGTTCTTCACCTGAGGACGGCTGCTTGCGTTGTGGCCGAAACGTCGTGAGAATTGTATTTTATTATGTTTCATTTTTATTATTTTATTATTTCCCTTCTACGTGACTTTACCGAAAGAACCAAGAAGATGAATCCCTGCAGTCACGAAAGCTTTAAATCGAAAGTTAAAAATGTGTTAAGTTAATTGTATTTCCTTATTATAAATCATTATCACAGACTGATAATCCACTGCAAGATGAACGATTCGCCCTCCACTCTGTCACCATCACTCACGGTCCAGTGCTGCTACCACCCATCTCACTCCTGACACGTGCACCGATCTAATCGCTCCATCTCCACGCGGGTCGTCCTCTTGGCTGCAGTCCTCCCCTTGGTCGTCATGATGAGAAACGCACTCCCTGCTGTGACACAGGGTTCAGAAACACGCTCGACCAACACAAACGATGCAACGGAAACTGAAGTGTAAAGAAGCGTGGAGTGAAGAACGCTTTGGAATCGCACCGAGAGACAGAAGAGAAACAACGTGGATTTGAGAACACGCGCAGATTGACATAATTCAGTGGTAAGAAAAAATGCACCTTGAGATTCTTTTGCTAATGAAAACAAAAAGCAGTTCTAAAGAAATGGGTCTCTGTGAGTCTATGGGTCTCTGTGAGTCTATGGGTCTCTGTGAGTTTATGGGTCTCTGTGTGAGTCTATGGGTCTCTGTGTGAGTATATGGGTCTCTGTGTGAGTCTATGGGTCTCTGTGTGAGTCTATGGGTCTCTCTGTGAGTCTATGGGTCTCTCTGTGAGTCTATGGGTCTCTGAGAGTCTATGGGTCTCTGTGTGAGTCTATGGGTCTCACTGTGAGTCTATGGGTCTCTGTGTGAGTCAACGGATCTCTGTCTTGAGTCTATGGGTCTCTGCGTGAGGCTATGGGTCTCTGCGTGAGTCTATGGGTCTCTGTGTGAGTCTATGGGTCTCTGTGAGTCTATGGGTCTCTGTGTGAGTCTATGGGTCTCACTGTGAGTCTATGGGTCTCTGTGTGAGTCAACGGATCTCTGTCTTGAGTCTATGGGTCTCTGCGTGAGGCTATGGGTCTCTGCGTGAGTCTATGGGTCTCTGTGTGAGTCTATGGGTCTCACTGTGAGTCTATGGGTCTCTGTGTGAGTCAACGGATCTCTGTCTTGAGTCTATGGGTCTCTGCGTGAGGCTATGGGTCTCTGCGTGAGTCTATGGGTCTCTCTGTGAGTCGACGGATCTCTGTCTTGAGTCGACGCATGTATTTAGAACTTCATTCTCACCGTACGGAGCCAACCGTGCTAATCGGAGGTGCGCGGGGGAGGTCGGGAAAAAATTAGAAACTAAATGAGTGGTCCCTTGGTTTACGATGCCATCGATGAACGATATTTCGAGGTCAACTTCCGAACGTATTGGAGCAAATGGAGCCTTTAACATGCATTTCCTCCCCATAGGGGGTGAGTCAGTTTAACACGTACGGCTATCGCGACCAATATTATCCATAACAGAAGGGGTGTTTTTACTAACTTTACTAATTGGCTGCGTCGGATAAGTGGCGGGTTTAACGACACATTTATATATTTACGCGATCTCAACCCCAAAACACAAACCCCCGCCCCCCTCTATTATGGATGTTATTTCCTGTATTCGATTAAGAGACGCAAACTCCAAATACACAGCAGCAGGAATCAGTCAGGATCGAACCCACGACCTCCTGCACACCAGGCGAGGTAGTCAACATCTCCTAGCTACCGTGATGATGATGAGAGACACGCAAACTCCAAATATACAGCAGCAGGCATCGTCAGGGTCTGGATCGAACCCACGACCTCCTGCACACCAGGCGAAGTAGTTAACATCTCCTAGCCACTGTGATGATGATGAGAGAGAGACACGCAAACTCCAAATATATAGCAGCAGGCATCGTCAGGGTCAGGATCGAACCCACGACCTCCTGCATACCAGGCGAGGTAGTTAACATCTCCTAGCCACCGTGATAATGATGAGAGAGACACGCAAACTCCAAATATACAGCAGCAGGCATCGTCAGGGTCAGGATCGAACCCACGACCTCCTGCACACCAGGTGAGGTAGTTAACATCTCCTAGCCACCGTGATGATGATGATGAGAGACACGCAAACTCCAAATACACAGCAGCAGGCGTCAGTGTCGGGATCGAACCCACGACCTCCTGCACACAGGCGAGGTAGTTAACATCTCCTAGCCACCGTGATGATGATGAGAGAGACACGCAAACTACAAATATACAGCAGCAGGCATCGTCAGTGTCGGGATCGAACCCACGACCTCCTGCACACCAGGCATTGTAGTTAACATCTCCTAGCCACCGTGATAATGATGAGAGAGACACGCAAACTCCAAATATACAGCAGCAGGCATCGTCAGGGTCTGGATCGAACCCACGACCTCCTGCATACCAGGCGAGGTAGTTAACATCTCCTAGCCACCGTGATAATGATGATGAGAGAGAGAGACACGCAAACTCCAAATACACAGCAGCAGGCGTCAGTGTTGGGATCGAACCCACGACCTCCTGCACACCAGGCGAGGTAGTTAACATCTCCTAGCCACCGTGATGATGATGAGAGAGACACGCAAACTCCAAATATACAACAGGCGTCAGGGTCGGGATTTAACCCACGCTCTCTTGCATCATCGCCGATAATTCCGTAATAATTCCAAGTGACAAGTAGATTTCCCCGCTCCAAATGAGCACTTTTAAAGCACAGGCGCTCGTCTCCCGCTTACAGCCCAAGCAGGCCCAGCGGTGGTGGCGATTCCACATTCCTGCGGCGAGGACGATTTTAACCACTAACAACCCACCACCCCCCACAAACATCGCACCGTTCGCAGCGAGGGGCATCGCAAACCACGTCGTGTGAGCTACACAGCCATACTTCACCACGCTGGGCGTTAGTTTATTTTTTCACACTATTGTTATGTAGGCCAGGCTTAGTCACAAACCGCACCTCTCCATAACAAAGGCTCAGCCTCTTAAGCCTCTCACCTTACCATATTAATAAAAAAGTGTGCCGTACTTGGCCCTTCCCCTCTTCTTCAACTATTATATATAAACGGAGTGGTAGCTCTTGTAATCTTTTATTCACTAGATACAGCTATCGTGGCTGTGACGGTTCCGCCTGAAGGCGGAAGCTGGTGTTGCCTCCGAAACGTCGTGATTTTAATTTTACTTTCATTAATTTTAATGTTTTACCTACACGGTGACTTTACCGAAAAAAACCTAACAATATGAATCCTTGCAGTCACGAAAGCTTCAAATCTAGAACTTAAGAGCGTAGAACTAGTGGATATAATAACGCAACAGACGGCGTCGGACGCACGCGAACGAATGCACAAACTCTCACGGAGAAAAGGCGACGCGTTGGCCCCTCTCCGTTTCGTGGACGGGGCGAAGAAATTACGTTTGTCGCCGCGGTGTTTGTTTTTATAAATTTATAAATAAAAACAATTAAAAATAAAGAAACGCGGCCCTCTCAGAACCCCCAAGGCTTCTCGCTAGGCCTCAGGCGACCCGGCATGCCCCGCGCGCGTTGCCCATGGCAACGGGTCACGGCCGGCGATCACGACGCGGTGTAAGTGGCCGTGAGTGCGCGCACAGAAAAGAGTGCGAGGCGAACGACGCGGACGAAGGAAAGGCGAGGGGAACGTTTCGCCTCGTCTCCGCCGGGAAAGGGAGAGAGACGGCGAGGGACTATTTTTTGGTTACTCATCTCGCGCCGTCTTCTCGCTTTTGTGATCGCCGTACAATGGGGGGGGGGGGGGGGGGTGACAAGGCGGCGTGACGTAGCGGGGTTTGGGGTATCCCTCCGCGCGAACCTTCGGGTTTTCTAGCAACACGTGGCTTGAGTTGGATGCCATTTTTTGTTGTTGTTATTCTTCATTCTTTCGGTAAAATCACGTAGAATGGAAATAATAAAAGAATAAAAAGAAAACATAGTAAAACAATTCGACAGACCTGGTCATCACCTGAGGACGGCTGCTTGCGTTGTGGCCGAAACGTCGTGAGAATTATTTTATTATGTTTTATTTTTATTTTATTATTTCCATTCTACGTGACTTTACCGAAAGAACCAAGAAGATGAATCCCTGCAGTCACGAAAGCTTTAAATCGAAAAGACAAATAGTTCACTGCTTTAGCCCACCGGTGTGTTGAAGCGTGAAACCACGACATTTACAATTTTTTTATATATAAAAAACACTGCTGGTGCACGTGCGCCCTTTGGCGTCATCTGGTTCAACATCATGTGAGACTAGGCTCTAAGAAAAGCTGTCTCGGGTGTGGACCAATCAACTCCCAAGGACAGTGCATACATTATCAGAGTTGTGTTTTGTGTTTGCATTCCGACTTCAGGTACTGTGGTCAATGCAAACATGACTCCTTGTAAAAAAAAGTGTCAGTTTTGTTGCCAGATAAAAGGGTAAAAAAACAATTATCATATTTTGCTACTGGCAAATGAGGTTCCAATGGTGTAAATGCTTACCCCGAGCTCTCATACTCTGATGGTGCATTGTCTTTGAGTTGTGCGCCTTTGGCGTCATCTGGTCCAACACGATATGAGACTAGGCTCTAAGGAAAGCTGTCTCGGGTGTGGACCAATCAACTTCAAGGACTGAATATCATCAGAGTTGTGTTTTGTGTTTGCATTCCGACCGCAGGTATTGTGTTCAATGCAAACATGACTCCTTGTAAAAAAAGTTGTCAATTTTGTTGCCAGAAAAAAGTGTAAAAAAACAATTATCTCCCCGTTTTAAATAATTTTAATACATAGAACCCGCTCGCTCTCTCTGCGTCTAAAAGCGTAAGTCACGAACGCTGCCGTCTCTGGCACACCAAGACGACAAAGCCGAGGAGTTTAAGACCAGGCAGGATAATCCTTGGGGCAGATGAGTGGCGCAGTGGTTAACGCTCGTGTCTCGCACGGCAAGACCACAGAGCCCCAGTTCGATTCCCGACTCGGTCTATGGGGGGCAGCGTGAGTCTATGGGGAGCGTGAGTCTATGGGCAGTGAGTCTATGGGTAGTGTTGAGTCTATGGGTAGTGTTGAGTCTATGGGCAGTGTTGAGTCTATGGGGAGCGTGAGTCTATGGGCAGTGAGTCTATGGGCAGTGTTGAGTCTATGGGCAGTGTTGAGTCTATGGGCAGTGTTGAGTCTATGGGCAGTGTTGAGTCTATGGGTAGTGTTGAGTCTATGGGCAGTGAGTCTATGGGTAGTGTTGAGTCTATGGGTAGTGTTGAGTCTATGGGCAGTGTTGAGTCTAAGGGCAGTGTGAGTCTATGGGTAGTGTTGAGTCTATGGGCAGTGAGTCTATGGGTAGTGTTGAGTCTATGGGTAGTGTTGAGTCTATGGGTAGTGTTGAGTCTATGGGCAGTGTTGAGTCTAAGGGCAGTGTGAGTCTATGGGCAGTGTTGAGTCTATGGGCAGTGTTGAGTCTATGGGTAGTGTGAGTCTATGGGCAGTGTTAGTCTATGGGTAGTGTTGAGTCTATGGGCAGTGTGCGTCTATGGCCGGGTACGGGTACCCATTTGCGACCCTGGTGCGGCCGGGTACGGGTAAGGAATCAAAACCCATTTGCAACCTCTGTTAAGGACCTCCGCAAGAATTACGGCCGATGTTGGCTTCCAAAACCAAAAACTAGCAGCACTGTTAAACGCTGGGGATGTCAACAACTCGGTAAAATAGACTAGTACCCGTCAAATAAGATGGTACAAATATGCGTAGTTAAATCATATAGCAGCATATATCAGCCCTTCTGTATTCCTTAACAGAAGCTACTTGGGCAAGCATCGGCTGAGCGAGCATGTTGGCTACGTGGCCAAACGCAGCCTTGCCTGCCGGAGGAGCTCACCGATGATGATGATGATGATGAAGGGGACTGCCAGCTGAAACACAACGCCACTCACTCACACGCTTACAGATGTCACAACGCCACACTCGCCAAAGCGATAAAAAGGAATTTATTACACGGACATTCAATTCATTATACCAACGTGTAACTTGCGGTTTAAGATGCAACAAACGAGCGCAGCGACCGACCGACCGACCAGGGTTTCAAATGTCACGAAGAGAACAGCACAGTAACAAGGCAGCACTCCGCACTTCCCTTTTGTAAAAACAAAACAAAAACCCCGCACAGCTTCTTCGTGTGTGTGTGACACTTTGATCCGGTGTGGACAGGGGGAGAGAGAGAGAGCGAGCGAGCGAGCAAGGAGGGCATCTTTGAACCCCCTAAAACCCATCGCTCCCAAGAAGTAGTGTTTCAATTTGGATGCGATCGGCACGATAGGCCAGCCGTCCAGTTACTCCTCTTGCGGATTACAAGACACACATCCCCCCCCCCCCTGTATTTTCGTGCAAATCGTGGCGGCGAGGGAGGATGGGTGCATCCTGTAACAACGTTGGGCTATGCATGCGCATGACCAGATGCGTCCAATTTGATTGACGCCCGGTTAATAATAGTGGTGGCGTTGCGTCTGACTTTCTCCTGGGGCGTCTTATAATCCGTCGAATGCGGTAATCTTAGTGGCAATACAGCCGCGAATCTCAAACGTTGATTATCCATCGCGCCCACAACGGACGATGCCGATGGCCCCGAGAGGGTTGGTTGTAAAGTGCACTCGCATCTCGGCAGGAAAGGTGATAACGCTGCAGAGCAATTACAGTGATGCCCTCCCCCCCCTCCCTCTGGTCCAGAGGTCGCAACCGGGTACCCGATACCCGTACCCTACCCGATACCCGGCTACCCGTACCCGGCCAGGTACGGGTACCCGTTTGCAACCCTGGTGCGGCCGGGTACGTGTACGGGTAGGCCGTGAGTCACTGGTGAGTCACCGTTTGTCACTCATTTCGGGTAGGGTACGGGTAGGGTACGGGTAGGGAACGGCTACCCGTACCCGGCCGGGTACGGGTACGGGTACCCGTTTGCGACCCTGGTGCGGCCGGGTACGGGTACGGGTAAGGAATCAAAACCCGTTTGCGACCTCTGCCGTGGTCCCAACGGTTAAGCGTCACAACTTCACAGCATATTCCCCCCCCCCCCGCCCAAACCACCCCCTCCACAGGGTCACTTCGATTTCGATTTGAAGCTTTCGTGACTGCAGGAATTCATCTTCTTGGTTCTTTCGGTAAAGTCACATAGAAGGGAAATAATAAAATAATAAATAAAACGTAATAAAATCATTCTCACGATGTTTCGGCCACAACGCAAGGTGCTCTTCCCCCTCCAACCCAGCTTAAATATACGCTGCCAAGCCTGGTGGTGCCCATTCAGATGCTGTCTTTCCAACAGACCTGTTCTTCACCTGAGGACGGCTGCTTGCGTTGTGGCCGACACGTCGTGAGAATTATTTTATAACGTTTTATTTTTATTATTTTATTATTTCCCTTCTACGTGACTTTACCGAAAGAGAGAACCAAGAAGATGAAGATGGTCACTTCGTATAAGAGCCGTCGATGGTTCAACCTCGCCGAGCGGTGGAGTCGGTGACCACGGCTCACGCCATTTTCACGTCAAATGAAGAAAGCCGCCGGGAAGCGCACGTCGCCCCCCCCCCCCCTTCTGCGATCAGCCCGCCGTGCGACGCGTCGCAAATTCATTGACGACGACGCAATGCGGTCGTCGATGACTGCACCGAATGTCTAGCGAGTTTCGTGCGTGCTCTCACTCCAAGCTCCGCTTTCTGGCACAGGGGCATGGAGAGAACCACTCGTTCGCTCGCTCGCTCACTCACTCGCGCGCCCCCCACAAGCTAAAACAAAGTGCCGTGGTTGTGCAAGTCGGACCGTTTTAAGAATTCTCGGCAAAGGTTTGGGATACCTGTCATGGCTGATGTCAAAGACGTGAAGATTCACAAGACACAGAGAACAACCCCTCCCCCCCGCGCCCCCATCCCTTCCCGCCCGCCCGCCCGCCCACCCTCGCAACGAGACTTAAATTAAGACGACGCTAATATCGTGCGTTCCGGCTCGTCCAAGGTACATGCTCCCCGAAGCGTCGTAAACGAGACCGGAAAACCGTAGAGTCACACAGCTGCGTGACCTAACAGTGGGAGGAGGGTTATGCGTTCTGGTGATGGTAACAGCCTCGGAAAAACGACGTTACTCTGCAAAGAGCCATGGTAAAGTCACGTAGGTAAAAATAATAATAATAAAATAATCATAAATCACGACGTTTCAGAGGCAACACAAGTCTCCGTCTTCAGGTGGGACCGTCACAGCTAAATTTAGAGAAATCCAAGAGACAAGATCTTAAATACGAGATCTTAAATACGAGTATTTAAGATCTTATTAAACCCACAACCTCCACCACCACCCCATGATCTTAACTACGAGTATTTAAGATCTTGTCTCTTGGATTTCTCTTCACTTGAGACAGTAAATTTAGCTGTGACGGTCCCACCTGAAGACGGAGACTTGTGTTGCCTCCGAAACGTCGTGATTTATTTATTATTTTAGTATACATTTTTTTTACCTACGTGACTTTACCGAAAAAAACCTAAGGGTATGAATCCTTGCAGTCGCGAAAGCTTCAAATCTAGCCGTTTCTGTCTTGGGCAGCGTCTTCAAACGGCGGCAGCGGGCAATGACACGCGCGCGGAGAAGCGCAGACGAACAAATACTTCACCGCTGAACACTGCCGTCGTTGAGCTCCTGGGTTCATGTGCGAGTTTGTGGAGCCACCCGCTAACAAAGCAGGCTCTCGGGTGGAGCGGAGTTGATCGTCCCAGCCCGGCTGTGGGTCATCGCTTCCCCAACCCCGATGTATAACACAACAAGGGCCGTGTGGTGGTGGATCGTGCCTTGATGTCACGCGCAGTCGCTGTTCGCTTGCATACGCAATCCGCTTTCTTCGCTAAAATTGGCGCTGGCTATTTTGAATAAAAAGGAGGTTTTGGGAAGTTGTTGGGATAAATGAGAAACCAAAATCGCGCACGTGAACGCTCAGCAGACGCAACATCATTTTGCGCGACAATATTGCGTTGGAGAAAGCGCGTATGCAAAACGACAAAATGTGTACCGAGGGGGAAGGACTGATCGCAGACCGGGATCGAAATGGCAAAAAATAAGACGCAAATTCCAAAACCGACACGGGCGATGCTCATTTTCTCCTGCCGTGGCATTCCAATCGTCGGCTCGCGAATACAAATGGAACAAAAAAAGGTTGAGAAGTGTGCAGAGAAGCGCCGGCCAAACTCACGCTTGGAATCCACGCCAAGGGACGGGCGGGCAAGAGCGAACGCTCGGGGAATCGGGAAGGAATCGGGAAGGAAACGGGAAGGAAACGGGAATGAAACGGGAAGCGGAGACGTCTCACATTGACGAGTCTCAGACAAGCAAAAGTGGACTCGGGCGCGAATGCGTCGCCAAGAGGCACGACGGGTCGACGGATGAGACCGGTGACGTCGCAACGGGCGGCTCAAAGCGGGAAACGCGCTTGCAACAGGAACGCCCACAATGCGGAGATGGAGCGAAAGGGGATCGGCTCGTGCGCGGGAGCGAGTTTAGAACGTGGGGCACCACGGCGCCCAAGTGGCACGGGAGAGGGCACGCCGTCCGGCAGGAGCCGACGATGACGAATCTAATCCCGCTCGAGACCCGCAACATATGTACACATCCTCGCAACGCCTTCCAAACGAGCGCATTAAAGGACGCAATGGATGAGGATAAATAGTGATTATTTTTCATACGAGCCAGTTGGGGGAGCTAGTTGAGTGGGAGGGCCTCCCATGTGGTCTCCTTGAGCCAATCAGCCAAAATTAGCCAATCGGCAAATCCCCCCCCGCCCACCCCCCATTTGTTAACAATAATTTTCTTTAAATGTTCCATCTCCGGATCACATACAGGCATGATGACAAGCTCACCTGTGGTAGCATTTCACTAAAAGCCACTGCAGTGCACTTGAAACATTGATTTTGGGGGGGGGAAGCCCCAAATGTGATGTGAAAACATCCACGGAATACGAGAGTAGGAAGTGTGGATATAAATACATTTGTGCAACGCTAAGATGTTTCCCGCACGGTGGAATACTGCTAGCAATTTGTCATCCCTCCAGATGGTACCGGCCAGCCTCCCCACAGGCTCACATGGGCCTCGTGGTGAAGTGTTTATCACTACCCGGCAACAGAGGCTGCCCATACCGCCCAGCAGTTAAGAGGGCGCGCGATCCGACCGTACGCAGAGAACAGCACTGTGAGCCGTGGCCGCCTGTGTGTCACTGTGCTTTACTGCAACACTGCTTGCGTGTCGATGTGCGTTTGTGTCAACGTGTCTTTGTGTGTGTTACCTAGCCTCCGGCACGAGCGTTGCGGTGACGTCACCGCCACTTGGTGGCGAATCAGCGGCTGTTGTGGCTGTCGTTGGTGTCGTCACGTGTGCGTGTGAGCGAGTGTCAATGTGCGAGCGTCACCGCGTGTTTACCGCGTGTGTCGGCGAGTGTCACTGTGCGAGCATCACCGCGTGTCACTGTGTGTGTCACTGTGTGTCGCCATGTGTGTCGCCGTGTGTGTCGCCGTGTGTGCCGCCGTGTGTGTCGCCGTGTGTGTCACTGTGTGTCGCCGTGTGTGTCGCCGTGTGTGTCGCCGTGTGTCACTGTGTGTGTGTCACCGTGTGTCACTGTGTTGCCGTGTGTGTTACCGTGTGTGTCACTGTGTGCATCACCGTGTGTGTCACCGTGCGTGCGTCACCGTGCGCGTCGCCGTGCGTGCGTCACCGTGCGTGTCGCCGTGCGTGCGTCACCGTGCGCGTCGCCGTGCGTGCGTCACCGTGCGTGTCGCCGTGCGTGCGTCACCGTGCGCGTCGCCGTGCGTGCGTCACCGTGCGTGTCGCCGTGCGTGCGTCGCCGCGTGTCACTGCATGCCGAACCACTGCTCGTGCTCGGCCCAGGGCGCCGTCTCGGTGTCGCTGACCTCGAGCTCCCCCTCGCCGTCCTCGCCGCTGATCCCCTCCACGTCGTCCCCGTCGTCCTCCCCCGACACCCCCTCCGCCCCGCCGCCCCCCTCCTCCCGCTCCAGCCGCTGCATCCCCTCCAGCGCCCTGCTGTCGCTCCGATCCAGGCTGCGGGAGGGAGAGAGAGAGGGGAGAGAAGGGAGGGGGTGGCAGAGGGACAGCGGTTTATTGGGGAGAGGGGAAGGGGAGACATTGAAAATTGGACGAAATTTTGTGTTGATTCTGAGACCCGGTCTCCTGGAGCCGAGTCCCAACCGAGACTCCGACCCCGAGACCCGGTCTCCTGGAGCCCTCTGCAGGTGCTCACCTCAGTGCGATGCTGTACTGGTCCATGGCCTCCTGTGTGTTGTTGATGGCTGCTAAGAAGTCGCCGAGGATGCGGTGTAAGATTCCCACGCTGCGGTTTGTCAGTGCCGCCCTCACCAGCGCCATCGCCTCTTCACACTTCTGGTCTCGACCTAACGGGAGGGGGAAGACGAGGCGAGGGGGCGGGGGGGCGGGTTTTATTCAGCGTGAAGATCCAACGAGACGTCGCAGCGGCGTAAGTGGTTAGCACGCCACCGGGGTTGTCTCGCGCGACGTCGGAACGCCCCGCAGAATTCACCGCTGCACATCCCGCGGCGGGTGCGAATTCGAGTCGTAAACACCGGTGACAATTACTGCCAAAGACTTGGAGCTCCTTTGTTGCTGCTGCTGAATAATCATAAAATTAGAGGAGGGGTTGGTGGGGTACACAGCCGCTCACGTTTCCTCCATCGCCACCAGCATCGCAATTCCCCGATCTTAATTGGCGCTTTCATCGCGGCTTTTACCGCAATGGGTGATTTGACGCACACAGCGTGCATGACGTTCACACTTTACTCCCGGAGCAAGGAGAGGGGGGGGGTGCTGACGCTGGGAATGGCGATGACACGTGTAGCGGCCTTAATGAGGTTCTCCGTCTAGTTTTTGTTCTGCTGGTTTTTTTGGGCAATTCTACGATCGGCTTTAACGAAAATTACGTCAAATTTGATCGCCGTGAAATCTAAACACGCGCCTCTATTAACCATCTCCCATTGCGATGACTTTTGTGTACGTCGCCAATTTTTACTCGATCATGTACGTTCCCCATGTACTGAAAAACTCAAATAAAATAACCTCAAATTTCGATTTAAAGCTTTCGTGACTGCAGGAATTCATCTTCTTGGTTCTTTCGGTAAAGTCACGTAGAATTGGAAATAATAAAATAAATAAAATAACGCATAATAAAACAATCTAATTATATAATGTAACTATTATTTGGTTTATTTTTATTATTTTATTATTTCCATTCTACGGTAAAGTCACGTAGAATGGAAATAATAAAGTAATAAAAATAAAACATGATAAAATTATATAATATAATAATATAATTTTATTATGTTTTATTTTTATTATATATGATAAAATTATATAATATAATAATATAATTTTATTATGTTTTATTTTTATTATTTTATTATTTCCATTCTACGTGACTTTACCGAAAGAACCAAGAAGATAAAATAACCTCGTCGGTGCCGAGGCTTCTGCGAGGAGGGCACAACGGCACAGTTTAGCGCCAGCTATCGGCCGTGTCGCGAGTTGCAATGTCTTGAAGAACAACGGCGCTACGCTCCTCCGAATAAAATAAACGCCCAGCCGTTTGCGCGTTCCGAGATTCTGGGGCGAGCGGGACACCCACCCCCCCCCACACCCTGCAACTCGCGTGTGTCTCGGAACGGAAAGGGGTTAAAAGGTCATTGCAGACAATGGTAAAGGCGCACTCATGCAGCCAGATATGGCTGCAGAGTTTTGGTAATACATGTTGTTGATGTCGTTTATTGTGAAAATTCGGTCACAGTTCCTATGACCTGCACTGTTTCATTGCTTTTATGGCTTTATTTTGGTGATTTTCGAAAAGTTTTTCGGTTTGGCCATGTTTGTTTGCTGTAGTACAGAGTTAGACTGATGGCCTTAATCTAAGTTATCTTGTGGTTGTTGTTGGTTGTTTGACTTGCATCCCACTGGGATTTTTGCACACAGGGTTGGTGTACGGTGATTTTTCTGCAATATTTTGCTGTCTTTTCTTGGATTCTCTGTTTGCATATGGTCACTTTAAGATGTTTTCTTGTTCATGTTTTGGTTTTTTGTTTGTTGCGGTTGCACCGGATTCAAGAGCCAAATGGCTCACAGGGCTATACCTAATAAATGAAATGAAAAACTAAAATAAAAAAGCCCCGCAATTGCTCGCTCACGCCACTGCTGGCAGAACGGGAGGGTCACCGCTAGAGGGGTACATCGCTGGCCAGACGTCTGCGAAGGCGTGAGAGTACCCACACTTTAACCCCCACCACACGTGGACCTGTCGAACACACGGCTGCGGTGAACCCCATTTACGCTGCCGGGTGGGCAGAGACGGTGGCCAGGGGGAGTTTAAGAACCTCGTAGCGTCGCCCGGCAATCCAGAGGTGGCCCCGTTTGATTGGGTCTCCCGGTGTGGAAGTGTAAATGTGTTTATAGGAGCCTGCGTCAGAGGTCGCAACCGGGTACCCGATACCCGTACCCTACCCGATACCCGGCTACCCGTACCCGGCTGGGTACGGGTAGGCCGTGAGTCACTGGTGAGTAACCGTTTGTCACTCATTTCGGGTAGGGTACTGGTACGGGTAGGGAACGGCTACCCGTACCCGGCCGGGTACAGGTACCCATTTGCGACCCTGGTGCGGCCGGGTACGGGTAGGCCGTGAGTCACTGGTGAGTAACCGTTTGTCACTTATTTCGGGTAGGGTACGAGTAGGGTACGGGTACCCATTTGCGACCCTGGTGCGGCCGGTTACGGGTACGGGTAAGGAATCAAAACCCGTTTGCGACCTCTGGCCTGCGTGTGCGTGCGTGCATATGTCTGTGCGCGCGCGCGCGATGCGCCGATGACAATGACGACTGCGGCGAGGTGGTGGCGGTCTCGACTCACGCAGCAGCTCGGCCTTCATGATGACCGCCTTGATGAGGTCCGGCTGCTGAGCGAGCGCGCGGTCGATGAGTCCGTGGGCCTTGTCGGTGCTGCTCGTCTCGTGCAGCCACACGCAGGCGTACATGGTGAGCACCGGCGCCGTGCAGCCCAGCGCCTTGCACGCCGCGTTCGCCAGGTTGAGCGCGTCGCGCGTGCGCTGCAGCGACAGGTAGCACTCCACCAGGCCTGCGCCACACACACACACCAACACGTCAGAGGTCGCAATCGGGTACCCGATACCCGTACCCTACCCGATACCCGTTTGCGACCCTGGTGCGGCCGGGTACGGGTAGACCGTGAGTCACTGGTGAGTAACCGTTTGTCACTCATTTCCCAACGTCTTGTCTCTTCTCACAATTCAAGTTCCTAGAATCAACCCACCCGCGCCTGCAAAATGGCTTCATCCCAGAGGTCGCAATCGGGTACCCGTACCCATACCCTACCCGATACCCGGCCGGGTACGGGTAGCCAGATATCGGGTAGGGTACGGGTACCTGTTTGCGACCCTGGTGCGGCTGGGTACGGGTAAGGAATCAAAACCCGTTTGCGACCTCTGCAACACGTACATTCGTTTGCAACAGCAACAACAACCGCCACTCGTCACTAAGTGGCGGTGATGTCATCGCGGCGCTTGTGCCAGGATATGTGCACTTTAAAGGCCACGTGAAGTGTCGAACGCCCGCTGGCAGGAGGTCACGGGACAGACCCAGGTGCCATGGCTTGACTTGACCGAGATGACTGGGCCAATTTACACACACTCATTCTTTCATTTACACACACATACATTCATTGACACATTCCTTTACATACACAACACGCATTTATTTACACAAAACACACACATTCATTTATTTACACACACACACACTCATTTATACACACACACACATTTATTTACACACACAATGACAAATATCCACGCATAGCCTTTAACAGACTGTTGGGACAAGTGCTGTTAGCGAGCACCTAAGAAGGCTGGCACGGCACACGAGAGGGTGGGTGGCCAGCACCACGCCCGACCGCCTTTGTCACCCTCGGTGGCGATGTTTACACGCCGCACCAGGTACTCATTTGAGGCTGAGTCGACCTAGGGGAGGCCCAGGACCGGTTCAGATAATCGTCACCAATGTTGGCCGTGAGCGGGAATCGAACCCGGGTCGCCAGGTTTGTAGCGCAGCGCGCTAACCGCTACACTACCGCTCCCCACACACACACGCGCACACACGCGCACACACTCACACACACTCACACACGCATTCACACTCATTCACACACACACACTCACACGCACGCTCATTCACACACACACGCTCACAAACACACGCACACACACGCACACGCTTGCACACGCACCCTCGTAGCAGTCGAGGCGGTTGGGCGCGAGCCGCTGAGCCTCGCGGAAATGCAGCACGGCTTCGTGCAGCTTGCCCATGGCGCGCAGCGCGGAGCCCTTGAGCAGCAGCGCCTGCACGCAGCCCCCGTTGAGCTGGATCGCCTTCGCCGCCAGGTAGACGGCGCGCGTGTGCTTCTTCGTCTTGTAGCAGTAGTAGCTGCCGGGGGTTGCGGAGGTGCGGGGTCGGCCACACCAGTGTTAAATGCGGCGGGCAGTCTCGCCCAGAGTTCGCAACCGGGTACCCAATACCCGTACCCGATACCCGGGTACCCGTTTGCGACCCTGGTGCGGCCGGGTACGGGTAGGCCGTGAGTCACTGGTGAGTAACCGTTTGTCACTCATTTCCCAACGTATTGTCTCTTCTCACAATTCAAGTTCCTAGAATCAACCCACCCGCGCCTGCAACATGGCTTCATCCCAGAGGTCACAATCGGGTACCCGTACCCTACCCGATACCCGGCCGGGTACGGGTAGCCGGGTATCGGGTAGGGTACGGGTAAGGAATCAAAACCCGTTTGCGACCTCTGGTCTCGCCCCCCCCCCCTCCCTTTCTTACCTCGCTTCTCTCATCTCACTTCTCTACGCTCCTTCTCGCTCTCCGCGTTCACAGTCCGAGGTGTCTCCCTCCGTTCCCCCCTCCTCCCTGTGCTCCGTCACGGCTCTGTTGCCTCTCGCTCATAGCCCCCCTCTGCACTGGAATGGACATGTCGCTCCCACTATCTTCTGCTCCTCCTTAAAGCCCAATCGTCTGTCCTCACTCGCCCGCCCTTCCTCATCCACGCCTTCCCCGTGTCGTCACCGACTACCCTCCCCCCGTCTCCACGGTCATCCCTCCATCGACTCGCTCATCCCGTCATCTTCACCTCCCTTTCCTCTCACGCATCATCCGCGTCCTCATATTTATAACAACCACCGCGCCCATTCCATTTAGGCCCATGCCACAGGATGTTTTTGTACCATCGTACATGTAAAAGCGTTTTCATAACCGGGTTTGGCCGATATGTTGACGGTGTGTGCGTACACGTGCATCACAGCGTGACATATCGGGCCCGCACGTTGCCACGGCTCAGAGCCACGCTTATCGAGTCGGGTCAGATCCACGCTCAACTTGAGCCACGGATCAGACCACAGTCCCAGCCACGCTCAGCAGTTCCGTCAGCCGAGCCCCGGGCCGAACCACTCGCTCGCTCGCTCGTCTTCGTAAGCGTCCGAGCGGCTGAACCAAGCCAGCGCCGAGCCACGACTAAGAGCACGGGCCCCATTCTAGTCGACGGCAACCCGCGATACCCCACGTGCCGATTTAATTTAGCCGTTCTCAGTCTGGTCTGGTATTTCGCAACCTGTTGCCAGGGACTGTGGGCTGCTGCCAACGCGGCTATACACGGCGCCCCGCTCTTGTTGTGCATCGCCGCGATGAGATGGGCGCGTCGCGCGAGCCGTGCACCCACCCCATGACGACCCAGGGCTCCGCCTGCTGGTCTGAGATGCCCGAAGAGTCTCACTCCCAGCTTCTCCAGCTCCTCCAAGCGACGTTCCTTGGCCAGGAGGTACCCGTAGAGGTCTAAGCCTGGACGCGTGCACACGCACGCACACGTGCACACACACACGCACGCACACACACACGCACGCACACACGCACGACGGCCGTCATTAGAACACTTAATGGCGGTTGACGTCACTGCCGTGGTTGTACCGGAGGACTGAGATTGCCTTTAACACCAACCGTCACAGCAAAATTGCTGTGACGGTTCCACGCGAAGACGGAAGCTTGTGTCGCCTCCGAAACGTCGTGATTTAATTTATTTGAATTTTCTACCCACCTGACTTTACCGAAAAAACCAAAGAGTATCGGAAGAGAGCGTTCCTGAACGAGAGCGCAAGAGGCGCTTCTGAAATCGCGCGATGCGCGCATCGTCTTTGTCCGACGGTTCGCCAATGGCACGATGGTCGAGATGGGAGCGCCGGAGAGGAATATCCACCGTGGCGATATGAGCGATGAAATTGGTCCGAGCGCGCAGTTTGATTGGTGGTTCGCTGCTACGCCGCAGGCCAGCGAGAGACGGCGTGGGGGACGACGCGGCAGAGGTCGCAAACGGGTTTTGATTCCTTACCCGTACCCGTACCCGGCCGCACCCGTACCCTACCCTTACCCGGCCAGTTACGTGTAGGTTACCGTTATCGCGTACCTGATTGCGACCTCTGGGATGAAGCCATGTTGCAGGCGCGGGTGGGTTGATTCTATGAACTTGAATTGTGAGAAGAGACAAGACGTTGGGAAATGAGTGACAAACAGTTACTCACCAGTGACTCACGGTCTACCCGTACCCGGCCGCACCAGGGTCGCAAACGGGTACCCGTACCTGGCCGGGTACGGGTAGCCGGGTATCGGGTAGGGTACGGGTATCGGGTACCCGGGTGCAAGCTCTGCGACGCGGGAGCCGACGCCGCCAGTGGGGGAGGCTCACTTTTGATGAGGTACGGGTCGAGGATCTGCGCTTGTTGGAACCGCGTGATGGCGTTCTTCCTGTCACCGCTGCGGAAGTACGTGCGCGCCAGACTCGTGAGCAGATCCACGTTGTCCTTGAGAAGCATGCGCTTGTCCAGAGAGCTTGCGGGTCAGGCGAGACACAAAAAAACAAAGACAAATATCCCCCATTTAGCCTCAAGAGACTTCTAGATTTGAAGCTTTCGTGATTCATATTCTTAGGTTTTTTCAGTAAGGTCACGTAGGTAAAACATTTAAATTAATAAAAGTAAAATTAAATTAAAATAAAATCACAACGGTTCCACCTGAAGACGGAAGCTTGTGTTGCCTCCGAAACGTCGTGATTTTTATTTTATTTTTATTAATTTTAATTTTTTACCGATGTGACTTTACCGAAAAAACCTAAGAATACCTCAACAAAGACAAAGATCCCCCGTATAGCCTCAACAGACTGTTGGAGCAAGTGCTGTTAGAGAGAACCAAAGACAAAGATCCCCCGTATAGCCTCAACAGACTGTTGGAGCAAGTGCTGTTAGAGAGAACCAAAGACAAATATCCCCCGTATAGCCTCAACAGACTGTTGGAGCAAGTGCTGTTAGAGAGAACCAAAGACAAATATCCCCCGTATAGCCTGCATAGACTGCTTACCCAGCTTAAATGTACGCTGCCAAGCTTGATGGTGTTCATTCAGACGCTGTCTTTCCGACAGACCTGTTCTTCACCTGAGGACGGCTGCTTGCGTTGTGGCCGAAACGTCGTGAGGATTTTTTACTTTATTATGTTTTATTTTTCTTATTTTATTATTTCCCTTCTACGTTACTTCACTGAAAGAAACCATGAAGATGAATCCCTGCAGTTACGAAAGTTTTAAATCGAAAAAAAAAATCCTGCACAAACTGTTGGGGCAAGTGCCATTAGCAGGCACCTATGAAGGCAGGAACAGCACACGAGGGGGTGAGTGGCCAACACCACGCCCGGCCGCCTTTGTCTTCCCAGTGGCGACGTTTACACACCGCAAGAGGTACTATTTTTTAAGCCGAGTCGACTTAGGGGAGGCCCAGGACTGGTTCGGATAATCATCACCGGTGTTGGCCGTGAGCGGGAATCGAACTCGTGTGGCCGGGGTTCACAGCGCACCACGCTGGCCGTAATACTACCGCACGTACACACACATGTGCGTGTACGAGTGCTTGTGCGTGCACGCGTGAACATGCAGTGCGTGGACGCGTGTGGACGTGCGAGCGCGAGAGCAGGCACCAGAAGGTGGTGATGGCTCGTGGGTAGTCGCGCGCGTAGGCGAACGCGTACGCCTTGATCCACATGGACAGCCACTCGAGCAAGGGCATGGCCTGCAGCGTGTTGACCGTGAGAGACGCCACCTCCGCCCCCTTCACCGACAGCGACAGCAGGCCTGCTCCACGCACACACGCACAGGCAGAGGAGATGACGGCGTCACCGATGAACTCCCCCCCCCCTTGGGCAGAGGTCGCAACCGGGTACCCGATACCCGTACCCTACCCGATACCCGGCTACCCGTTTGCGACCCTGGTGCGGCCGGGTACGGGAAGGCCGTGAGTCACTGGTGAGTCACCGTTCGTCACTCATTTCCCAACGTCTCGTCTCTTCTCACAATTCAAGTTCCTAGAATCAACCCACCCGCGCCTGCAACATGGCTTCATCCCAGAGGTCGCAATCAGGTACCCGATACCCGTACCATACCCGTACCCGGCCGGGTACGGGTAGGGTACGGGTACGGCCGGGTACGGGTACCCGTTTGCGACCCTGGTGCGGCCGGGTACAGGTAAAGAATCAAAACCCGTTTGCGACCTCTGCCCTTGGGTTCTCGACCTTCTCATTGCGGTGGCCACCGATCCCAGCGTCCGTCCGTCCGCCTACCGGCGCCACGCTTGCGTGCCGGTATGCTTCGTCGCCACGACATGGACCCCCCCGTTTCCCACACGCTCAATTTGTGTTTCCTGCACGGCGTCCGCGCCGCAGCCTTACCCCATGGCCGCCTACCGTCCCTTCAAGCGTTACTCGATAACGGCAACCCCAACGTCGCGACTCCACTCGCCCTACGTCGGTACACAATGCCGCCCCCCCTCCCCCATCCACAGCAACGCTACGAAGACGAAGATCACCCCCCCCCCCCCATGTAGCCTGAACAGACTGTTGAGGCAAGTGCTGTTAGCGAGTCGCAGCACCTATGAAGGCCGGCACGGCACACGAGGGTGTGGGTGGCCAGCACCACGCCCGGCCGCCTTTGTCTCCCCAGTGGCGACGTTTACACACCGCACCAGGTACTCATTTGAGGCCGAGTCGACTTAGGGGTGGCCTCAGGACTGGTTCAGATAATCGCCACTGGAGTCGGCCGTGAGCGAGAATCAAATTCGAGTTTTGCCGGGTTCGTAGTGCGGCGCGCTACCTGCTACACCAACTCTTACAAACACACACACACAGGATGACACCCCAAACATCAGTCTGATGGTTGCGTAACTCCGCAACCAACAATCATCTACCGCAAAGTCAGACGCGCGCACGCACGCACCGCCACTGCGACCCACCACCTACTCATCAACGCCCCCCACGCTCGCTCTCGGCCACTCTGCAACGCGAATCTCCCCCCGCCGCCTGGAGCGTCGCTAGCTTGTGTGTTCCAACGCCTGGAACGTCGCTAGCTTGCGTGTTCCAACGTCGTCGACGCCGACCGTCACGTGCGTTCAAGTGTGCCCACCGCGCAATGCGAAGGCCCCTTTCGGCACTTGGAGACCTGCCGCGCAAGTGCGAGGCGCGACGGAAACAACAAACGACGGCGGAGATTTGACGAATCAAAGCACGCCGCGTAGCGTGGACAGTCGCACGCAACCCCACACGGCACCCACCCAGGATGGCCTCCAGGGCTAACGGACACTGCCGCAGCACCTCCTTGTAGCAGGTGATGGCCGAACGCTCCTGCCCGGTCTTGCGATACAGCCCCGCGAGGGTCATGTTGATCTGAGCACACGGGGTGAAAGCACACGACAGACAAAGATCCCCCCACCGTGTAACCGCAACAGACTTTTGGGGCAAGCGCTGCAGTACGCGAGCAGCGCCTGTGAAGGCCGGCACGGCGCACGAGGCGGCTGCTGGGGCCAGGACCACGCCCGGCCGACTTTTGTCTCCCCAGTGCTGATGTTCAGACGCCGCACCAGGTGCTCATTTGACGCCGAGTCGACCTAAAGGAGGCCCAGAATCAGTTCAGATATTCGTCACTGATGTTGCCTGCGAGTGGGGAATGGAACACGGGTCGCCGGGTCCGTAGCGCAGCGCGCTAACGAACGTGAACAGACCCGGCACCGCACACTTGTGCATCGTCACGGTCAATCGGCGTACGTCTGTTGAACTTTTTTCGCTCCGTACGTAGCCGACCGTGCGAATCGGAGGTACGGTGAACGTGCCGAGCCCATAACACAGCCGCGAACGGCAACACAAAAACAAAGTTGGGATTGTAAATTAACGTTGACGAGCTTCTTAAATTGATTAGGAGAGTGTTGTATACGCAACTATTTAACTATTTTTACTTTACCAGGTATGGCCTACTGAGCTATATTGCTCTTTTTAGAAGCGACCGGGCCACAATTGACAGCTCAATAAAAGTGGAGTATCATCATGTGGAGATTTATAGCAGCCAGACTCCCTAAACGCGTGACGTTGATTCTAAATGTGGAGGGAAAAACTGGAGGACCCGGAGAAAAATCCACGCGACCACGGGGAGAACATGCAAACTCGAAATATACAGGCAGCAGGCGTGGGATCGAGCCCACGACCTCCTGTATACCAGGCAAGGTCGTTAACATCTGGTCAACATACACGTGTATGTGTGGGGGGCGCCACGCGACAATTGGCACAGTGGGGGGCACGGTCATCTCGGCAACCAACCCACAATGCCTTGGGTCTGTTCTGGAACTTCCTACCAGCAGCCAGCATTCCACACTTCACACGAAAGCCTCAACGTGCACCTAGCCTGCCACAAGCTCCGCCACTTGGTGGCAAATTGCGGCCGTTCTTGATGATGTGCGTGTGCGCGTGTTCGAGTGTGTGTGCATGAGCGTGAGCGAATGCGTGCGTGGTGTGTGCGCGGTTTGTGTGTTGGTGTGTGCACGGTGTGTGCACGGTGTGTGCACGGTGTGTGCACGGTGCGTGTGTGGTGCGTGTGTGGTGCGTGTGTGGTGTGCGTGTGTGATGCGCTCATGCCTTGGGCGTGCGCTGCTTGGCAGGCACCGTGTCCAGCACAGCGATGGCATCCTTATCTTGACGCAGGTTCATGTAGCAATCGGCCAGCTTGTATTTCACCTCCAGCTCCGACGGCAGCCCCTACACACACACAGCACGCACAACTATAGCGCACCCAAAGACAAATATTCCCCGTGTAGCCTGAACAAACTGTGGGGCAAGTGCTGTTAGCGAGCACCTATGAAGACCGGCATGGCACACGAAAGGGGTGGGTGGCCAGCACCACGCCTGGCCGCCTTTGTCTCCCCACCGCACCAGGTACTCATCTGAGGCCGAGTCAACCTAGCGGAGGCCCAGAACCGACTCGGATAATCGTCACTGGTGGTGGCTGTGAGCGGGAATCGAACTCGGGTCGCCGTGTATACAGGCGGTCCCCGCTTTTACGACACAATCCGTACCTGGAAACCCCGTCGTCGCAAATCGAATTGTCGTGAATCGGACCCTCTTTAACGGGGATTCATCGGTAAAATCCACAAGATCACTTGGGAATAACAACATCTCCAAGCCAAAGTCGCATCGGAAACCAGACCGACGCTGTCCAAGTGTGTTGCTGAGTCGTGTCGGAAGATGCGTCGGAAACCAAGTTTCTGCTTCGCAAATCGATCCATGGTGTCGTTATACAAGCGTCGCCGGAGACCGCCTGTGCACCCATACACACAAAGTACAAAGACATAGAATCCGCGCCCCCCCCAGCCCCGTTTCAGCCTTAACAGACTATCCGGGCAAGTGCTGTTAACGAGCAGCTACACACACAAAAACAACTTCTTGGTTCTTTCGGTAAAGTCACGTAGAAGGGAAATAATAAAATAATAAAAATAAAACATGATAAAATAATTCTCACGACGTTTCGGCCACAACGCAAGCAGCCGTCTTCAGGTGAACGGCTGTTTGCGTTGTAGCCGAAACGTCGTGAGAATAATTTAATTTTTATTATTTTATTATTTCCCTTCTACGTGACTTTACCGAAAGAACCAAGAAGATGAATCCCTGCAGTCACGAAAGCTTTTAATCGAAACGCACAAACAACTTGAATGTGTGCGTGTGTAGATAAGCGGCCCCTACACACACACAGCACACAGTGGCAGCAGCAGTGGTGCAGACTGAGGTCGAGGTGGTAGCATAGACATCAGCTGGTGGTATTTCACCTTTCCTTGGGGTACAGCGCTCGCAATGGTGGGGATGTGATGATGGGAGCCGGTAGTAGAGCGGCGTTAATGTTTGGTGGAGAGAGTTTTCTTGTGGCGGGGGGTGCGGTGGCGGTGCCGATGGGGGTGGTGGTATTTTATCCGTGGTGGTGGTGATGGGGGGAGATGGTGAGCGGAAGGTGATATCCGCTGGCGATCTCTCACCTGTGGCGGCGGGGGAGCGGCGGCCCCGGCCCCGGATCGAACGCGTACGCACTTGCCGAGGAACTTCTTCTGCTGCAGCGCCTGGCGGTACGTGGCCTCCGCCTTGCGGAACTCGCGCTCGGCGTGCAGCGCGTCCGCGTGGTACACCAGCAGCTGGTAGTGCGCGCCGGGGGACAGCAGCTCGCTGCGGTGGGGACACACGCGGAGACACGGGGTGACACGGGGACACACACACGGAGACACGGAGTGACACAGGCAGTGCGCGCCGGGGGACAGCAGCTCGCTGCGGTGGGGACACACAGAGACACGGGGTGACCCGGGGACACACACGGAGACACGGGGTGACACGGGGTGACACGGGGTGACACACGCGGAGACACGGGGTGACACGGGGACACACACGCGCAGACACGGGGTGACACAGGTAGTGCGCGCCGGGGGACAGCAGCTCGCTGCGGTGGGGACACACAGAGACACGGGGTGACCCGGGGTCACACACACGGAGACACGGGGTGACACGGGGACACACACAGAGACACGGAGTGACACAGGGACACACACACGGAGACACGGGGTGACACACGGACACACAGAGACAGGCAACCACGTGGTGCACCAGCAGCTGGTAGTGCACGCCGGGGGACAGCAGCTCGCTGCGGTGGGGACACACGCGGAGACACGGGGTGACACAGGGACACACACACGGAGACAGGCAACCGCGTAGTACACCAGCATCTGGCAGTGCACGCCGGGAGACAGCAGCTCCCTGTGGTAGTGACACACGCAGAGACACGGGGTGACACACAGACACACATGCAGAGACACGGGGTGACACACGGACAAAGACAAAGATCCCCCGTATAGCCTTAACAGAGTGTTGGGGCAAGTGCTGTTAGCGAGTAGCACCTACTAAGGCCGGAACGGTACACGAGGGAGGTGGGTGGCCAGCACCACGCCCGACCGCCTTTGTCTCCCCATGGCGATGTTTACTACACACCGCACCAGGTACTCATTTGAGGCCGAGATGACACATTCAAAGTGGACACAATCACGTGGTCTACGGGAAGGTTTGAGCTAAATTAGAAATAGATTTGATCAATTTTGTTTTTGGTTTATTGTACAAGTATTGTTTTACATAGCCGTAGAATAATCGTAGACGAGCATGGGCTGTGTGCAGTACACGTGTCCTGTAGTACAACGTTGACACAGTATGTAGTGGTGTGTGTGTGTTAGTAGATGTTGTTGTTGCTGAACGTGATTAGCAGGCTGCGTGCAGTACACGTGTCCTGTAGTACAACGTTGACACAGTATGTAGTGGTGTGTGTGTGTTAGTAGATATTGTTGTTGTTGCTGAACGTGATTAGCAGGCTGCGTGCAGTACACGTGTCCTGTAGTACAACGTTGACACAGTATGTAGTGGCGTGTGTGTTAGTAGATGTTGTTGCTGAACGTGATTAGCAGGCTGCGTGCAGTACACGTGTCCTGTAGTACAACGTTGACACAGTATGTAGTGGTGTGTGTGTGTTAGTAGATATTGTTGTTGTTGCTGAACGTGATTAGCAGGCTGCGTGCAGTACACGTGTCCTGTAGTACAACGTTGACACAGTATGTAGTGGCGTGTGTGTGTTAGTAGATGTTGTTGTTGCTGAACGTGATTAGCAGGCTGCGTGCAGTACACGTGTCCTGTAGTACAACGTTGACACAGTATGTAGTGGTGTGTGTGTGTTAGTAGATATTGTTGTTGTTGCTGAACGTGATTAGCAGGCTGCGTGCAGTACACGTGTCCTGTAGTACAACGTTGACACAGTATGTAGTGGTGTGTGTGTGTTAGTAGATATTGTTGTTGTTGCTGAACGTGATTAGCAGGCTGCGTGCAGTACACGTGTCCTGTAGTACAATGTTCACACAGTATGTAGTGGTGTGTGTGTGTTAGTAGATATTGTTGTTGTTGCTGAACGTGATTAGCAGGCTGCGTGCAGTACACGTGTCCTGTAGTACAACGTTGACAGTATGTAGTGGCGTGTGTGTGTTAGTAGATATTGTTGTTGTTACTGAACGTGATTAGCAGGCTGTGTGCAGTACACGTGTCCTGTAGTGCAACGTTGACACAGTATGTAGTGGCGTGTGTTAGTAGATGTTGTTGCTGAACGTGATTAGCAGGCTGTGTGCATCACACGTGTACAACGTTCACACAGTATGTAGTGGCGTGTGTTAGTAGTTGTTGTTGAACGTGATTAGCAGGCTGTGTGCAGTACACGTGTACAACGTTCACACAGTATGTAGTAGTAGTGTGTGTGTTAGTAGATGTTGTTGTCGCTGAACGTGATTAGCAGGCTGTGTGCAGTACACGTGTCCTGTAGTACAACGTTCACACAGTATGTAGTAGTAGTGTGTGAGTGTTAGTAGATGTTGTTGATGAACGTGATTAGCAGTACACGTGTACAACGTTCACACAGTATGTAGTAGTAGTGTGTGTGTGTTAGTAGATGTTGTTGTTGTTGAACGTGATTAGCAGTACACGTGTACAACGTTCACACAGTATGTAGTAGTATGTAGTAGTAGTGTGTGTGTGTTATAGAGGCACGTACGGGTTGTTGTCGCTGAACGTGATTAGCAGGCTGCTCATGAGCCGCACATTCGAGTAGAGACCCGCCGAGTGCATCTCTCGCACGTAGTCGATCACGCTCATGATGATGATGATGCTGCTTCTCCTCGTGTGCCGCGGCGATAAGAGGGATCGATACGTGCGTGTCTATAACTCGAAGTTGATTGACGCCCGTGTTCTAATTGTCGAGACGTCGTGGAAGGAAGTGGGGGGAGGGCTCAGACGACGCCGCGACTCGTCCAGTGGCGTCTCTCTCACTCACACCCTACCCAAGATGGCGGCTCTCACGGCTGGAGGGGTCCTTCACCACCCCTCACCCCCCCCACCCACTCACCCCCCCACCCACTCACCAACCGCCCCCCCCCACTCACCAACCGCCCCTCCCACCCACTCACCCCACCGGCCCCCCCCACCCCCCACTCACCAACCGCCCCCCCCCCCACTCACCAAACGCCCCTCCCACCCACTCACCCCCCCACCCACTCACCAACCGCCCCCCCCACTCACCGCCCCCCGCCCACTCACCGCCCCCCCACCGCCCCCACCCCATTCACCCCCCCCACCCACTCACCCCCCCACCCACTCACCAACCGCCCCCCCCACTCACCGCCCCCCCGCCCACTCACCGCCCCCCCACCGCCCCCACCCACTCACCCCTCCCCCACCGCCCCCCCCCCCATTCACCCACCGCCCCCCCCACCCACTCACCCACCGCCCCCCCCACCCACTCACCCACCGCCCCTCCCACCCACTCACCCACCGGCCCCCCCCACCCACTCACCAACCGCCCCCCCGCCCACTCACCGCCCCCCCCCCACCGCCCCCACCCCATTCACCCCCCCCACCCACTCACCCCTCCCCCACCGCCCCCACCGGCCCCCCCCCCCATTCACCCACCGCCCCCCCCCACCCACTCACCAACCGCCCCTCCCACCCACTCACCCACCGCCCCCCCCCCATTCACCCACCGCCCCCCCCACCCACTCACCCACCGCCCCCCCACACCACTCACCCACCGCCCCTCCCACCCACTCACCCACCGGCCCCCCCCACCCACTCACCAACCGCCCCCCCCGCCACTCACCGCCCCCCCCACCCCATTCACCCCCCCCCCCACCCACTCACCCCTCCCCCACCGCCCCCACCGCCCCCACCGCCCCCACCGCCCCCCCCCCCATTCACCCACCGCCCCCCCCACCCACTCACCAACCGCCCCTCCCACCCACTCACCCACCGGCCCCCCCCACCCACTCACCCACCGGCCCCCCCCACCCACTCACCAACCGCCCCCCCGCCCACTCACCGCCCCCCCCCACCCACTCACCCCTCCCCCACCGCCCCCACCGCCCCCCCCCCCCATTCACCCACCGCCCCCCCCACCCACTCACCCACCGGCCCCCCCACCCACTCACCAACCGGCCCCCCCATCCACTCACCCACCGGCCCCCCCACCCACTCACCAACCGCCCCCCCCCCACCCACTCACCCACCGGTCCCCCCCACCCACTCACCAACCGGCCCCCCCACCCACTCACCCACCGGCCCCCCCACCCACTCACCGGCCCCCCCATCCACTCACTTACCGGGCCTCCCACTCACTCACCCACCGGCCCCCCCACCCACTCACCCACCGGCCCCCCCACCCACTCACCCACCGGCCCCCCCACCCACTCACTCACCGGCCCCCCCACCCACTCACCCATCGGCCCCCACACCCACTCACCCACCGGCCCCCCCACCCACTCACCAACCGGCCCCCCCACCCACTCACTCACCGGCCCCCCCACCCACTCACCAACCGCCCCCCCACCCACTCACCCACCGGCCCCCCCACCCACTCACTCACCTGCCCCCCCACCCACTCACCCACCGGCCCCCTCACCCACTTACCAACCGCCCCCCCCTCCCATTACCAACCGCCCCTCCCACCCATCAACCTCTACCCCCCACTGCCCCCCCGATCCAAGTCCCCACCGCCCCCACCGCCACCCCCCAGACCCCCCACCGCCCTCACCGCTCGCCACCCCGAGGTTCAATTAATCGGCGTGTTTTAGGTGTCCATTTCGCACAAGTGCCTGCGTGGTTTTATTGTTGTTGAAAATTATGTTTACAGGGACTCCTCTACTTACGAACGAGGCCAAACGTGAATTGTACTATTAAACAAATTAAATGATATTCACTTTACTCTTTGGTTTTGTCGGTAAAGTCACGTAGGTAAAACAAATAAACCCGTAAAAACAAAGTTTTTCACTATAAATCCTTTATATGCGTGCCGGCTAGAGTCCTCTCGTCCTCTGGCTTGAGATGGCTGCCACCTATGGGTCAGATGATTGCCAGTATTAAGAAATTGGTAATTAAATTAAATAATAAAAATTCCCTAAAAAGTGTAACATTTTGGAAAAAAAATTTCACGAAAAATAAATTGTCACGCACAACGAGTCTGTGTGCAAAATGTCAGCTCGATTGGATCACGGGAAGTGGGTTAAAAAACGACTGAAAGATTTGCACGGTCGTAAGCGCGCAAGCAAGCAAGCAAGTGAACTTAATATAAAGGATTTAAAAAGAAAATAAATCAATTAAATTAAATCACGACGTTTCGGAGGCAACACAAGCTTCCGTCTTCAGGTGGCACCGTCACAGCAAAATTACGGTAACAAGTGAAGAGAGCTCTAAGAGACACGATATATGATATACTGGTTGTCTTGCAGTATACTGCAGTAAACTATAAGGCTGCTATAATTGTACAGCCATTTCCATTTCTTTCAGTTATATATTCCCAGCTTGATTAGCCCCTATTTTAACCAACTTAAACCAACTTCTTGGTTCTTTCGGTAAAGTCACGTAGAATGGAAATAATAAAATAATAAAAATAAAACATAATAAAATATATTGTTTTAAATAAGAAAAATAAAACATAATAAAGTATATCATTTTATTATTTACATTCTACGTGACTTTATTGAAAGATCCAAGAATACGTTCAGTTTCGATTTAAAGCTTTCGTGACTGCAGGGATTCATCTTCTTGGTTCTTTCGGTAAAGTCACGTAGAATGGAAATAATAAAATAATAAAAATAAAACATAATTAAATAATTCTCACGACGTTTCAGCCACAGCGCAAGCAGCCGTCCTCAGGTGGAGAACAGGTCTGTCGAGAAGACAGAGGCTGAATGACACACCCCAGGCTTGGAGCGACTATGTAAGCTGGGATGGAGGGGAGAAGAGCGCCTTGACAAAATAATTTGCATATCAAGAGGAATTTAGCATTTTTATGGGAAGTGCAGATATGCGATTAGTACTACTTGTGAAATACGTAGGAGGTTTGGCGGGGGGTTTAAAGTCATTATGCCCGTGCATTATGCAGGATTAGCAGCATCAAAGGGAGGGGATAGGGGTAACATTAATAAAGGGAAGGAATATTAATAGTTCAGTTTTCAGTTTCATTTATTAGCTATAGCCCTGTGAGCCATTCGGCTCTTGAATTGGGTGCAACCGCAACAAACAAAAACCGTGAGCAAGAAAACATCTTAAAATGACTTCGCGCAAACAGAAAAATCCAGGAAAAAACAGCAGTCTTCCAGAAAAAGCAACGCATATTCAAGTTCAAGTTCATTGATTAGGTGTAGCCCTGTGAGCCATTCGGCCCTCGAATCGGGTGCAACCGCAACAAGCAAAAAATAAAAATACGAACAAGAAAACATCTTAAAGTGAATATGTGACTAAGTGCAAACAGAAAATCCAAGAAAAGATAGAAAAATATTGAAGAAAAAATTAACCCGTAAAAACAAAGTTTTTCACTATAAATCCTTTATATGCGTGGCGGCTAGAGTCCTCTCGTCCTCTGGCTTGAGATGGCTGCCACCTATGGGTCAGATGATTGCCTGCCACCATTAAGCAATTGGTAATTAAATATAATAATTTTTCCTAAAAAGTGTAAAGTTATGGAAAACATTTTTTACGAACATTAATTGTCACGCACAACGAGTCTGTGTGCAAAATGTCAGCTCGATTAGATCACGGGAAGTGGGTTAAAAAACGACCGAAAGATTTGCACGGTCGTAAGCGCGCAAGCAAGTGAACTTAATATAAAGGATTTAAAAAGCACCGTACACCAACGCTGTGTGCAAAAATCCCAGTGGGATGCCAAAAGGCAGGTTAACTTAGCCCTCCCCACGGCCCATCCTGGCTCTTCCCCCCCCCCCTAACCAGTATATAATCTCGTGTCTCTTAGAGCTCTCTTCACTTGATACAGCAATTTTGCTGTGACGGTGCCACCTGAAGACGGAAGCTTGTGTTGCCTCCGAAACGTCGTGATTTAATTTAATTGATTTATTTTGTTTTTTTACCTACGTGACTTTACCGAAAAAACCAAGTTACCAGTCTAACAGAGTTAGACTGGTAACTTTAATCTAAATTGTCTTATGGTTGTTATTGTGTTTGACTTGCATCCCACTGGGATTTTTGCACACAGCATTGGTGTACGGTGATTTTTCTGCAATATTTTGCTGTTTTTTCCAGGATTTTTCTGTTTGTGCCAAGTCACTTTCAGATGTTTGTTTGTTGCAGTTGCACCCGATTCAAGTAGCCGAATGGCTCACATGGCTGTACAAAATCAATGAAATTGAAAACTGATACTAACCGTATTCTTAGGTTTTTTCGGTAAAGTCACGTAGGTAAAACATCAAAATTAATAAAAAATAAAATAAAGATCATGACGTTGCCTCCGAAACGTCGTGATCTTTATTTTATTTTTTTTATTAATTTTGATGTTTTACCTACGTGACTTTACCGAAAAAACCTAAGAATATGAATCCTTGCAGTCACGAAAGTTTCAAATCTAGAATTGATACTAACCGGCTTGGCAAATTTATTCCGGAAGTCTGAAAACACAGGCTTCTGTCCGGCACTGCTTACACGCAGAGGGGATTTGTTAACCGGCGGCGGCGCGCGCGCGAGATTTGAATTAAAAAAATAATTCAAACTTTTGTGTGCGCCACGTGACCGGCGATCGCACCAATAGGAGCGCGCGACGGCTCAACAGCTGCTCGTGACGTCGTCCGTTCAAACAGCGAACTGCGCGGGAGAGATGGAGACGCTCGGCTCGGGAGCGGAGGAGGACGGTGAGGGTGGTGGTGGTGGTGGTGAGGGTGGTGGTGGTGAGGGTGGTGGTGGTGAGGGTGGTGGTGAGGGTGGTGGTGGTGGTGAGGGTGGTGGTGGTGGTGAGGGTGGGGTCTGGTGGTGGTGAGGGTGGGGGTGGTGGTGGTGAGGGTGGTGAGGGTGGTGGTGGTGAGGGTACGGGGTCTGGTGGTGGTGAGGGTAGGGTCTGGTGGTGGTGAGGGTGGTGAGGGTGGTGGTGGTGGTGAGGGTGGTGGTGAGGTTGTGGTGGTGGTGAGGGTGGTGGTGGTGAGGGTGGGGGTGGTGAGGGTGGGGGTGGGGTTGGGGTGGTGGTGGTGAGGGTGGTGAGGGTGGTGAGGGTGGTGTGGTGGTTGGTGGTGAGTGGTGGGTGGTGAGGGTGGTGGTGGTGAGTGGTGGGTGTAGGGTGGTGGAGGGTGGTGGTGGTGAGGGGGTGTGTGGGTGGTGGGGTGAGGGTGGTGGTGAGGGTGGTGGTGGTGAGGGTGGTGGTGGTGTGGATGGTGGTGGTGAGGGTGGTGAGGGTGGTGGTGAGGTGGTGGGTGGTGGGGAGGGTGGTGGTGAGGGTGGTGGTGAGGGTGGTGGTGGTGGGAGGGTGGTGGTGAGTGGTGGTGAGGGTGTTTGGGTGGTGGTGATGAGAGTGGTTGGTGGTGAGGGTGGTGGTGAGGGTGAGTGGTGTTGTGGTGTGGTGATGAGGGTGGTGGTGGTGGTGGTGAGGGTGGTTGGTGGTGGTGTGGATGAGGTGGTGGTGGTGGTGAGGGTGGTGGTGGTGAGGGTTGAGTGGTGGTGATGGGTCGGTGGTGGTGGTGGGTGGTGGTGATGGTGGTGAGGGTGGTGGGGTGAGTGGTGTTGGTGGTGAGGGTGAGGGGGTGGGGGTGGTGCAGGGTGGGGGATGGTGGTGAGGTGGTGGGTGAGGGTGGGTTGTGGTGGGGAGGTGGTGAGGGTGGTGAGTGTGGTGGTGAGGGTGGTGATGGTGAGTGGTGGTCGAGGGTTAGGTGAGTGGTGGTGAGGAGTGGTGGTGGGTGGTGAGGGTGGTGGTGAGGGTGGTGATGGTGTGGTGGTGAGGGGTGGTGGTGAGGGTGGTGGTGGGGGTGGTGGTGAGGGTGGTGGTGAGGGTGTGGTGGTGAGGTGGTGGGGTGGTGAGGGTGGTGGTGAGGGTGGTGAGTGGGGTGGTGGTGAGGGTGGTGGTGAGGGTGGTGGTGGTAATGGTGGGGTGAGGTGGGTGAGGTGGTGGTGGTGGTGTAGGTGAGTGGTCGGTGAGGGTGGTGGTGAAGGTGGTGGTGGTGAGGTGGTGGTGGGGTGGTGGTGAGGGTGGTGGTGGTGGTGAGGGTGGGGTGGTGAGGGTGGTGAGTGGTGGTGGTGAGGGTGGTGAGGGTGAGGGTGGTGGTGAGGGTGGTGAGGGTGGTGGTGGTGAGGGTGGTGAGGGTGACGGTGGTGGTGAGGGTGGGGGTGGTGGTGGTGGTGAGGGTGGTGGTGGTGGTGATGAGGGTTGTGGTGGTGTGGGTGGTGGTGGTGAGGGTGGTGGTGGTGAGGGTGGTGGTGGTGAGGGTGGTGGTGGTGGTGGTGGTGAGGGTGGTGGTGGTGGTGAGGGTGGTGGTGGGGGTGATGGTGATGGTGGTGATGGTGAGGGTGGTGATGGTGAGGGTGGTGGTGAGAGTGGTGGTGGTGGTGGTGGTGAGGGTGATGGTGAGGGTGGTGGTGAGGGTGGTGGTGGTGAGGGTGGTGGTGGTGAGGGTGGTGGTGGTGAGGGTGGTGGTGGTGAGGGTGGTGGTGGTGGTGGTGGTGAGGGTGGTGGTGGTGGTGAGGGTGGTGGTGGGGGTGATGGTGATGGTGGTGATGGTGAGGTGGTGATGGTGAGGGTGGTGATGAGAGTGGTGGTGGTGGTGGTGGTGAGGGTGGTGAGGGTGGTGGTGAGGGTGGTGGTGGTGAGGGTGGTGGTGGTGAGGGTGGTGGTGAGGGTGGTGGTGAGGGTGGGGGTGGTGGTGGTGGTGAGGGTGGTGGTGAGGGTGGTGGTGATGGTGGTGGTGAGGGTGGTGGTGAGGGTGGTGGTGGTGGTGAGGGTGGTGGTGGTGAGGGTGATGGTGAGGGTGGTGGTGAGGGTGGTGGTGGTGAGGGTGGTGGTGAGGGTGGTGGTGAGGGTGGTGGTGAGGGTGGGGGTGGTGGTGAGGGGTGGTGGTGGTGAGGGTGGTGGTGAGGGTGGTGGTGGTGGTGGTGAGGGTGGTGGTGAGGGTTGTGGTGGTGAAGGTGGTGGTGGTGAGGGTGGTGGTGAGGGTGGTGGTGGTGGTGAGGGTGGTGAGGGTGGTGGTGGTGAGAGTGGTGGTGGTGAGGTTGGTGAGGGTGGTGGTGGTGAGGGTGGTGAGGGTGAGCGTGGTGGTGAGGGTGGTGAGGGTGGTGGTGGTGAGGGTGGTGAGGGTGAGGGTGGTGGTGAGGGTGGGGGTGGTGGTGAGGGTGGTGGTGGTGGTGATGAGGGTTGTGGTGGTGAGGGTGGTGGTGGTGAGGGTGGTGGTGGTGAGGGTGGTGGTGGTGGTGGTGAGGGTGGTGGTGGTGGTGAGGGTGGTGGTGGGGGTGATGGTGATGGTGGTGATGGTGAGGGTGGTGATGGTGAGGGTGGTGGTGAGAGTGGTGATGGTGGTGGTGGTGAGGGTGGTGGTGAGGGTGGTGGTGAGGGTGGTGGTGGTGAGGGTGGTGGTGGTGAGGGTGGTGGTGAGGGTGGGGGTGGTGGTGAGGGTGGTGGTGAGGGTGGTGGTGAGGGTGGTGGTGAGGGTGGTGGTGAGGGTGGTGGTGGTGGTGAGGGTGGTGGTGAGGGTGGTGGTGAGGGTGGTGGTGAGGGTGGTGGTGATGGTGGTGAAGGTGGTGGTGAGGGTGGTGATGGTGATGGTGGTGAGGGTGGTGGTGAGGGTGGTGGTGAGGGTGGTGGTGATGGTGGTGGTGGTGGTGAGGGTGGTGGTGGTGAGGTTGGTGGTGAGGGTGATGGTGAGGGTGATGATTATGGTGGTGGTGGTGGTGATGGTGGTGAGGGTGGTGGTGAGGGTGGTGCTGATGGGGGTGGTGAGGGTGGGGGTGGTGGTGAGGGTGGTGGTGAGGGTGGTGGTGAGGGGTGGTGGGGGTTATGATGATGGTGAGGGTTGTGATGATGGTGAGGGTTGTGATGATGGTGAGGGTTGTGATGATGGTGAGGGTTGTGAAAATGGTGATGGTAAGGGTGGTGATAATGGTGATGATAGGGGTGGTGATAATGGTGATGGTAGGGGTGGTAATGGTGGTTGATGGTGATGATGGAGTTGGTGATGATGGGGGTGGTGATGGGGGTAGTGTTGATGGTGATGGGGTGGGGGTAGTGGTGATGGGGATGGTGATGGGGGTGGTGATAGTGATGGGGGTGGTGATGATGGGTGGTGGTGGTAGTGTTGATGGGGAGGGTGATGGGGGAAGTGGTGATAATGGTAGTCGTTGTAAAGTTAGTGTTGATGGGCGTGGTGCTATTCATGTGTGTGAATGAATATCGCTGATGCGTGCCAGACTCAAAATCTGTATTTAGTCTGCAGGAATCCTATGAGCCATGAAGCTCTTTTGCGCAGATGCTCAGCAGTTCACGAATGTCCAGTGTGATCGCAGCATGTGCATCCGTCCCCGCAAAGCGTGCATTGCGTATTCTTAGGTTTTTTTCGGTAAAGTCACGTAGGTAAAAAATTAAATTAATAAAAGTAAAATAAAATAAAAATCACGACGTTTTGGAGGCAACACAAGCTTCCGTCTTCAGGTGGAACCGTCACAGCACGATAGCTGTATCAAGTTAATGAGGTTTACAGCAATCGTGCTGTGACGGTTCCACCTGAAGACGGAAGCTTGTGTTGCCTCCGAAACGTCGTGATTTTTATTTTATTTTTATTTTACTTTTATTAATTTTAATTTTTTACCTACGTGATTTTACCGAAAAAACCTAAGAATATGAATACTTGCAGTCACGAGAGCTTCAAATCTAGAAGAAAAAAACGTGCACTGCATGTCTTGGTGAATCCACGTCTCACTCTCTCTCCGTCTCCCTGCAGGTTTCACCGCACACGCCAAGGACAAGCGAAGCTATGTCATCGCGAGCCAGGAGGAGCTGGTCCGCCAACTCGAGCGCCTGCCCTCCTCGGGCTGCGTGGAGTTCCCGGACGTGTTCCACTCTCCGCACCTCTCGTACTACGAGCGCTTCAAGGTGTACCAGGACTACATACTAGGTGACCTGCGGCGTTAGCGTGCGCGCTGTGACTCTCAGACACAGCTGGGAACCCTGAATAGCAATCTCTTCTCCCTTGCCCATTCTTGGAAACTACTCTCTGCCCCCCGCCCTCGCCCCCCAGCTAGGATCAGGTCTCGCCCAGACACCTATCACTACCCTAACTCCTATCACTACTCCAACCCCTATCACCAATACTTAATTTGGAGCTATCACCAACCCAACCGCTATCACTACCCCAACCCCTATTACTACCCCAACCCCTATTACTACCCCTATCACGACCCCAACCCTTATCACTACCCCAACCCCTATCACTACCCCAACCCCTATCACTACTCCAACCCCTATCACTACCCTAACCCCTATCACTACCCCAACCTCTATCACTACCCCAACCCCTATAACTACCCCTATCACTACCCCAACCCCTATCACTACCCCAACCCCTATCACTACCCTAACCCCTATCACTACCCCAACCTCTATCACTACCCCAGACCCCTATCACTACCCCAACCCCTATCACTACCCCAACCCCTATCACTACCCAACCCCTATCACTACCCAACCCCTATCACTACCCCAACCCCTATCACTACCCCAACCCCTATCACTACCCCTATCACTACCCCAACCCCTATCACTACCCCAACCCCTATCACTACCCCAGCCCCTATCACTACCCTTATCACTACCCCTATCACTACCCCAACCCCTATCACTACCCCTATCACTACCCCAACCCCTATCACTACCCCTACCCCTATCACTACCCCTATCATTACCCCAACCCCTATCACTACCCCAGCCCCTATCACTACCCCAACCCCTATCACTACCCCAGCCCCTATCACTACCCCTATCACTACCCCAGCCCCTATCACTACCCCTACCACTCCTTAACCACTCCCACCTGTACCTCCTGTCACCATAACTACACCACCACTTTTCATAACCCCACTCTTTATTTTAAACATTGTCATCTCCCGTACAATTGTATAGCCTTCTATTAAGGCCGTATGTCCACATAATACATGTGTGTATGTACACATACTTGTGTGTATGTACACATATATAATGTGGAGTTTCCCGCTTCCAGGTTGTGAGAGGCACCAACTGCACAGCAAGAGATTTACAACTCCACTGGACAAAACGGCGAGCGGTGCAATAAACTTTACAGCACGGTAGCGTCATCGCGTGGTTCTAGAACAAGTTTCAACGTGAATCCCATTCGCGCTGTTTGTTCACTAAGCCCGTGCATCACGTCCGATTGGTACGGTTGGCTATGTACGGGGCGAAAGAAGTTCCAACATGGATACGTACTGCACATAGACTACCAAGACTGCACCTCCGATGAGCAGTTGGCTGCGTATGGTGCAAAAGAAGCTCAAGTTGAAAATTAATTTCTGTTTATTTCTCCGTTCGCACTCTTCCAATGGAGTTGTAAATCCTCCAGTTTATACTCGTAGATGAAAACACACACACACACGGTGTAACTGATATTGACCAAAGCTCCCACTACTGAAAAATTACCTGCAGATTCCTCAATTGGGATCACGCATAGCAGCAAGTCACTTCTGAATAAGAGCCGTTTGGCTCAGTGGGCCTTGCCTGATAAAATAAAAAAACGCTTCGACTTATTAACCGTTTCGGCCTGACGGACGACGTGTTTGCGACAGGCGACTGCCGTCCGTCCGAGGTGCGGGGCTTCATGGGCGAGTACCTGGAGGAGACGGTGGAGTCATGCGGGTGGAGCGCCGTGTGGAGGACCGGAGCTTTCGACGTCCTCGTGGAGGTGAGAAGCAACTTAATTGCCCACAACCGCTTTGTCCGCATCGGAGCGAGCGGTTGCTCAACAAGGACGTGTCTGGAACGGCCAAGAGGCCACGGGCCGCTCTTGACATTTCGGGGCAGTCGTTCAAGTTTCAAGTTCAAGTTTCATTTATTTGGTATAGCCCTGTGAGCCATTCGGCTCTTGAATCGGGTGCAACTGCAACAAACAAAAACATGAGCAAGAAAACATCTTAAAAATCGAAGAAAAGACAGCAAAATATTGCAGAAAAAGCACCGTACACCGATTGTCACCGGAAATGCATTCACCGTGAGAAACTGTGACGGCTTGGGCGGGCAAGGGAATGGAGTTCTCTTACCAATCAAATCAAGCCTTGATGTATGCTGAACAATGATTGGTCTACAGCAGAGGTCGCAAACGGGTTTTGATTCTTTACCCGTACCCGGCCGCACCAGGGTCGCAAATGGGTACCCGTACCCGTACCAGGGTCGCAAACGGGTACCCGTTCCCTACCCGTACCCTACCCGAAATGAGTGACAAACGGTGACTCACCAGTGACTCACGGCCTACCCGTACCCGGCCGCACCAGGGTCGCAAACGGCTACCCGTACCCGTACCCGGCTGGGTACGGGTAGCCGGGTATCGGGTAGGCTATTAAGACAATAAACAGTGTGTGCCATAAAGAAGTTTATAAGTCCGTCCTTTAAAACACTACATAGGTATAAAGCTGGAGACCTTGAAAAATAGCTCTGTGGCACACGATAGCAATTTAACAACTCGTCCTTGATGTGATGGGGGAGGTAATTCAAGGTTTTTATCTTAGCTGTGGAAGCCATACGTCCTCACCTAACACCACGGACAGCACCTGACAGGTTGTACGTGTGCACGTTGAACCTCTTTCGCGCCGTACGTAGCCAACCGCGCTCATCGGAGGTTGCGGTTGTTTTGACGCCGCTGCAGCTGAGGCGTTCTATTGGCCTGGGAGTTTGGTGAATCGCAGAGACGCATCCCCCTCCCACGCCCTCTCTCACAGGTGCAGGCAGTCTACTTTGACGACCTCAAGGCGCTGGTGACTCTGGCTGAGCCGTTGCTGTTCGAGTACTCCGCCGCGGCGGCGGCGTCGGCGTCGTCGTCGTCGGCGTGCGATTCCCCGTGCCGTGTCGGCACCCCGGAGGCCACGGCTGCCGCTCCCCCGCCGTGTCGCGGCGAGGCAGAGCAGATCCTGGAGCGGTCTGGCGGGCGCGTGGACCTGCGCGACCTCTGGGTGGTGTACGACGATTCGGGCCGGCTGGACCGCACGGCGCTCGCCATCGAGCACGTCCGGTGAGCGCTCCACGCAACGGGCCTCGATGAACCCTTTCCCGTTGCGATGACGTACGCGTGCCTCGGCGGTTTATCTTGCGATTCCGCTACAATGATGTGTGCGTACGTCTTCGAAACGAAATCGGAAGAAGAAATCGACTAACTTTATCGATACCGAAGCTCCCACAATGCCATGCGGGAGGGCGTGTGGCAGAGGTCGCAAACGGGTTTTGATTCCTTACCCGTACCCGGCCGCACCAGGGTCGCAAATGGGTACCCGTACCCGGCCGGGTACGGGTACCCGTTCCCTACCCGTACCCTACCCGAAATGAGTGACAAACGGTGACTCACCAGTGACTCACGGCCTACCCGTACCCGGCCGCACCAGGGTCGCCGGGTATCAGGTAGGGTACGGGTATCGGGTACCCGGTTGCGACCTCTGCCGTTCGACCTCCGAATTTTCGTTCGGTGTCCGGGGCAAAAAATGTTCGTAAATATCGTTAGAACACCGATTTGTTCGAGTTCTGGTGCGTCCGATCTCCCAGGTTCTACTGTACTTACAAAATATATATACAAATAAAACAAAAGTGTTTTTTTATTATCCTACCAGATAAAACCCCACTGAGCCGTTGGCTTATTTTTCAGAAGCGCCCTGGCCACAAGTGGTGGCTCAACGAAGTGGCGGCCGTGCCATGGTCTTGTGGAAACAGCCGGGGATGCCGGAGGGTTCCCCACCATTCAAACGAGGGGGGAACATTGGGCAGTGGCCTGACCTCACGTCCCCCAAAAATAGAATGTGCAATTATTCTTCTTTTTATTCTCAGCCCAATGGGCTTTTTACTCGGGAAATAAACGTCAGATTCATCTTCTTGGTTCTTTCGGTAAAGTCACGTAGAATGGAAATAATGAAATAATAAAAATAAAACATAATAAAATAATTCTCACGACGTTTCGGCCACAACGCAAGCAGCCGTCCTCAGGTGAAGGAAAGAAGGAAAGAACCAAGAAGAAAAATAATTTTCACTTATTTTATTCTGTTTTATTTTTATTATTTTATTATTTCCATTCTACTTGACTTTACCGAAAGAACCAAGAAGATGAATCCCTGCAGTCACGAAAGCTTTAAATCGAAATTTAAACGTCTGATTCTGAAACACGTTCCTTCGGAGTGGGCAGGTAGGAACTTGGTTGGACAGCGCATTCGTGCGATCCGTGTCACGCGGCTCAAGCTGCGTGGGGCGGCGCGTCACGTGGTGCTGAGACCGCCCGAAGCGCTCTACGAAATACAAATCGAGGGCGTGGCTATGCACGACAGACAGACAAATAATCCCTGGTGGGCAGTGTGGAACTGTTGTTCCTTCCTGTATTAACCCCGTAATTATATTTGCCCATCGATCAGTCACTCGGTGTTTTTGTATTGTTTGCAGTTGTAACTTGCTGACCCGCCAATACCTGACATCTTTGATAAAGAGCTTTGTAGCTCATCGGATTGATCCTCCAGTCTAAATAAAGATTCTGATTCGGTATGAGCTACGAAATAAGCTTCTTCATGCCCGAGCCATCCACATCACACTCGCTCACTTACTTGAGCCACCATTTTTCAATGAAGGGAGCGTGACGCCCGGCAGTCACGTGACCTCCGTCTGCGATCTGATTGGAAGTTGCCGTCCGAGTCGAGAGAGTCACATGATGGTGTATGTGTGTGTCTCTGTTCATGATTATGTGGGGAGCGGTGGTGCAGCGGTCAGCGCGCTGCACTACGAACCCGGCGACCCTGAGTTCGATTCCCGCTCATAGCCAACAACAGTGACGATAATTTGAACCGGTCCTAGGCCTCTCCTAGGTCGACTCAGCCTCAAATGAGTACCTGGTGCAGTGTGATTATGTGGGGAGCGGTGGTGCAGCGGTTAGCACGCTGCGCTACAAACCCGGCGACCCGAGTTCAATTCCCGCTCATGGCCAACACCAGTGACGATTATCTGAACCAGTCCTAGGCCTCCCCTCGGTCGACGCAGCCTCAAAGGAGTAGCTGGTGCGGTGTGTAAACATCACCACAGGGCAGATAAAGGCTGGGCATTGTGTTGGCCACCCACCCCCTCGTGTGCTGTGCCGGCCTTCATAGGTGCTGCTCGCTAACAGCACTTACCCCGACAGTCTGTTAAGGCTACGCGGCGGATCTTTGTCTTTGTTCCGAATCACTATTTTTATTACACCGCTTATTTACGTAGGAAATGCCTCGCTGATCGTCGAGACTTTATTTCGCGGAAGTGTACTCCTAAGTTTGTGTTCACCGCTCGGAACTCACAACAGAGATGAGCCTCTCTCCCCATTGCTCGTAAGACGCTGTCTTCCCGACAGACCTGTTCTTCACCCGAGGACGGCTGCTTGCGTTGTGGCCGAAACGTCGTGAGAATGATTTTATTATGTTTTATAAGTCACGTAGAATGGAAATAATAGAATAATAAAAATACAACATAAAATATATTTCATTATATTATTATATTATTCTTATGTTTTATTTTTATACTCTATTATTTCATTATATTGTTATATTATTATATTATTTTCTGATGTTTTATTTTTATTATTTTATTATTTCCCTTCTACGTGACTTTACCGAAAGAACCAACAAGATGAACCGGGAGACACTTTGCCTTTCGGCGCGTAATCACGTGACACATCTCGCGTTCCGTTTGATCGCTTGTTGTGATCACTGTAATTGGCACGCGTTGGTGATTGACCGGGGCGTGCGTTTTGTCTTTTAGTTTCTTCCTGGGGCACATCTGGAGGGCGTGGGACGAGGAAGATGACGACGATTACGATTACTTTGTGAGATGCGTCGATCCAAGACTCAAACTGTAAGGACGAATATCTTTGCGTTTAACTCACGTGACGTGCTGATGGTGATGACGTGGCTGTAGGTTCTATGGCGTGCTGATGATGATGATGTGGCTGTAGGTACTATGGCGTGCTGATGATGATGACGATGACATGGCTGCAGATATTACGACGTGCTGATGATGATGACCACGACGTGGTAACTGCAGCTACTACGACGTGCTGATGATGATGACGACGTGGTGGCTGCAGGTACTACGACGTGCTGATGATGATGATGACGTGGTGGCTGCGGGTATGACGACGTGCTGATGATGATGATGACGATGACGATGACATGGCTGCAGATATTACGACGTGCTGATGATGACGACGACGACATGGTGGCTGCAGGTACTACGACGTGCTGATGATGATGATGACCACGACGTGGTGACTGCAGCTACTGCGACGTGCTGATGATGATGATGATGACGTGGTGGCTGTAGATATTACGACGTGCTGATGATGATGATGACGATGACAACGACGTGGTGGCTGTAGGTACTACAATGTGCTGATGATGATGATGATGACATGGCTGCAGGTACTATGACATGCTGATGATGATGACAACGACGTGGTGGCTGCAGGTACTACGACGTGCTGATGATGATGACGTGGTGGCTGTAGATATTACGACGTGCTGATGATGATGACGATGACATGGCTACAGATATTACGATGTGCTGATGATGATGATGACGATGTGGTGACTGCAGGTACTACGACGTGCTGGAGGGGCGCCTCCCGGCGGGGCTGGTGAGCGAGTACGCCCGCCTGCGCTCGCACTTCGACGCCACCTACGCCGAGTTCTGCCTCCTGCGCGGCTCCATCACGGAGGGGACCGACGCCGAGGAGATGGAGCAGGACGGAGCCAAGGTGGCCCGCGGCGTGGAGCTCTACGAGAATCTGGAGACCGCCAAGCGCAAGCTCCAGATCATGGAGAACCCAGTGCTTCGGTGAGAAGGGCTGCGACTTGTGACTGCTGTTTGTATATCTAAAAATATAGAAGGGAAATGTGTGTGTGTTGTTGTCTGTTCGAAATGTTTAGCGTACTTCCCGACATGCAACAAATTTTAAATTTGGCATGTGGGTAGCTTCCAGACTGTACACAATGCCGAAAGTATAAAAATAGGCTTTTGTATTTTGGGGGGAGGGCGCAATAATGGATATATTTTGCACGGCAAGTGAGCGGTGACATCTGTGATGTGCTTTGTCTGCCTAGCGTCACGAGCGCTTTGGATTACAAACATGTTTCCGGAACGAATTATGTTCGCAATCCAAGGTTTTACTGTAAAACTAAACTATTTTTTTAATCTTCTTGGTTCTTTCGGTAAAGTCATGTAGAATGGAAATAATAAAATAATAAAAAGAAAACATAATAAAATAGGTGTTTTATTTTTATTATTTTATTATTTCCATTCTACGTGACTTTACCGAAAGAACCAAGAAGATGAATCCCTGCAGTCACGAAAGAAGCTTTAAATCGAAATTTTATGTTTTATTTTTATTATTTTATTATTTCCCTTCTACGTGACTTTACCGAAAGAGCCAAGAAGATGAATCCCTGCAGTCACGAAACAAGCTTTAAATCGAAATTCTTTCTTGTATCTTGTCCTGCTGCTGCTGTCTCCGCCCGCCCCCTGCTCAGCTTCGTGCTGGGATACCAGGCGAGTGCGGGGGGAGAGGCGCGAGTGGCGCGCGGACCCCGGTCCGACGGCGCCGTGACGGCGCACGTGGTGGTGCGCTCCGTGTCGTTCGCCACGCTCGGCGCGCTCACCCGCTCGCTCGCCGAATCGCTCGGCGCCGGCGTCGGCGACGAGCAGATGATACACGTGAGTGTTGGACTGGGGGCGGGGGTGTGGCGGTGGTGACGTGGCCCTCCGCGGTTCAGATCCGGCAGGTCTCCCCAGTTAATGCCGCGGTGTGTATTTTGACCGTGGAAATTAGAGCGTAGTAGTGCTACGTACATCGCCCCACGCCGAGTCTCAGAGATTGTAGTGGTAAGCACGGTACAAGCAATACAGTAACTTTTTACATCTGTCTGTACGTTTATTTATGCAAATTTTACACAGTAAATTTAAAACGCCAAACCCCCCCCCCACCCCCCCAAAAAACATACACGCAACAGCTAAAAATGTAACATCAAGCGAGAAGGTGCAAAAATAAGCTGTTTAAAATAATGACGGCGAGTGATTATCCGACTTTTTTGAAAATCCGGCGCTCTCCTTCCGAAGTCGCCGGATAACACTGGTCAACACACTTTTTCTGGCATGAGGTATTCCAACGGGTTGAAGGTAATTTTGGGGTGCTGATTCCAAATCTGGAATCGGTTTTTGTCTATCAAACATCTCCTAGCCACCGTGATGATGATGATGAGAGAGAGAGACACGCAAACTCCAAATATACAGCAGCAGGCGTCAGGGTCGGTATCGAACCCATGGCCTCCTGCACACCAGGCGAGGTAGTTAACATCTCCTAGCCACCGTGATGATGATGAGAGAGAGAGACACGCAAACTCCAAATACACTGGTCAACACACTTTTTCTGGCATAAGGTATTCCAACGGGTTGAATGTAATTTTGGGGTGCTGATTCCAAATCTGGCATCAGTTTGTGTCTATCACATCAGGTTTTTTAGATATCAAATATTGCATTTTCAATAAAAACTGCGGAAGAAAAATATGAAATAAATGTGGATATCTACATAAAATGATATTATAAACAAACTATCATAAAAATGCAGCTCCGTATTTTAACACTAAAGCAGTCACTGACTCGCAACAACTTGCAATCATAAGTGACAGAGTTAATTTCGGGTAAAATCAATGAAAATGGGGTATGCCGATAGCATAAAAATGAGATGTGATGGAGCAAATCTGAGATCAGATTTGGAATGAGCACCCTGACATTAGTCTAAAACAGCTGCAAAAGTCCAGGCCAGAAAAAAATGATTTTTTTTTTGTTGACCTGTGTAATCGATGATCGACTGTGCAGAGGAACCGCTCTTAACGACAGTAATTGGTTCCACGAAACCGGTCATGAAGCGAGTATAGGAAATGCACGTTAAAGGCTTAATTCGTTCCAATAGCATTGAACGTTACCCTGGGCTCTGGAGGCCCGTCGTTAAGCGATTAGTCGTTTAAAGAGGTGGTCTTTAAGATGGGTTCTACTCTACGCTACACTATATACTACACATTGGGATCCATGGAGGCCTGTTGTTAAGCGATTAGTCGTTTAAAGGGGTGGTCTTTAAGAGGGGTTCTACTCTACACTACACTATATACTACACATTGGGATCCATGGAGGCCTGTTGTTAAGCGATTAGTCATATAAAGTGGTGGTCTTTAAGAGGGGTTCTACTGTACGCTACACTATACACTACACATTGGGATCCATGGAGGCCTGTTGTTAAGCGATTAGTCGTTTAAAGGGGTGGTCTTTAAGATGGGTTCTACTCTATGCTACACTATACACTACACATTGGGATCCATGGAGGCCCGTCGTTAAGCGATTAGTCGTTTAAAGGGGTGGTCTTTAAGAGGAGTTCTACTTTACACTACACTATACACTACGCATTGGGATCCATGGAGGCCTGTTGTTAAGCGATTAGTCGTATAAAGGGGTGGTCTTTACGAGGGGTTCTACTTTACACTACACTATACACTTTCTCTCTTCCCCTGCCCCCTCTCTCCCCCCCCCCCCCCCCCCCCCCCCCCCCATGGACACGCATGCAGTTCCACAGCAGCCTGCAGGGAGCGCTGGACGCGTGCTACGAGGGAGACCGCATCGTGCTGTGCCCAGGCGTCTACTCCGAGGAGGGCTTCTGCAGCATCGCGGAGTCGGTCAGCATCGAGGGTGGGTGGCCTGAGCCGGCGCCCCTCCCCCCCCTGCACGGCCCCCCCCCCCGCACGGCCGCTCCCCCCCCCCGCACGGCTGCCCCCGTGTGGGCGTGCCGGAAGTTGTAAAGTGCCACTGAGCCGGCTACGGGGGCGGTGGAAGCGCGGGGGGTCGGCAACCTGCGGCTCCGGAGCCTCAATGTAGAGGTGGGATGGGAGGCCACGGGGCGTCCTCAATGTAGAGATGAGATGGGAGGTCACGGGGCTTCCTCAGTGTAGAGATGAGATGGGAGGCCACGGGGCGTCCTCAGTGTAGAGGTGGGATGGGAGGTCATGGGGCTTCCTCAATGTAGAGATGAGATGGGAGGTCACGGGGCGTCCTCAATGTAGAGATGAGATGGGAGGCCACGGGGCTTCCTCAGTGTAGAGATGAGATGGGAGGTCACGGGGCTTCCTCAATGTAGAGATGGGATGGGAGGTCACGGGGCGTCCTCAATGTAGAGATGAGATGGGAGGCCACGGGGCGTCCTCAATGTAGAGGTGGGATGGGAGGTCACGGGGCTTCCTCAGTGTAGAGATGAGATGGGAGGCCACGGGGCGTCCTCAATGTAGAGATGAGATGGGAGGCCACGGGGCTTCCTCAGTGTAGAGATGGGATGGGAGGTCACCGGGCTTCCTCAGTGTAGAGATGGGATGGGAGGCCACGGGGCGTCCTCAATGTAGAGATGAGATGGGAGGTCACGGGGCTTCCTCAGTGTAGAGATGAGATGGGAGGCCACGGGGCTTCCTCAGTGTAGAGATGGGATGGGAGGTCACGGGGCTTCCTCAGTGTAGAGATGGGATGGGAGGCCACGGGGCTTCCTCAGTGTAGAGATGGGATGGGAGGCCACGGGGCGTCCTCAATGTAGAGATGAGATGGGAGGTCACGGGGCTTCCTCAGTGTAGAGATGAGATGGGAGGCCACGGGGCTTCCTCAGTGTAGAGATGAGATGGGAGGTCACGGGGCTTCCTCAGTGTAGAGATGAGATGGGAGGCCACGGGGCTTCCTCAATGTAGAGATGGGATGGGAGGCCATGGGGCGTCCTCAATGTAGAGGTGGGATGGGAGGCCACGGGGCGTCCTCAATGTAGAGATGAGATGGGAGGCCACGGGGCTTCCTCAATGTAGAGATGGGATGGGAGGTCACGGGGCGTCCTCAATGTAGAGATGAGATGGGAGGCCACGGGGCGTCCTCAATGTAGAGATGAGATGGGAGGCCACGCGGCTTCCTCAATGTAGAGATGGGATGGGAGGTCACGGGGCGTCCTCAATGTAGAGATGAGATGGGAGGCCACGGGGCGTCCTCAATGTAGAGATGAGATGGGAAGTCACGGGGCTTCCTCAGTGTAGAGATGGGATGGGAGGTCACGGGGCTTCCTCAATGTAGAGATGAGATGGGAGGTCACGGGGCGTCCTCAATGTAGAGATGAGATGGGAGGCCACGGGGCGTCCTCAATGTAGAGATGAGATGGGAGGCCACGGGGCTTCCTCAATGTAGAGGTGGGATGGGAGGTCACAGGGCGTCCTCAGTGTAGAGATGAGATGGGAGGTCACGGGGCTTCCTCAATGTAGAGATGGGATGGGAGGTCACGGGGCTTCCTCAATGTAGAGATGAGATGGGAGGTCACGGGGCGTCCTCAATGTAGAGATGAGATGGGAGGTCACGGGGCTTCCTCAGTGTAGAGATGAGATGGGAGGCCACGGGGCGTCCTCAGTGTAGAGGTGGGATGGGAGGTCATGGGGCTTCCTCAATGTAGAGATGAGATGGGAGGTCACGGGGCGTCCTCAATGTAGAGATGAGATGGGAGGCCACGGGGCTTCCTCAGTGTAGAGATGAGATGGGAGGTCACGGGGCTTCCTCAATGTAGAGATGGGATGGGAGGTCACGGGGCGTCCTCAATGTAGAGATGAGATGGGAGGCCACGGGGCGTCCTCAATGTAGAGGTGGGATGGGAGGTCACGGGGCTTCCTCAGTGTAGAGATGAGATGGGAGGCCACGGGGCGTCCTCAATGTAGAGATGAGATGGGAGGCCACGGGGCTTCCTCAGTGTAGAGATGGGATGGGAGGTCACCGGGCTTCCTCAGTGTAGAGATGGGATGGGAGGCCACGGGGCGTCCTCAATGTAGAGATGAGATGGGAGGTCACGGGGCTTCCTCAGTGTAGAGATGAGATGGGAGGCCACGGGGCTTCCTCAGTGTAGAGATGGGATGGGAGGTCACGGGGCTTCCTCAGTGTAGAGATGGGATGGGAGGCCACGGGGCTTCCTCAGTGTAGAGATGGGATGGGAGGCCACGGGGCGTCCTCAATGTAGAGATGAGATGGGAGGTCACGGGGCTTCCTCAGTGTAGAGATGAGATGGGAGGCCACGGGGCTTCCTCAGTGTAGAGATGAGATGGGAGGTCACGGGGCTTCCTCAGTGTAGAGATGAGATGGGAGGCCACGGGGCTTCCTCAATGTAGAGATGGGATGGGAGGCCATGGGGCGTCCTCAATGTAGAGGTGGGATGGGAGGCCACGGGGCGTCCTCAATGTAGAGATGAGATGGGAGGCCACGGGGCTTCCTCAATGTAGAGATGGGATGGGAGGTCACGGGGCGTCCTCAATGTAGAGATGAGATGGGAGGCCACGGGGCGTCCTCAATGTAGAGATGAGATGGGAGGCCACGCGGCTTCCTCAATGTAGAGATGGGATGGGAGGTCACGGGGCGTCCTCAATGTAGAGATGAGATGGGAGGCCACGGGGCGTCCTCAATGTAGAGATGAGATGGGAAGTCACGGGGCTTCCTCAGTGTAGAGATGGGATGGGAGGTCACGGGGCTTCCTCAATGTAGAGATGAGATGGGAGGTCACGGGGCGTCCTCAATGTAGAGATGAGATGGGAGGCCACGGGGCGTCCTCAATGTAGAGATGAGATGGGAGGCCACGGGGCTTCCTCAATGTAGAGGTGGGATGGGAGGTCACAGGGCGTCCTCAGTGTAGAGATGAGATGGGAGGTCACGGGGCTTCCTCAATGTAGAGATGGGATGGGAGGTCACGGGGCTTCCTCAATGTAGAGATGAGATGGGAGGTCACGGGGCGTCCTCAATGTAGAGATGAGATGGGAGGCCACGGGGCGTCCTCAATGTAGAGATGAGATGGGAGGTCACGGGGCTTCCTCAGTGTAGAGATGGGATGGGAGGTCACGGGGCTTCCTCAATGTAGAAATGAGATGGGAGGTCACGGGGCGTCCTCAATGTAGAGATGAGATGGGAGGTCACGGTGCTTCCTCAGTGTAGAGATGAGATGGGAGGCCACGGGGCTTCCTCAGTGTAGAGGTGGGATGGGAGGTCACGGGGCTTCCTCAGTGTAGAGATGGGATGGGAGGTCACGGGACGTCCTCAATGTAGAGATGAGATGGGAGGTCACGGGGCTTCCTCAGTGTAGAGATGAGATGGGAGGTCACGGGGCTTCCTCAGTGTAGAGGTGGGATGGGAGGCCACGGGGCTTCTTCAATGTAGAGGTGAGATGGGAGGTCACGGGGCGTCCTCAATGTAGAGATGGGATGGGAGGTCACGGGGCTTCCTCAGTGTAGAGGTGGGATGGGAGGTCACGGGGCGTCCTCAGTGTAGAGGTGGGATGGGAGGCCACGGGGCGTCCTCAGTGTAGAGGTGGGATGGGAGGCCACGGGGCGTCCTCAGTGTAGAGGTGGGATGGGAGGTCACGGGGCTTCCTCAATGTAGAGGTGGGATGGGAGGCCACGGGGCGTCCTCAGTGTAGAGGTGGGATGGGAGGTCACGGGGCATCCTCAATGTAGAGGTGGGATGGGAGGTCACGGGGCGTCCTCAGTGTAGAGGTGGGATGGGAGGTCACGGGGCGTCCTCAGTGTAGAGGTGGGATGGGAGGTCACGGGGCGTCCTCAATGTAGAGATGGGATGGGAGGCCACGGGGCGTCCTCAGTGTAGAGGTGGGATGGGAGGTCACGGGGCGTCCTCAATGTAGAGATGAGATGGGAGGCCACGGGGCTTCCTCAATGTAGAGGTGGGATGGGAGGTCACGGGACGTCCTCAATGTAGAGATGGGATGGGAGGTCACGGGGCTTCCTCAATGTAGAGATGAGATGGGAGGTCACGGGGCTTCCTCAGTGTAGAGATGAGATGGGAGGTCACGGGGCTTCCTCAGTGTAGAGGTGGGATGGGAGGTCACGGGGCGTCCTCAATGTAGAGATGGGATGGGAGGTCACGGGGCTTCCTCAGTGTAGAGATGAGATGGGAGGTCACGGGGCTTCCTCAGTGTAGAGGTGGGATGGGAGGTCACGGGGCGTCCTCAATGTAGAGATGAGATGGGAGGTCACGGGGCGTCCTCAATGTAGAGATGAGATGGGAGGTCACGGGGCTTCCTCAGTGTAGAGGTGGGATGGAAGGTCACGGGGCGTCCTCAGTGTAGAGATGAGATGGGAGGTCACGGGGCTTCTTCAATGTAGAGGTGGGATGGGAGGTGGAGCGCCGGTCATCGCTGGCTGGAAGCCGGTTGGGGGACCCCTTGCCGCGGTGTCTCTCCTCTCTCAGGGTTCGGCGTCGCCGACGACGTGGTGATCGAGATGCGTGGGCGGGGCGACGTGTTCGTGGAGTGCAGCGCGCGGCACGTGACGATCTCCAACATCAAGTTCATCCAGCACGACGCCACCGAGGGCATCCTGCGTGAGTGAGCGACACCATTCATTCATCATCGGCATCATCAGCGTAGCAGCAGCCTGCAGCTGAATCGGCAGCAGCAGCAACATCATCAGCGGCAAGTGATATCATCATCAGCAGCAGCAGCAGCATCGTCATCAGCAGGAACACCAGCAGCATCAACAACATTATCAGTAGCAGTAATATCAGCTGCAGCAGCAGCATCATCATCAGCTGCAGCAGAATCATCATCAGTCGCAACAGTAGATATGTCGACAGCAAGAGCAGCAGCAGAACTAATGTTATCAGCAGCAACAGTTGTAGCATAGCAGTGGCAGCTGCTAAATAATGATTATTTAGCAGCTCCGATTAGCGCTGCCGGCTACATACGGTGCGAAAGGATTTCAACATTCATTAATTCGCAGCAGTCGCATAGTTATCACCACGAGCAGTCGCTGTCATTAGCAGCAACGGTGGTGAAATGCGCGTGCCCCCATGTGACCGTCCCGCCCCTAGGTGTGCTCCGTGGAGAGACGGAGCTGCACGAATGCGTGCTGCAGTGCGAGACCTCCGGGGTCACGGTGAGGCCCAAAGCCCACCTGACCTTAAAGAACTGTGACCTCTACGGGGCAAAGGTGAGCGTTCATGCCACAACCTTCTTGTTCCAGTTCAAGGTCAAGGGGTCGTTGCGGCCGGCCAATGCTGCCGATCAGAATCGGAATTGTTTATCCTGGAGAAATCCGATGGGCTTACGAAGCTCCCATGGACATGGTGAATTGGACTCCCATGGTAAACTGGACTCCCATGGTAAACTGGACTCCCACGGTAAACTGAACTCCCACGGTAAACTGGACTTCCATGGTTAACTGGATTCCCATGGTGACCTGGACTCCCATGGTGACCTGGACTCCCATGGTGACCTGGACTCCCATGGTAAACTGGTCTCCCACGGTAAACTGGTCTCCCACGGTAAACTGGACTCCCATGGTAAACTGGCCTGCCAGGGTAAACTGAATTCCCATGGTAAACTGAACTCCCATGGTAGCCTAGACTCCCAGGGTAAACTAAACATTTATGTGATGAGATGGTTTCGCGAAAGAGACCTTGTCCTACTGATTTCGTTCATGTCTGGGTGTGTGCGCGTGTACGAGGAGCGATAGTGCAGCGGTCAGCGCGCTACACTACGGCCCGAGTTCGATTCCCGCTCTCAGCCAACACCGGCGATGATTATTGAATCGGTCCTAGGCCTCCCCTAGGTCGACTCGGCCTCAAACGAGTACCCTAGTGCGGTGTGTAAGCATCCCCACGAGGGAGACAAAGGCGGCCGGGCACAGTGCTGACCACCCATCCCCCTGTGTGCCATTCCAGCCTTCATAGGTGCTACCCGCTAACAGCACTTGCCCCAACAGTACGTTGAGACTACACGGGTGATCTTTGTCTTTGTGTGTGTGTGTGTGCAGGGAGCGGGAGTGGAGGTGTACCCAGGCAGCACCTGCATCCTGCTTGGCAATGGGATTCACCACTGCCGTGAGGGCGTTCTCATCATGGTGAGACTCCGGGTCAGGGCGATTGCGTGTGAGCCTAGTCTTCTTGGTTCTTTCGGTAAAGTCACGTAGAAGGGAAGTAATAAAAAAACATAATAAAAACATTCTTTTATTTTTTATTTTATTATGTTTTATTTTTATTATTTTATTACTTCCCTTCTACGTGACTTTACCGAAAGAACCAAGAAGATGAAGAGGCTCACTTCGTATAAGAGCCCACGACGGTTCAACCTCGCCGAGCGGTGGAGTCACGAAAGAAGCTTTAAATCGAAAAATGTGAGCCTAGTGTTAGATTCTAGATTTGAAGCTTTCGTGACCGCAAGGGTTCATACTCCTAGTTCTTTCGGTAAAGTCACGTAGAAGGGAAATCATAAAATAATATTAATATAAAATAATACAAATTCTCACGACGTTTCGACTGCAACACAAGCAATCATCATCAGGTGTGAAATCGCTGTCCGTGGTGCTGACGTTAAGAAAAAAACGCACTTTTTTCAAATTTTCTTGCTGTGGATTTCACACCTGATGACGATTGCTTGTGTTGCAGTCGAAACGTCGTGAGAATTTCTATAGTTTTATATCTATATTATTTTATTATTTCCCTTCTACGTGACTTTACCGAAAGAACCAAGAATATTAATCCCTGCAGTCACGAAAGCTTTAAATCAAGATTTGTTAATGTTACTGTTAATGCTAAGTGTTGGTGTGTGTGCGAGTGTTAATGGTAGCGTATGGGGCTTGTGTGTTAGCGTTACTGGTTTAAGCATTAGCAAAATCTCAAGGTCTTAATTTCGAGACAAAGCCTACCTAATTCTAGATTTGAAGTTTTTGTGACTGCAAGGATCCATACTCTTTGGTTCTTTCGGTAAAGTCACGTAGGTGAAAAATAACAAAACATGAACTAAAATCTAGTTATTTTTAAATCCTTTATATTAAGTTCGCTTGCTTGCTTGCTTACGACCGTGCAAATCTTTCGCTCGTTTTTTAACCCACTTCCCGTGATCCAATCGAGCTGACATTTTGCACACAGACTCGTTGTGCGAGACAATTAATGTTCGTGAAAAATGTTTTCCTAAATTTTACACTGTTTAGGGAAAACAATTTAAATATTTAATTACCAATTGCTTAATACTGGCAGACAATTATCTGACCCATAGGTGGCAGCCATCTCAAGCCAGAGGACGAGAGGACTCTAGCCGCCACGCATATAAAGGATTTATAGTGAAAAACTTTGTTTCTACGGGTTATACTTGTTAAATCCTTTATATTAAGTTCACTTGCTTGCGCGCTTACGACCGTGCAAATTTTTCGGTCGTTTTTTAACCCACTTCCCGTGATCCAATCGAGCTGACATTTTGCACAGACTCGTTGTGCGTGACAATTTATTTTCGTGAAAATTCTTTTTCCAAAATTATCTACTTTTTAGGAACATTTTTTTTTTCATATTTAATTTAAAATACCAATGTGATAAAAATGAAACTCTTACTCAAGAAAAACAGAAATGAATAATAAAATAAAACCGATGCCACGCATATAAAGGATTTATAGTGAAAAACTTTGTTTTTACGGGTTAATTTTTTATTTTCTCCGACGTGTCTTTACCGAAAGAACCAAAGAGTAAAGTCTACCTATTCCACCAGGTGGCGCTATTTGCCTTTAGTCTGAGCTATTGGGTTTAAAAAAAATATTTAACTCGTAAAAACAAAGTTTTTCACTATAAATCCTTTATATGCGTGGCGGCTAGAGTCCTCTCGTCCTCTGGCTTGAGATCGCTGCCACCTATGGGTCAGATGATTGCCTGTCACCATTAAGCAATTGGTAATTAAATATAATTTTTTTCCCTAAAAAGTGTAAAATTTTGGCAATCTTTTTTTCACGAAAATAAATTGTCACGCTAAACGAGTCTGTGTGCAAAATGTCAGCTCGATTGGATCACGGGAAGTGGGTTAAAAAACGACCGAAAGATTTGCACGGTCGTAAGCGCGCAAGCAAGTGAACTTAATATAAAGGATTTAAAAATAAGTTGTACGTGCTACTTCTATATTCCACCAGGATCGGAATCTTGACGATTGGGTTTCAGGAATAGCGCCTTTTAGCCTCGGCTCGAAGAGATCGTGATCCCAGGTTTTCACCTCCCCACCTCCCCCACCCCTTCTCTGCCACAGGACTTCATGGAGTCTCTCTATGACATGCCCAAGCTGTCCATGAGGAACAACCTCATCAGCAAGAACGACGGCCACGCCGTCAGCCTCGTGAAACCAGAAGCCTCGAAGCCCCCCGGCTGCCACGCGGAGAAGCACGGACAATTCAAGCTCAACAACAACAACGCAGCCGGTAGGTTCCGCGTTTCTTTATAAAACATTCTTTTTGTTAATCCAATCTGCCCCCCGGCTATGCCGTGATGTGGTCGGAGCGATTGACGCACGGGCGAAGGGGTTAAGAGTTCAAATCCTGGACGGGGTTCGATATTTCTCCAACTTCGTTATCGTCGTCGTCAATATCAGCAGCAGCAGCGGCGGTCGTATGAACGAAATTGTTGTTAACGATGCGTGTAACCAGGTCACCTACCCCCCCCCTCCACTGGGCAGAGGTCACAACCGGGTACCCGATACTCGTACCCTACCCGATACCCGGCCAGGTACGGGTACCCGTTTGCGACCGTGGTGCGGCCGGGTACGGGTACGGATAGGCCGTGAGTCACCGGTGAGTAACCGTTTGTCACTCATTTTGGGTAGGGTACGGGTACGGGTACGGGTAGCCGAGTAGGGTACGGGTACCCGTTTGTGACCCTGGTGCGGCCGGGTACGGGTAAGGAATCAAAACCCGTTTGCGACCTCTGCCACTGGGGCACGTGCACCCCCCCCCCTCTCCACCCCTCTTGCGTAACCTCCCACTACCACCATCACCACCAAAGCCAGGGCCGACTCCATGTCCGGAGGGAGTGGCTGGGCCTAAACAAAGATAGGCGGGTGCTAAAGAAGAAGAAGGGGGGTGGAGCCTAAAGGAAAACAGGCGTGGCCTAAAGAAGAAGGGGTGGAGCCTAAAGGAAAGAGGCGGGGCCTGAAGAGGAAGGGGCGGAGCCTAACGAAGAAGGGGTGGGGCCTAAAGAAGGGACGGAGCCTAAAGGAAAACAGGCGTGGCCTATAGGAGAAGGGGCGGAGCCTAAAGGAAACAGGCGTGGCCTAAAGAGGAAGGGGCGGAGCCTAAAGGAAACAGGCGTGGCCTAAAGAAGAAGGGGTGGAGCCTAAAGAAGGGGCGGGGCCTAATGAAGAATGGGCGTGGCCTGACGAAGAAGGGGCGGGGCCTAACGGATAAGGAGCGGAGCTTAAAAAGAGAAATTTCAGAGGCGCAATCAGGAAGGGGGGTGGGGGTGAGGTGGGGCCTATATAGAAAGGGCTGGAGCCCACAGATGTTGACCTTCCCCAGTGATTTCAGGTTGAGGGGTATAAACCATCATGACGCAAACTCCGGTCATCGCAGCAGCGGCGGCGGCTTTTGGCTGCTGACCGTCGAGCAAAGACTTTTAAATGCGCCGCTGTTTCTGCGGCCGTCTGGAACGCTCTTCCTTCCGATTTCAGGAAGCCAATGGAGCTATGCAATTTGAAATCGTCATCTAGATTGACAAACTGATTTCTTTAGAACGGCTTCTTGTGTTAGGTCTGTTGTCATTCCCCTCCCCCCCCCTCACTACCGATTATCACGGTTTGCTACGTACGGTGAGAAAGAAGTTGAACATGCATGTGTACGTGATGGTGGTGGTAATGATGATGGTGTTGATGGTGGTGAGGAGGTACACGCATGATGAGGAAGTGGGGGATGGTGGTGATGGTGGGTGATGTTGATGACGGGGCCGTCTGGAACGCTCTTCCCTCCGATATTAGGAATCCACTGGGAGCTTTGCACTTTAAAATCGTCATCGAGATTGACAAACACAAGTAGATCTTCTTGGTTCTTTCAGTAAAGTTACGTAGAAGGGGAATAATAAAATAAAAAAAAACATAATAAAATTAAAATTCTCACGACGTTTCGGCCACAACACAAGCAGCCGTTTACATATCAACACTGGAATTAAGCATATTAATGGTTAATTCAGATATGTAAACTCCTTTGTCAAGGCGCTCTCCTCCCCCGACCCAGCTTAAATATACGATGCCAAGCTTGGCGGTGTTCATTGGGACGCTGTCTTTCCGACAACTCTGTGTCTTCACCTGAGGACGGCTGCTTGTGTTGTGGCCGAAACATCGTGAGAATTTTTAATTTTATCATGTTTTATTTTTATAATTTTATCAAGTTTTATTATTTTATCATGTTTTATTTTTATTATGTTTAATTTTTATTATTTTATTATTTCCCTTCTACGCGACTCTACCGAAAGAACCAAGAAGATGAATCCCTGCAGTCGCGAAAGAAGCTTTAAATCGAAACACAAGTGTACAGTACATAACAGGGTAGTAGTAGTAGAAGCGTAAACACTCAAATACGTGCAGCGCAGGCTGCTCCAGCAGCAGCAGCAGAGCTTCAGGGCCGCAGACGTGCCCACAGGCCAACGCGTCACGCGAAATGCGTGCGACCTCGTCAGATGTGGGGGGCTAAGCGCGGCCCAGCCTGGATATTGCTCGGACAGGTGACCACCGTTGCCATATGCCGGCATTTGCGGGGCCACGTGGCGGGTAGCAGCAGATGGCAGCGGAACGAATCCACTTCCCGTAAAGCCTGCCCGCGCGCGGTCCCATGTGTACGCTCGCAGCTTTCGCCAACTCGCACTGAGCCGGCGTGGCGAAGTGTGGTCGTTAAGCCCTCCTTAGCTTTGCACGGCGTTGGCAGGCCCTCGTTCCAGGAGTGGAAACTCAACGCGTTCGTCATCAACACTTGGCGCGTGTGTGCGCTTAAATGGGGGGGGGAAATTATATATATAATAGGCGACGTTTCGGGCAACGGCCCTACTTCATGGCACACTAAAAAGATGCGTTTGGCAGTGGATTGACAAATGGCGCCGTGCAGCAGCGGCGTGTTGACCTGTCACCAGCTGGCGCTCGTTTTGTCGACCACGGAGAGATGATGATGATGATTATAATGATGGTCATCGTCCGCGTCGATGGCCGAGCGTGATTCGAACTCGCGACCCCTTCTCCGGCTCTTCGATCCGAACGGCCCCGCACCGCAGCGGAAAGACGCAGCGCGTGATAATCATCTTCTTATGAAGTGCAAAAAAAAACAAATGTATTGTAAAAAATATTCTACGAGAATAGACATTGGGAGTGGGACGGCGGCTGTGGCGGCTTTATTATTGGACACCGATTGCTGTTTATCGACCACGGAGAGATGATGATGACGACGATTGTAATGACGGTCATCGTCCGGGTCGACGAACGAGCGGTAATTCGAACTCGGGACCCCCTCCGGCTTGCGATCCGTGCGCCCCGCAGCGTGGTAGGTAATCATATTCCGTGTGAAGAAAAAAATATGATGAGAATAGACATTGCAAGTGGGACGGCGGTGGCTTTATTATTGGACACCACCAGCTGTTATCTAGTTAAGCCGCCACGGCAATATTGATGTAGTCGGAGTAAGAGGGATTATTCTGTTGGAAATTATAATGAATTACACGGCGAGCCTTGCCGGCCCCGCTTCCACAGCTCGGTAATGATTGCGCTCGGCCGGTTCCTTCCCTTAATTCGAGTGGGTTTCAAGACGCGTCAAATTAGCGCGCGCTCTTCCGTTGATTTCTATCGGCGCACGTCTTCGTGTGTCGGGGGGGGGGGGGGCGGGGGATCGTGTCAAGGTCAGTCTAGGCCGGTGCTATTCGGTGCCACAACCACCAGCCCAGAGGTCGCAACCGGGTACCTGATACCCGTACCCTACCCGATACCTGGCTACCCGTACCCGGCCGGGTACGGGTACGGGTAGCCGTTTGCGACCCTGGTGCGGCCGGGTACGGGTAGGCCGTGAGTCACTGGTGAGTAACTATTTGTCACTCATTTCCCAACGTCTTGTCTCTTCTCACAATTCAAGTTCCTAGAATCAACCCACCCACGCCTGCAACATGGCTTCATCTCAGAGGTCGCAATCGGGTACCCGATACCCATGCCCTACCCGATACCTGGCTACCCGTACCCGGCCGGGTACGGGTACCCGTTTGCGACCCTGGTGCGGCCGGGTACGGTTAAGGAATCAAAACCCGTTTGCGACCTCTGCCACAGCCTCGCCATCGCTTCCTTTCCGTTTGGCCAGGTCCACCGAGCTGTGGAACAGTTGACACCCGGTTTTTTTTCCCCCCCGGGGTCTGCCCTCATCACCTCCGCCACCGCGCTTGGCTTTAGGTCTTTTCTTGCCCATCTCGACGACCTGCCCTCCACTGCCCTGCACAACCGTGCGTCCCACCCATCGCTAGCGCCTCACAATAACATCTCCAGCACCTACCTGCCACGCCCGTCGTCCCAGCCTCCAAAGTTGCTTGCCCTATCCATCCTCCTGCACCACTGCAAGTGCTTCCCAACCATCACAACCTCCTCCTGCCACGTGATGCGGCGCCGTGGTGGCAGGATGATGCTGCTGTTGATGATGCTGCTTCTGCTGATGATGCTGCTGCTGCTGCTGATGATGATGATGCTGCTGCTGCTGATGATGATGATGCTGCTGATGATGATGATGATGCTGCTGATGATGATGCTGCTACTGCTGATGCTGCTTCTGTTGATGATGATGCTGCTGCTGCTGCTGATGATGATGATGCTGCTGCTGATGATGCTGCTGCTGATGATGCTGCTACTGATGATGATTCTGCTACTGATGATGCTGCTGCTACTGCTGATGCTGCTGCTGATGATGCTGCTACTGATAATGATGATGCTGCTACTACTGCTGCTGCTGCTGATGATGATGATGATGCTGCTGCTGATGCTACTACTGATAATGATGATGCTGCTACTGATGATGCTGCTGCTGCTACTGATGATGCTGCTGTTGATGATGCTTCTCTTGATGATGATGCTGCTGATGATGATGCTGATGTTGCAGTGTAGGTGTTAGCGCAACGCTGCACTACAAATGGTTTTACGTTGATTAGGATGTGGAATTCGAGCTGATGGCTTGATGCACTCACAAATGTATTTTAGTTTGTTTGTTACGAAGCCGATTGGAGGTTAAGGTGCAAAACATGCACGCCTGCTGCTGTATATTTGGAATTTGCGTGTCTCTCTCTCTCTCCCCCCGTGGTGAGATGTTAACTCTCTCGCCTGGTGTGCAGGAGGTCGTGGGTTTGATCCCGACCCTGACGCTTGCTGCTGTATATTTGGAGTTTGCGTGTCTCTCTCTCTCTCATCATCATCACGGTG